ACTTTGCTCTTATGCTTGCAATGCTCCCCAGTGCTTCGATTCCGACTTTCGAAAACAGAGAATCAAGCGTGCTGAACATCCAATCATCGGCATTGACGAAAATCTCGAGGCGGTTTTCGTAGTACTTTTCCTGGTCGAAGGCGATTTCCTCAGGAACTACCAGAGCGTCGGCATTTGATTCTCGGGCACGTGTCCGTCTGCTCTTCATTCGACCTCCCTCTGGCTCCTCGTTGGCAGCTGATGCAGACGATCTTTTGCGAGCAGCCGCTGCAGAGCTCGGGTCAAGCTCCTCGGGATTTGTCTCATCATTTTCAGCCTGTTGATCAGGAGGTTGTGCTGATTGGCGTTCTAATGAGTCCATCAATTGCTTCTCTGCGCTCTGGTCGATAGTTGAGTGTTCCTCGACTGGTTCTGTGGGCTCCTTGGTCTTCTCGGGTTCAGGTTCGGGTTCTTCGATTCTCGTCTCATGCTCAGTTGTTTGAAGCATTTCTCCGCTGCTCTCGTCATTTCCGGCTCTTTTCTCATGCTCATTGTCTTCACTCTTCATCTCCACGTCCTCTGGCTTTGTGGTTGGCGTGCCAGGAGCCTGAGAGCCTCGTGTTGGTAAAACAATGCCAATTGACCGACTCGGAACTGCGGAAAGTGACGCCTCATCGTCGTCTTCGAGGGCTTGGAGAAGTGCCTTTCCAACCGACTCCCAAGTTGGTGCTGCGGGTGTAATATACCTGATGGAAGTATGTATTGCGAGGGGTCCTTTGGATGAATCGATGTTCTGTAAATCGGCGGGAATCGTAGGTAAACTTGGGTAAGGATCCTCGTGCCGTCTTAAATACTTCAACAGAGCTTTCTTGGGTCTTTTGACGGGAATCTGCGAAGCAGACAACTTGTCGAAAAGGGCCTCTAGTGTGCTTCGAAGGCGTTGCTCTGCAAATATTTCCTCCAGGCCGAGCTGCTCTGGCCGCAATTCCAGGCGATTGTCATCATCTGCTAGTACGCTCTCCAAGCAGTACCGCGACAAGCGATGGCTCTGCAAGGCACCGCTGAGTCTCGCGCTTTGCCTCCAGAGATTCAGATCAGAGTCATCTCGCTCCAAGGCATCTCCGAAGGATTGCAGCGCTTTCCTTGACGCCTCCACCAACTTCTTTTGTGCTTCTTTCTCGGATTCGGGCGTCTTCGGTGCTGTTCGTATGGATTCTTGTACCGCATCGAGAACGTATTTGCCGTGGTTTTTGTAGGAGAGGTAAAGGGTCTGGAATAGACTGGAGGTAGAGTCGTTGACATTGAACTCGCCGATCGGTTCTGTGGCTTCATCAGAGGTCTCTTGGGTCTGCGCATCCTCGAATGCGCCCCTTTTGAAATCGGAGACGGACTCTGGGTATTTAAAGATCTCGGAATTGAGAAGAGCTTCGTATGCCTCGGCTGCCTGGGAATAGAACTCTGGGCCTTGCGCGTGTAGTTTCAAAGCATTGTGGTATAGCTTCAGAGCTTCCTCGATCTGGAGCTCCTTGGTATCGTCAACCTCCTCTTCGACAGCCTCATCGGGCTCAACATTCAATGCGACCCAGCTCGACATGATGCGAGCTCGGGGTCATTCGATCTTATATACCAGATAGTCGAAAGAAGGGCGACATCCCAGGAAACCCTTAAATGCGGGATTGGTTATCAGACACGTTATCACGCGTTGACCACATCGGGGAAGGTGTGTGTGGCCTGAGTGCCTGAATGCCTGCATGCCTTATGGCCTGACACCTTCCTTTGGGGTAATAGTACAATTGTAGTCCAGGATCACTTTCACCCCTCAGTGCACCCCCTGGATTTTTTTCACTTTGCTCAGCCTATTTTATTCCAGATACCCTCATTACTTTCACCGCGCTTGTGCAGGCGCCATGGTCGCGCCCGCTGTCCCTGAGTATGTTGCTCCTGTCTCCGTTTACGTGTTCCCCGGGCTGCGCACGCATGCCAATTGTCCCAAATGGGCGACAGCTGCAGCTGCGCAAATTGAAGGAATCGTGACTGACCTTGTGAACACTACTTAGAATCCACGAGGAGGAGGATATCTTTGTTGCCGTTGATGCGCGAACAGAATCTCTGCAGAGCTTGCGGGAATTAGGCCCCCCAGACTTGGTATATTTGGTCAAGCAACCCAAGGCCAATTCCAATTCAACTCGCCAGGTACACTTATGCCTTTGATATGATACGATCCATGCAAATAATTGACTCATTTCCATCTATAACAGACCGGCGTTTATCATCATGTCACCGGAATCGATGCTTCCTCGTCCGCAAGCTTAGCCGCCTACGTGAACACCCTCACATTCTCTCCCCTCGATAAGACACACAAAGTGGTATCAGGAATCTACTGGTCAGTCTCACAATCGCTACAGCGGTCAATATATGCTGATATCTATATAGCTGCTACAATGCCTTCTCCCACCTCGACATGCGTGTTGAAGTCAAGATCCCCGGAAGCTTAGAGAGCTACTGCATCGACGAGCGGGGTGACAAGCGAGTTGCAACTGAAGCCCTCTGGCTTGAAACGTTCCTTTGCGCTGTGCTAAGAGCCTACCTTTACGCCGATGACGGAAGTGGAGATGCTGTCAAGAAGATTGTCGGAGTCCGACGATTCAACCCAGTGACAAATACAGAGATGGAACATAAGTTCTTGGATGCCGCCGAGAAACTTTTCTTCCTAGGTACACACCACTCTATAGCCCGTTCGTTGTACCCGTTACTGACAATGCGCAGGACGCCAGCTGAGCTCCGATCCCGAGACACAAGTCCCCAACACCGTGAGCAACCACCTTACATCAGGCGTCCTCAAGTACATCCACACCACTGGTCGATACACATCCGGAATCAACCTCTTCGAAAAGCTCCGCACAAAGGATGTGGAGGTCTCGTCTCTGCTCGCTCGTGTACAGATTATGGCAGACGAGGAAGTACAAGCGGTGCGACTAATGTACGATGCCCTACAAGATGTGCCAATGGATTATGCTTTGCTAGACTGCCAGGCAAACTTCTGCCAGAGCAAGGGCGAAGGCGATATGGCGCTTGAATGTGCCAAGCGGGCCGTGACCGCTGCCCCGAGCGAATTCAGCACATGGGCTCGTCTGGCGGAAGTATATGTCGGTATGGAACAGTGGGACCTAGCGCTGCTGACTCTCAACTCCTGTCCGATGTTCACATATCAGGACAAGGACACACCTCGCATGCCCCAACCATCACGTATCATGCTTCCGATTCTCGCCGAAAGCATCCTCGATGAAATCGACGAGGGCCAGCCCAAGCAGGGTGACCCCCATGACTTTGTTCACCCTTCTCTTCGGAAGATCCATGCTGCTGGTTACCAGGGTACCTTTTTGAAGGCGTACAACCTTCTAACAAAGATTGCCGCTGCAATCGGTTGGGACCAACTCCTGAAGGTCCGCAGCGAGGTGTTCGTGATGGAAGAGGAATACCGTGTTGAGCGGCAACATGTCCCCAAACCTGCTCAGTCACTAGAGGCCGAGATCAATGGAGATAGTGCTGAGCAGGAGGACGACACTGGTTCAGTGAAGGGACCTAGCCCGGTCCAATCCACAGAAGAAACCCCCAATGGAGACGGGGATGTAAACCACAACCAGAGCCCTCTCGAAAGACCTGAGCAGACGGTGGCTTCAGAGGTCGTCAAATCTGGCAACGAGGATGTAAGTGCACACAACATGGACGTATTGATTACATACTGACTATTCATCTCGCAGCCCGACCCAGCACACGCCGCATACACACAATTCCGCAACAAACGTCTATGTGAAAGATGGCTCGATAACCTCTTCATGGTCCTCTATGAGGACCTCCGCATCTACACCATCTGGAGAACCGAGATGGCCCAGTTCCGCCAACAAGCGATGGAATACAAGAAGTCCGCGACCGAGTGGGAGATTCTTGGTGAACTCGCAGAGCGACTGCACCACTTTGACGAGAGTATCGAGGCTTATCAGAGCTGTCTGGCCACCCGCTTCTCACCAAAGGCCATGCGCGGGGTGTTGAAGCTCTACGAGCAGCGAAATGACACGCGAGGCATGCTCGGCGCACTCATCCGTCTCATCGCCTGGCAATATCGCTGGTATTCTGAGGTATGTTTCTCTCCTCTGCAAATAACCTTGGTTATCCATAGCTAAGCATTTCCAGTTCTCGCCCGAGCTCTTATTCCTCGTCCGCAAGCTCATCGAGGATGAAGGTGCTGTCAAGGTCCGCAGCATCGTGCAAGCCACTAACCTCCCCCAACCCGTCCTCGACCTCACACACCAGTACTGCCAGCTCTGCGCGACGTTCCGCAGCAGCGGCAGCGATACCTAAGTTACGCGCGATCGAACAAAATAAGGACGAGAGATCGCTTAGCTTTTACGAGGCCATAGTGTTAATTTCTTCCTGGATGTCGATGTCAAGATAGAAAGCGGGCGCAGGCAGGGTTAATGACCATCCTTGATTGATGACACCTTTTTTTCTCCATTCCTCTTGTCAAATCGATTGTTACTAGGTAGTTTTTCTTAGAGTATATATTTCCTATCAATTTTTTGATCGGTTACTCGAAAGTGCATCATAGCGGGTCCATCATTAGAATTCACACATTACTATTGCCCTCTGGGTTATGTACAGGTACCTCTAGGTCCAACGCGAGTTCAACAATCTAAGAACTGCCTCAGTGGAGAGCATGGAGACAAATGATAATCAACCAGTCACATAGACTATACCAACGCTTGATATGCGCCATGCCCCAGTCCGTAGGAAAAACAGACGGGATTGGTCACTAGCAAGAACTAGTCGAGCTCTGTCTATAACACCATCTACAATAAGATCCACAGAAGCCCTAACCTTGATCCAGCGATGATACATGTAGATAAACCATATCTTAAAGCAATCCAATACATTCCTATTATAACTCATACATCCAAATCAAGGGAGCCATTTTACAATAACAACAACAACAACAACACAGTGAATTACCACTAAACCCACCCCTACTCATCGTTCTCAACCGCCTCAGTCTCAGGAAGATCTGATTCCTTGGGAACATCACCACCCTTAGCCTTGGCAGCCGCAGCCGCAGGACCACTCTTCTCAGCTGTCACATCGACTGGTTCTTCCTCTCCTTCCTCGGCAGCAGGTTCCTCGTCTTCACCTTCGCCGCCGTCACCGTTCCGTGCGACTTCGACGCCTTCATCATCGTCAACGACTGCAGGTGCGGTTTTTCGCTTCTTTGGTGCTGGGCCTGGTGTTGATGGGTATATTGTTAGCGCGTTGCGAGGAATGGATATACGATATTAGATGATATGATAGGACTAGGATTTGGGGTCGGGTTTGAAGAATTGAACGTGGAAGTCATACCTGGGGCTTTGGTGGCTTCCTCTTCTTCCTCTTCTTCTTCATCGTCTGAGGCTGAGGCAGATTCTTCCGCTTCTTCGTCGTCGTCGCTTCCTTCCTCTAGTTCGGGTTCGGAGTCTTCATACCTGTGTTCGGGTGCCGGGTTAGTATTGCGTGAATTGGATTCAAGGGTTGCGCGTGATAAATAGAGTAGGTTGTTAGGGTGTCGCGATTGGCGCGTGACTTGTAGTTGCATTGAATTGCGGTAAAAGGATGCGCGCGGTGTTGGCGCAAAGGTCGAGGAGAAGAATTGGACCCGTAATTGGGAGTGGAAGGAGAATGGAACTAGAACTTGGAGACTCACTCTTCTTCCTCTTCGCTTTCATCACTAGGAAGGGCTTGGAGCTCCTCCTCGGGTTCACGACCTCTCTTGCGGGTGGATGTCATGGTGAGGAATTAAGGAGGTGGAAGTATAGAGGGAGAATTATAGTACGAGAAGGCAGGCCCTGGGGGGAAGGAATATATAGGAGAAAGGAGAGAGAAAGAGCGTAGCTCCAAGCTGAGGGAAGGGGGTCGAACCAAGGGAGAGGGGGCATAAGCGGAGGTGACGGTGACGACATGGGTTAGGGTTAGTTGACAGCTTACAGTGGAGTTCGGTGCGTGGCAGATGGGTGCGTGTCGCCAGTGGGATTCTTGCTACATTCCGTGGTATTCATTTCATGTCACTCTGGGGTATTCTGTGCTTTTTCTTTGCTCTCTCATTGTGTCAGGAATTCGAAATCCGCCATGCTCGGGTCAAGCAGATTCTCGTCAAGACCGAATCCGTACGTGCCGACCATGCCATAAATTAAGTCCGGCGGAGGGAATCCCTGCGCCATGGCGTTCGCGCCTCCGGGCACTTCGCGTCCTTCGACGGCTGTCTCATCGCTCCCTCGGAATTGCCAGGCTGCCTCCCACGAGTCGAAGCGCTCAAGCATCTTACCCAAACCGCGCGCGATGTGGCGGGTTAGATGTCGTTCGCCTGCAGAGACGCAGTTCATAAGCTCGATCACGCGCTCGACTAGTCGTCGGATTTGGCGAGCGTTGATACTGAGGTATGATGTGTTCCAGTTGATGGCGACCTTCAATAGGAACACGGCAGAGAATGTAACCATAGTGTGAGTAAAGATGGGAACGCCGACTATCGCATCCCGGATATCGGGCTCCTCGAGTACCATATTGAGACATGCCATCGCTGATGAAATCGCGATGTTGGCGGATTCTTTGCGATCCATAGAAAATACCGGGGAATTGGATGGGGACAGCGCTCGGAGGGAAAGCGAGTTCAGTTGGAATTTGGCAAAATGATAGTGTAGCACCACTCCTTTCGAGGGATAAGTCCGCACATAGGCGCTATCAGCTGGAAGGCGTGTTAGATTCAGCAATAATCAATGAAACGCATTGGATCACTTACCAGATCGAGGTTGCCAAAGGAGCCGCCACTGGTCAACCGCAACGTTGTATACGCGCAACTGTCCAAAATCCTCCTCAGTCAACGCTTGTTCAGTATCGCTACCGAACATGCGATAAGCCTCGGTCAGAATCATAAATAGGGCCACTTGAGCTAGAAGCCGAATGTCTCCTGGCACGACCATGGGCAGCGCGAGAAAGGTCTCATAGTTGCGAATGACTACATCCTCGTGGATCACGGGTGGCCGACCGTAGGCAATACTAAAATGATGATCGCAGACATAAAGCAAGTACCAGAGCTGGGCGCGCTCATACTGATCCGTGTGTCCGCGGGTCAGGCGCTGGTAACTCTGATGAAGGCCCATCTCGGTCGCGATTCGCACTGCATGGCCAGATAGCTTCCAGCTCAACTCTGACAGCCAAAATGCGCCCACACAAAGCCCACGGATATCATCCAACGTGTGGGCTCGCGTAAGGGCCATAGTGGATACGAGCGAGACATACTCGCCATAGCACCGGTTCAACGTCTCAGTGCGATTCGGAATGTGAAGTGCTGCGACAGTCAAAACGGCAGCGGAGAGCAACGTCGAAGCGCGACGGACCGATGTTAGATCGCGATGGACTAGAATTATCCCACCCCAGAGTAGCTGGTTCATGGTGCGGCTGAAGTAGGCGAATAATTCCTCCGCTTCATGGAGCGAAATTAACCCGCGCGAGATGAAATCCTCCTCTAGCAATGTCTGCTTGGGTGCCTCGACATGATTATTTCTCAGATTCCGTAGTTTGGTCACTTCGTATAAGCTGCGCATGGGGGCCGGCACCAATTCTGGGTTCTGGAGGTCCTGCTCTGGCGACGGTTCCCGAGTGACATCCATGACTACCCCCGGCCCCTCCTGATGACTGGTATGTGTCTGCGACCTATCAATCGAGGGACGCTGAGCATGGTGCGAAGCAGCGGGACTGGGGCCATTCTGACTGTCCCCGGAAGGATATGTTGAGAGCTCGGGCAGTCCACCCTGTCGCAAGAGGTGCGAGACAGCTGCCTGCAGCTGATGCATTGTCGCATTCGCCTGGGATTTCCATCTATACCAGTATTGGATTAGCAAGTGCCCTGGGAGCTTCCATATTGAGCGGTTGGAGCGGGGTCCGAGGGGAGCGCACGTACATCCCATCATCGTCGACGAATTTCTGCGAAAAGTCGTTCACGACGCACTTGATACCGCTGCGGATACATTTCGTACAGGTTGTCTCGCCCGGTCGGAACTCACAGCGAATCTTATGGCGCTTACACTCGGCGCCTGGTCCGAGTTAACAAAGTCGGGGACAGTGTAGGGAAGACTCACAGGCACGAGCTTTGGAAATCTTGGGCACAGACCGACGATTGCTCTCTCGGGGAGACTCCAAGTCGTCATCGGCAGACCGTTTCAGTGGAGTAGAGGCCTCCATGGGGAAGTCGGTGATGCTCCGGGCATGCGTAGGGGGCGAAATCTGGGGAGTGGGGGAAGCTCGGAGTCGAGTTGAGCTGGTCCGAGGGAGGATTCAAGGAATACAACAATTCAGATATCGGGATATTGGGAGTTTACGGAGGAAACAGAGGAAACAGAGGAAGAGGTCTCAACAGAAAGAGGTGCCCGGGTTCGACTTGCCCGAAATTCAAGGCTGAGTGGCACTGACTCCAACTTCTCTACTTTGTTTGTATCTGGCAATTAGGAATACTTCTCGTTCCCATGCACTTGATGTCTAAATGACATGACCGTTGTGTAGTCTATCACTCATACAGTGATTCCATGCATCCCGAATGCTCCAGGACCTGACAGCCCTGGAGTCCACCGGCCCAAGTCCGGTGCGGAGGACCCTCCAAAGATCGTCTCGGACTTGATGCGAATGCGGAGAGAAATGCGCTGCGACAATTTCACCTACAATAATACTCTTTCTCCGTTATTCCTGACTTCCAGTTAACATCTTCACAATGCATATCCTCATCACCGGCGCTGCCGGCTTCATCGGCCAACTGCTCGCAAAGGAACTATTGAACGACCCAACCTACCGCCTCACATTGACCGATATTAACCAACCGCCAATTCCCACAGGCGTGCAATATCCCCAGAATGCAACTGCCGTCAAAGCAGATCTCCTAACAGGAGCAAAGGATATCGTCGACTCCTCTCTGGATGCCGTCTATGCCTTCCACGGAATCATGTCGTCAGGCTCCGAAGCCAACTTCGACCTAGGCATGAGCGTCAACATTGATGCGACACGCAACTTGCTCGAAGCACTGCGACATACTTGCCCGGGCGTGCGGGTCATCTACTCCTCCAGTCAGGCTGTCTACGGTCAACCCTTGCCAGAGATTGTCACCGACAGCGTCATCCCGACCCCGGAATCCTCCTACGGTGCGGAGAAGCTCGTCTGTGAGACTCTGGTGAATGAATATACTCGTCGCAAATTTATTACCGGATTTACGTTGCGATTCCCTACCATCTCCGTTCGCCCTGGTGCACCGACCGCTGCGGCGTCTTCATTTTTGTCGGGTATGATCCGGGAGCCTCTCGACGGCAAGAAGTGTATCATTCCTATTGAAGACCGCCAGTTCAAGTCCTGGCTCTGCTCTCCCAAGACACTGGTGCAGAATCTTCTTATTACGCTCCGTCTTCCTGCCGACTCGGTTCCCCTGCATATTCGCCAGATCAATGTACCCGGCATTTGTGTCACCGTTCAGGGCATGATGGATGCATTGGAGAAGGTGGGTGGCAAGGATGCATTGGCACTTCTCGCGGAAAAGGAGGATCCTGCAGTGATTCCGATTCTAAAGTCTTGGCCGACACAGTTCGATAATACTCAGGCTATCTCCTTGGGCTTCAAGCGTGACGAATCATTTGAGCAGACCGTGAGGGATTATAAGAAGGGATTGGAGTGAAAGAATCATGTATCGATAGTTCAATGAATTTCTGAAAATGAAACGGAATGAAGTCCTCCGCGACCTATTTCTCCGCGGTTGAGGTTCCATCCAAGATTCACGTTTCTATTTCAACTCATATACGATTAGTCCACATACATTACAGTTCAAGCGCACCCTTTTCAAGTGCCATGTTAAATACATGTTAAATACCTAAGTGCTGATAATATCTGGCCCACCAGAATGAGACACAGCATAAGAATTCAGATATAGACAAGGGGTAAAACCATCCCAGCCTAGCGGACATATCCCACTCGCATTCATTCTCACTATACAAACATTAGATACTTCCACATCAATCAAGAGAACATAGAGAACAACTTACCTCACCACATAGTCTCAACAACCCCAAATCAAGCCGGATGAGACCCATAGGCTCGCGGCCCATATCCCAAAGTAATACAAGCATCCTCCAAAAACGTATCACTCCCACCATCAGCCCACCAATTCTTGGGCTCCTCAGGAAGATTATCGGAATAAAACTATATGCCGAGAAGGTAGCTCTCTGGCTATGAGCTCCATACACGGGTACCGGGAAGAGCGTGTCTTGAGCGCATTTGTATCTCTGCAAGTGTTGTCCCAGACATTGACTTCTTGGGCGCCGCCTTTGCAGTCATCTTCCGAGAAAGCGTGAATCTTGAATTAGAGAGTGTTAGTGCTGAGAGAGATGAGGGAGAAGGTTTTGGTGAGGTGCATTTTTGTTGTGGTTTTAGATTGCTACAATAGTATAATATAGTGGGTTATTGGATTTGGATTTGGATTTGGGATGAGTAGATTTGAGATTTAATATGAGATTTCCTGCTCTTTTATGTCTCTGCCCAGAACAACGCCAAGTACAAAACGTCTTGGTGTACCAAGTGATATAGGCTCTAATAGCGCTATCGAACCTATCGTCAAGATCCGTTCGAATGTGACACAGTGTCAACCAAAGCTAGCAGCTTCCAGCTGAGAACAAGTCCCCAAGAGGAGGCCTTGGCAATTGAGCGTAGCAGAAGTTTACGGGTCCTTGGAATGGGGTATCTTCCGTGACATCTTCCTAGAGCAAATATCAAGAACGATCTTCAAGGGGCCGAAAATCAATACCACGCATCATGGCACCTGTTATGGGAGATATTATAAGTAACCTCTGCTTGCTAGTTTCGAGCCTGATATATTTAGCAGAGCTCAATTTCAGACCTCCCATTTTGCGGATCACTTCCAGGGTGATGAAGATTCCCCGTGTATCTTGTCATATTAAAAAGGGTCCAATTTGATGTCTGATCAAAGTGAGCTTCTGGTATTTCCTCACACACGGCAGATTCCCCGGAATCTTGCCTTTTCTTTCCTTTCATGAATGCCAGTAAGGTTTACTGAAAAATAAAAGCCCGCTCTGTACATTCAATAACACAAATGTCCAAGTCCACTGTACATAATTGCCCTCAAGAAGAGAAACGCTGGGAAATTACCTCCAAACCTGGTATCGTTTTAGCATGCATCCTGTCCATAAAAGTCAACAGCTAGCCCAAACCTGTCCATCGATAGCAATAAGCCGATTGAATAATTGATCTCTCGTCCCCATAGCCGTAAGCTGATACGTCTGCCCAGGCTTCTTCCCAGTAAGAAGCAACCCATCAACAACCTCTTTACTACCAAGCGCCCACCCAACAACCAATTTCCCCTTCCACCCCAGTCCACCCAGTTTCCTCATTTCCTGGATATCAGAAACGGGCATGGTAAACAGAACGGATCCAGCCTTTCGATGTTCTAGTTCTATGTCTCCGTTCTGCGGTATGTCTGTTGTGAAGTAGAGAAGTGCGGGCTCCTTCGTCGAGTCTATAACCGCTGTGCCGCGTTTCCCTTTGTGGCGAGCATCAAATGATACTGGGCCGATGGGTGTTATCATTTTGCCCTTCTGGCGCAGAACACCGACTCGGTTCTTTGCATGTCGTGAGCCAACCGCTGCTCGTAGGCGGTCGATGCCTCTTTTGCTTTCGACGCCGCTTGCTGTCGTTCCGCGGAAGAATCCTAGCACTCTTGACGCTAGTGTTTTCTTGTGGTTCTTCTCTGCCTCGGAATGGGTTTCGGGGGTGTCGTCATTATCAGGCTTGACTAACGCTGCATCTTTGATTTCTGCATCAGTTGCTCCGAGGCTTAGCTCCTCGTGGTGTAATGAGGCTGGACGCGAGTGTGCTTTTTCTTGTGATGTTGGGGGAGGTGGTAGTGGTGATGCATTGGCTTCACCGATGCGGAGAAGTGTGACGGTCACCTGGGCGTTTGTCGGAATGCCTTTGAGTAGAGAGCTATATTTCGACTGTCAGTATGTGACAAGTTGTAGTGGCTTGAGTAATATACTTCTGCAACTCTATCATCTTCTGCCACTTCGGGAACTGGCGGTTCAGATATCTTATTCCTTGTCTGATCACCGGGTCCCCGAAGAATGAAAACCCAGCCAAAAGCGTACAGACCTTCATCAAAACATAACTTGTTGTCAGTAATGAAAGCAGACACGCTGGACCTAGCACGGCTGCTAGACGTAGACGAGGCTTCAGCCGAGGGAATGGAGCCGTTGCCGATAAAGCACTAGATCGATAAGTTTGAGCCTGACCCACATAATACAGCACACGCTTTGCACTCACTTTCCTAGTCTCTCATAGGTATCCGTGATATCACCCACGACTTGCATAGCAAAGTTCGCAGCGTTCATCACGCCCTGTCGCATAGGTTGTCGTGTTTTGTCATGAGTGTCAGTTGGCACTTTCCCATGCGCGGCACTTTGTGCATCAGCAGTATTGGCAACAATATCCATAGCATCAGGAACGTCATCTTCAAAGGGTGCATCGTCGGGTACGCCTTGATCGTGCTTCCCGACTGCGCTGCCCACGGTCACGCTAGCGACACTTGCTACCAAGTTACTTGCTTCCTGCTCAGCTGCCTCACCCTTGAATTTCTCCGGTGCACCAGTGATGCTGTCGTGGGAGCCAAGAATTCCTGCTTTCGGCTTTTGTACACCGCCCGTATCTTTGTCCACGAGAGCTATTGGCGCTGGGGGAAACATTATTGGTCGCAATGGTGGGTAGACCACTAGGGCGAGTAGAGCCGCTAGCACGGTCGGGGCTAGTAGATCGAGAAGCCATGCAGCAAGGTAAACCTGTATGACATCAGATAATGTTCCCAAAGAAGTTAGCATTTCAAAGTGAGTCTTGCCGTGCCAAAGATCGCCGTTCGTCGCGGCTCCTTCCACGATCGAAGTCGAGCAATATGTTTGATACAGCTGGTTAAGCCCACGACGACTGTGATGTAGAATCGTTCCATCGTAGCCCGGAGCTTATCCGGAGAAAATTCATCATCGTCCGTTCGTGTTAAATCCAGGTTTTGGAGGGGAGCATCAGGCACAGCTTTGACTCTGTAGACTTGCTAAAAAAGAAAGGATTCCAATCTTAGTTCGGAAAACAAAGCATGAAACTATGGTCGAAGAGCGCACCTTGTCGAATCGCCTAATGAGCATCCACAGATCTTCATTTGACAACCCAGCGACTAAAGGCTCTTCAATAACGTTAGGTGAGACACCCCATCCAATATTGGTAATTCCCTCGGTGTCGCCAGCTTTCTGCGCAAGGCCCTTTTCATCCTGTTCGACTTGGGACAGCACATGGCTATCAGTTGGGCCTTCGGGGATCGCTGGTTCAGCGGTGACTTGGCTGTCGGCCTTACTTGTAGCATCGCCAGCGTTGGCGGGATTTATTTCATCAGCTGTGGACATTATGAAGACATGGAGACGTTGGAATGTTGAAAGTGAGAACGAGATGATGTATGAAGCGGGACCTGTTGACAGGGTAGTCGACGTCATCTCGCGGATCAGGGCAGTGGCAATCACAACAAAATCTTGTTCTTTCATCGCTTGGTCATCTGTCTTTATTATTCATGTTACAACGTTAAGTGTATAGTGCACTTTATTATTTATTTAGAGATATGATCTTGTATCTACGTGGGCACTAAATATGCCGGATGAGGTTAGTATCTAGCAAGCTCTAACCACTAGACGACGGCTCGGGTCCGTGATAGATCGCTAGTGAGTTTAATCGATTTACCTAAACCCCACTCGATCTTCCGTATTAGCGTATAAATACTCCCCGCTATTAGAAGACTATATAGTAATTCCAGGAGGTACCTGGTAGCTTCAATGCCTCATTGGGGCTTTAAAATCATCTTCGGGGGGACAATGGGTTCCGCCGAAATTCAGGTAGAAAGCGCAAAGCTATGCCATTCCTTCTTGCAATTCCCTGATTCGTGTTCAGGCTAGAGCGACCACCATACCTTGGAAAACTCTGAGCCAAAGTTATACTTGGATCCCTAAAGCTCACGGTATCCCCGGTTCTGTAGCCACAAGCTTATCGGTATCATCGCGGTGGGTTTCGTTTAACCTACCACTCCTTTGCTAAAGTTTCGAATACACGAAGCACAGCCCTCCGATATTTAAATGTTTCTTTCAAATCATTTAAGTCTGTTCGACGCTTATACAGCCAGGACCACGCGGTCTGTTTCGGCTTCTCTTCGTTTAGACCGTCCTTAATAATCACACAACGAACGTGGTTAAAGGCAGACACACGTTCTAATTACAGAGAGTATTGTTCAGTCAAGCCTCATCTCTTGAGACTCTCTTGCCTCAAAGCGAGGAGTATGGAATAAGTACGCAGATGCGGCGTAATAGCAATCTCAATTCACGCAGTCAAAGCGCGAAGACATGATGGGCTAGAAGGCCAGCCTATTGTATGGCCTCTATCGGTAGCGTCTCTATGATGATGTAGCAATGATCATGATCACCCCGCCAAGTGGTTATCAAAAGTATATCTGTGGGGAGCGCAATTGAGCGTTGACGGGAAAGAGGACCGCCTTAGCGCCTGCCATGTGGGCGCGCAGGGACTGTAACATATGCCATGGCCCCCGGTCTTATTAACGGCAAGGCCGAATATAAGATTAAGCGTACTCTTGACTGTAAGGGAATAAAACTCTATGTATACTTAATATAACAATGAGACGGTGAATGACAGGCCAGAACCGGCCGCTTAGCCGTTTTAAGCCTCCCATTAGTGGAGTCAATATGGATGCGCCCGACTTGGCGTAGAGGCGGCTATGTTGGAGCCGCACGGTAGATACCTCTGTAGTTTACGTGAGGTAACGTTTATCAACTAGATGGGCGTTTGCGAGAGAGCGTTGTTCATTTCGCCGTAAGAGCGCTAACTGCTCATTACGTAGAGAAACAGCCCTCGTTTTGATCCTAGAGTCACTAAAGAGGGGATTACTGTAAGACTTACTGTGAGGGCTGTACGCGAGATAATGTCTGCCTCTACAGGGCCCACATCGATAGCCCGGCCCTCTAGCTACTGAGCCGGGGTGTGACAACTGGCCTCATGAGGATTCTTGCGGTAGTTTTCCCTCTCGCAGCGTAGTTTGGTGGAGCGGTCAGGGGTGGTTATGTTCCCAAACCAGCCCATGCCATCTCAAAGCAACTTGACTGTCAAAGAGTTTAATACGGAGCAGTTGCATGTGGGAGTAGAAATTCGCTGGAGGGAGAGAGTCCAGCTGTGCCTAGCGAGCCTTCAATACTACTATTATTGGCTCTCTGGTTCACCTTTCTCCACCTAGATCACCCCGTTAAGGGGGGCAATGTCCAATACTCCCCTGTGAGGCAGGAGTGAGCTGCTCGTAGAATTTATAGAATTTATACTCTTACTTATCTCAGCATCCGCGTTCATGCTCATCTAGCTCATCCCTCAATCATCCACAATGTCATCCACGACAGGAGGGCCTCTCCCCCTTACTACCACTTTTACACCACCGAGCCAGTGTGTCAGTGACTTCTGGGTCGCCTATAATACAGGCAGCTCCATCTATTTGAACCTGGGGCCCACCACGCCCTCACTGTGTCTCCCAACCGGCTGGGACTCGACCACCTATTTCTCCCCGGGTGTTTGTCCCAGTGGCTATGGCATCGCCGCCAGTGTCACTGTGCCCATGGGCAACGCCATAGAAACAGTCGCAACGTGTTGTCCGGTGTAAATGACCCCTGAATCTACCGAAACGAGAGTTATATGGAACTGACCATTCCTTTCCCTCAAGAGTATCCGGGTATACGTACTAGACGCGCCCTTCAAGTAAGGAGCTATACCCATGGTACAGTAGCGCAGTCTGCCAATGGACCCCGGGGCCAAACATCGCCACAACGTTCGACCAGACCTACTGGACAACGATCTCCACCACCCCCTCTCCGACCACGGTCACAACGACGGACTCCGGGACGTTGAGCGGTACCAATGGTCTCATAAATGCTTATGGCGTGGTGATCCGCTGGCAGTCAACGGACTTCAGCAACGCCCCAGCCACAGCCGTTGCGACCACCACAGGTGCAGCAGCCGAAGCAACCCATGACTCGTCTGGCTTGACAGCAGGCGCCGACGTAGGGATCGGAATCGGGGCGGCCGTCGCTGTCATTTTGTTTGTTGCGATGGGGGTTTTCCTTCTGCGCCGACGCAACCGCCGGGAGGGTGGCCTTGGGGATGCAACGCAGCGAGATCCATACATGGTTCTTCCCGAACATCCAAGCCGGATGCAAGTGGAAGCCGAGTTGCCAGTAAATAAATCGAGTGATGTCGTTTATAGAAAGGCAGAGTTGGCGGACAATCTGTGTATGAAATGGAAGGGGGCTCAAAACGAGTTGAACTGGGAGCGTCGAGTCCCAAATGAGCATATGCGTTGGATTGCCATCCTAAGTTGCGGATTGGTTTAAACTCTAGCCAAGTCTAACCAAGGCCCAACTGTGGTTTGAAAGGTTAGGTGAACGGTAGAAGACCGAAACTGCTATGCAAACAAAGCAAACATAAACATATCTGGCAATCTGTCAACAGATCTCTTCAACCAAACGAAACTCCTGGAAAGCGCTGAAGTTTCAAAGGCATGAAAGCACAACTCATGTGCAGCCTTTATCTGTTGTCGTGCAGTACTACGACAACAGTGCATACCTCCTGTCTTTTGTGGCACAGAATGGATATCTGCATGCTCGGTAACAGGCAGAGGACATACAGGCTATTCGTTTCAATATGCTTTGCTCGAGACTGAGGCTGTTGTAGGGTGTTGTCCAAAGTATCGAGCACGAGAGCCCCAGATTCCCACATAGAGAAAGAGAGACTAATCTTCAACAGTGGATACATTTGTGGCTACATACCGTGCGGCGATGCTAGTGCCCAGACCTGCATTTCTAACGTCTCTACTGGGGAATTTTCAGCAATACAATGCTACGATTCAACAAGCGTCTTAATCCAGCAGATTATACCCGCTACTGTTGCTGCGTCTGAGACTGTCACCATGTCCTACGTGACCCCAGACGTTATTGTGCAGACCATGACAATTGTTGGAGGCGCAAAACGGGTCAATGGCTATTTAATCCGGTCGCTGATGAACCCTATGAACCAGCAACAGATACCTCCAAGGCGGAACTTCCAGGTCATGCAATTCCAGTAGAGGTGGATGCATCGAAGACTCGCCTGCTGCCTGCTGCCTGCTGAGCTTGGTTGAACCGGTTGGAAACTTATGTTTACGACGGAGAGTCGATTTGTACAGCTTCTTACGCGCAGCTCGCGTGTAATTTATCAAAGATACACATTTGTGTTAAATACCTGCAGCATGTCTGCAGGTACATTCAAATATTGATGATCTATATTTTTGTCAATGTCCTCTGATATGGATACTTTTAATATCTGCATAGCTGAGGACGTTTCTCGGCCCTGGACTTGGGGAGGTTTTATCTTTCAATGCAAAGATACTTACAAACCCACTGACTATATATAGCACAGCTCCTAGAATCGCTTGAGGCGTTCCTAGGGCCAATGCGTTGACTACCAGGGTCAGACTCACAAGCAAGAGGATTTGTAAAGACCATCCTGTAGACCCTAGAGTTGTGTATTTTCTGCCAACAATGTCCATCTTGACACTCAAGGCTTCAATTAACTGAAATCTCTGTCGGTATTTACTTAGGTCACAGCCATTGGGTACGATGCTGCCAGCCCTTCTATCTAGCGGCACTCGGATCCGAGATAAGACATATTTGAAACTCAGCGAAGCTGCCAATAGCTTTTGGCCAAGGTGTATTGATATCCAGCGCTTGCAAAGATGGAATGACCTGGGAAGAGCTACATCGGATGTTACGTCAGTTCAGTCACCGAGCCGGATTGAAGTCCGGAATAACCTAACCAGGTTAGACTGGAATTGCGTCAGACAAATGAGAATGACTCGGCTGTATCCTTTGGTCTACTGATGGACGGTGAATGATATCTGAATGATATCAAGACTAGGTCGTAGGAATGTGTAGGAAAAATTAATATTAGATTTGGAACCGGAACCGATGTAGATTACGATCTGCGTGCTTACTCGACACTGTAGAGCCGTAGTAATTTCTCGCTATTATTTATGTGGGCCGCGCCTTAAAGAGAGGGTTTATCCGTCAATCAACACGCAGTTGACAAGGACTCTTAGCTTCCGGTACAGTACTTTGAGATTCATGAGTAGACTATTGCAGCCTGACACACGGGATGGGAAGGCTGCACGTCCTGGTTTTGAATCGTTGACCACGTCTATGAACTAGTAACACAACTTAAGTGTGTAACGACGGGGAGGGTGCGGCGCTGCGATCCCGGAAATAAAAGCCAATCAATCACAGAACAGCGATCATCAGTATGGAGTCAACACACTACTCACTCCTATTGGCCGGATTTTCTCACCGTTCCAAATTGTTTGAAATCTGCCTTGGATCGTAAAAATATGTGGCGAGGTACCCCGGCAGTTTAATGCGCTTCTGGGCAATTCAACAAGGCTCGCTCCTCGTTTAAAGTAGCAGAGCCGAAAGCTGCGGCAGCTATACCGTAATCTTGAAAGTACCTCAATGTATGATTATTCTCGGTTAGCTTTGGTTGGATCGCCTGCATGTAGATCAAATTAACAAGTTTATAGTTCATTTTCACTCGAACCATTTATATTCTGAACCCATCGAACGCCTGATTTAGGTATTGACTCTTTTCTCCGTTCACGCCATGGCGCAATTTGTCCGAAATACTGTTGCCGGTGGCAATTTTGAGACGCCAGATAGGTACATATGCCATAACACTAGCTGTCGCTCACCTACTTATTTTGCCTGCAACTCAGATATACTAAGCCCAAAGTTTTGAAAATTGGTGTTACTGGAATTGTGTGGTTTGTGTCCACCGCCGTTCATTTCCGCATACAAAAGTACGGGGCTGCGAATCACTGACACATGCTTCCAACATCAGCTCCTCGTGGGATCAAATAAGACAGCAATATGTTGCAGTGAAAAAAATACCAGAGCCGTTCAGGACGCCTTCCACTACTCAATATATTCTCAGAGAAATCAAGTTGCTGAAGCACTTGCAACATGAGAATGTGCGTTTAGTGAAATACAATGTTTCCGCAGCCCAAGCTAATTGAGTTGCAGATCGTCCGTCCGCTTGATTTGTTCATATCTCCCACAGAAGACATGTACGCAAATCCAATTTAATGGTGAATAACGTGCTATTTGCTGATATGCGCAGATATCTCGTCACGGACTTCATGCAGACCGATCTGCGTACGGTTATGAACACGAAACCCATTAGCCATGAATTTGTTCAGTTCTTCTTATACCAGATTATGGTTCGTCTACCCTAGTCCTTCATAGAACTAATTACTGATTGAATATCTAGAGAGGACTGAAATACGTTCATTCAGCGGGCGTGATTCACCGCGATCTTAAACCCGAGAACATCCTAATCAATGAAGATTGTGATCTCAAGATATGCGATTTCGGGCTGACGCGAGTCCAAGAACTGCAGATGACGAGCTACGTTTCAACCGGATACTACCGAGCTCCAGAAGTCATGTTGACTTGGCAGAGGTATGGCGAACAGATTGATATCTGGAGTGCAGGATGCATCTTTGCCGAAATGCTGCTAGGGAAACCTCTTTTCGCAGAAAGGGGCCATGTGGAACAATTCTGTGCCATTACAGAGTTGCTTGGAACACCCGATGAGGGATTCCTAGCCCGAATAGCCTCAAAAAGCGTCAGTTGATATAAAACCTTACCCGAAGCAGCAAATGGTAGATTACAAATTGCTGACCGGTTAATTTGTATCAGACCCTGAACCTCATTCGGTCATTCCCTCAGCGTCAGGCTAGAGGTGTCTCAAGCGTGTTCTCGGACGTGGATCCAAAAGGTACGTTTGATGTCCGTGCCAGTGGGTGGACTATTTGTTTACAGATTGCAGCGCTCGACCTCCTCGAACGAATGCTAGTTTTCGACCCTTACTGTCGGATTTCTGCATCTATTGCTCTTACCGCTCCATATCTTGTTTCCTATCACGATCCCACAGATGAACCAGTGGCTAAAGACACGTTCGATGAGACCTTTGACGGATGTTATTGTTCTCATGATTCCTGGAAGCAGAAGCTGTATGTTCACACACTACTCTCAATTGGGTAATACAACATTGACCACTTTCAGGTACGCTGAGGTATTAGAATATCACAAACAATCAGAGGCTCAGGAGTCTGTCAGAAAGTGGGCCCAGTCCGTCTCGAAAGCCCAAAACTGATCATTCAACTCCGATACAACGAAGAACATGGTGTCGTCGCGAAATTACTATGGCTTGGGCGAAAGAAAGGTCTGCTTTTATCTGTGCATGCATCGGGATATATCCAATTGCCCCGGATGGTTTTGGCGTCCTGACTATTTAGCTCTCTTTTCTACTTAATCATGACCCTCGAATGATTTTGCCTTCCATTTTCAATCTTCTATAAGTAATCATACAACTATTGGATCATGGCCTTGGTTCGTCAGTCCCAAATCATCAAGAGCAGTATCCCTGTCTTTCTATTTTGTCAGACGCTGTTCTGATCCCGTTTGGTACTGAACAAGTATTGGACTGCAATTAGTGGATACAGTTCAGAGCGTTTCAAGATAGAGCTCGGGAAACAATCCGCGATGGGTTGGAGTAAATGATTACACACAAAGTAGATCGCTACTTGCACACGGGAGTGGGAGAAGGAAGTGACACCTTGCCAGATTCTCGAGGCCCACTCCAGCTACTCATGTTAGACTCGCCTATGAAGAATTCTAGCTAATGGCTCCATTCAGTGACGATACATGGAGTCATTGGCATTATGGTTCGAGAAACAATCTAAAAGTGTAGGTGGCGACACAATATTTGAGATGTACTTTACACAAGGAGGAGAAGAACAACGGAGCCATAACAATGTAGATGGTTGTAATAGACAAAAATAGAAAATCACAACGAGAGCTTTGGCAAAGACGAGAACTCCACGGGTTTTGTCCTCGGAAATAATTGAATAGAATGCTACAAGGAGGAATTGAAAAACATAGAGATGAATACAATAACGATGATACCTCCAATTGTCAAGCGCAACAAACTTCCAAGGTCAATACGCCTCTTTATGCCTTTGTTTAGACAGTGGCTGGTCGCGTGATATCAAACCCGATAAGCATTTCTTATCTCTTTATCTCTTATCGCACGTGTGCGTCGCGTTCCCAAAGAGGAAACATCAGTTCGCGTCATCAGACTTAAATCATTCGCTTTAATCCGCTCTGTTCCTAGTTTCTCGACTTGCCATGAGTGAAGAGTGCGCGAATCCTCTCCTGCTGGGGTGGATCAAGGAATGGCTAGATCAAGCCAGAGAACGGAACAGCAAGGGCGTGACCGTGTTCGTATATCCCGAGTCCCAGTGTGTTATTCACCTATCTGACTGCTTCCAGGTACAAGAAGGCTTATGAGTCGATGAAAGCATGTCCGTTGGAGTTTCAGCATCCATCCCAGGCGCAGCAGCTGAACGGACTGGGCCCCAAACTATGCGACCGTTTAACAGATAAACTCAAGGCGTATTGTGAAGAAAATGGACTTCCTATGCCGGAACCACCTGACAAGGGTAAGTGCCCTTCTTACACTTTAAAATTGAAAACTATGGCCCATCAAGCTCTACAGGCGGAAAAAGAACATCTGATGGTGCAACTTCCGATCAACCCGCAAAGAAACCCAGGAAATCCAAGCCGTATGTACCAGCACTGCGATCTGGTCCATATGCTATCTTGCTAGGCCTGGGGACCCAGGATGAGAATGCATCACAGGGGATGACCAAGGCCCAGTTGATCGAGGTAGCTCAGCCATACTGCGATAGTTCATTCACAGCACCTCCAGACCCAACAAAGTTCTATACTGCCTGGAATTCAATGAAATCACTCATCCAGAAAGACCTTGTCTACGAGCACGGCCGCCCGCTACGAAAATATCTGCTTTCTGAGGAAGGCTGGGAGGTCGTCAAACGTCTCCAAAAGACATTTCCCGGTGCTCAAAACTCGATATCCTTCGCTGGTGACTCCCAGGCAACTGCAACGTCCCAATCACAAAGCGGCCCTATCACAATTGGCACTGAAATGCCTGAAGATGACGATGGGTTGATAGATGCCCAAGAGGATCTAACCGAGCAGGACATAGCCAACATCGAGCCTGTCTTCCTCCCCCCCAAAAGCTTCACAATCCAGCTCGTGCTAGATACACGAGAAGTGCGCACTCCAGCCGATCGTGACTACATCTCAGGCGAACTCCAAAAACAAGGGATTACACCGCAAGTACGCGCCTTGGAAGTGGGTGATGCAATATGGGTAGCTAAATGCAACGACCCCAACGACCTCACCCGCCATGGCGAAGAAGGCGACGAAGTAATGCTCGACTGGATCATCGAGCGAAAACGCCTCGACGATCTGATCGGGTCTATCAAAGACGGACGATTCCACGAACAAAAGTTCCGTCTTCGTCGCTCAGGCATCAAAAACGTCATCTACCTCATCGAAGAGTTCGCAGTCACGCACCCCGATTCAACGAGCGGAAGTGGAGCACAGTATCAGGAAATGGTAGCCTCAGCCATCGCATCAACACAAGTCCTCAATGAGTACTTCATCAAAAAGACAAAACATCTCGACGAATCAATCCGCTATCTAGCGCGCATGACTCTTTTCTTGCGAAAGATGTACGGTGTCCAAGACCCGCCCTCGACCCAAGCTGGACAAGCAGAGTCAGATGCCAACACAACCCAGAATACCAGCCCACCGACTCATATATCTAAGATTGCCCTCATCCCCGGCCGCCGTCTCGCCACGGACTCCTACCTCACCATCCTCGATAATCTCCGTACACGAGATCCCACCGTTACATATGGCGTGTCATTCTCGACTTTCTCGGCGCTTACTTCAAAGTCTGATATTCTTACGCTTCGGGATGTTTTCTTGAAGATGCTTATGTGTACCCGTGGCGTGACGGGCGAGAAGGCTCTCGAAATTCAGCAAATTTGGCCTACGCCGCGGCATTTGGTCGAGGCGTACATGGCCCTTGAGCCTAGTGCACGGGATACTATGGTGTCGAATCGCATGCAGGAGGTTGTAGGGCGGAAGAAGGTTGCTAAAGAGCTTAGCAAGCGGATTGCCGAGATCTGGGGACAAGCTAGTTGATTGACACAAGTAGACGACTGGACTACTGAGAGTGTGATGAATAATTTAGAAACAGACTTGATAACAATTCATCCAGATGCATCAGATACAAACATAAGGTAACGCTAAAATAGGTACAAAACAAAAACCAACAATCCCTCTATTTACTCCTCCTAAAAATCCTCGTAAGGCTCCCCATATCAATCCTCAAAGCAAGACTACTCGCAACAACAGAAATACTACTCAAAGCCATAGCCAACGCAGCCCACACAGGACTAAGTCTCCAATGCTCATTAACCATAACCATCTCCCCACCAACAGAATTATAATGGTGCCCACTGACAATGGGATAGAAGACTCCAGCCGCAACAGGCACCAAACAGAGATTGTAAACAACGGCCCAGCCGAAATTCATCCGCACGCGATTAAACACTCGGCGACTCAGCAGGACTAGTTGTAATATCGTGCTCAGGTCTGAGTTTAGCAGGATGAAACTCGCGGAGTTGATTGCCACGTCTGAGCCGGAGGCCATTGCGATGCTCACATCTGCTGCGGCTAGGGCGGGGGAGTCGTTCACGCCATCACCGACGAAGGCGACGATTGGACGGGATTGTTTGGTGTTACTGGTTGTTGTAGGTGTGTCTGAGGATCCTTCTTGGATCTGGCGGACGAAGCTAGCTTTCTCTGCTGGGAGGACATTGGCCATGACGTTTGAGCGGGGGATTCTTAGCATGTCTGCGACGGCGTGGGCGGTTGTTTGATTGTCGCCTGTGCACATGAAGACATCGACACGTCTTTTCTGGAGCTGGGAGATGATGTCGACGGCTTCGGGGCGGATTGTGTCGGATGTTGCAAGCACGATAGCTGGGATGAACTTTGACGGTTCAGAGGACTGGGAGTTGACATGGCGGAGTGAGAGGACTGCGGTTGACTTGCCTGCTGACTGGTATTTTGACAGCAGGTTGGAAACGAAATATGTATCTGTTTCGGGTGATAGGACGCTGTGCAGCAGGCGTTCATTTCCAATAGCAGCTTCGTATTCGTCTTCGTGCTCCGGTCCAGAGACGGTGAAAATTCCTTTCATGCCTTGTCCGGAAATCTCATGGACGTTGGAGGTCTTGACAGTGGCGCAGGGTTGGGATTTGCAGAATTCGGTGACTGCCTGGGCGATTGGATGACTGCTGCTCTCTTCCATCTTTCGAGTCAGGGCCCATGCAACTTTCGCAAGTTCCGGGTCACTAGCTAGAACTTGGTGCTCGGAAACCTTTAGGCTGCCGCCTTCGGTCAATGTGCCCGTCTTGTCAAAGACGATAGCGTCCAGGCGACTAGCCTCTTGGAAGGCCTCTCCTCCACCTTTGACCAGGATACCATGCTTCGCTGCTAAACCACTCCCAACAAATAGCGCAGTAGGGGCTGCAAGGGCCAGGCCGCAGGGACAGGCTACAACGAATACTGCAATCGCAAATTCAAGAGCCCAGAATGTCCAACCACCATGAGTGACATCAAGGTAGTCTGTGGGGAGCACACCCGAGTGACCAAGGGCCAACCAGATGATGAAGGTGGAAATGGCAATGAGCGTGATGATGGGGACGAAATGCGAGGTGAGAAGATCGGCGACCCTTTCGATTGGTGCGCGCTTACTTTGGCCTTCACGAACTACAGTAATGATCTGGTCAAGCATAGATGAACCACCGAGCTCAGTAATGCGAATGCGTACAGGTTGGCCGACATTCACAGAGCCGGTATATACTATGTCACCGATTGATTTCTTGACCGGTCGAGATTCTCCAGTCAAAGAGCTTTCATCGAATTGGTACGAGGCGGTGTCAATGATCATTCCATCGGCAGGAGGCGAGGCGCCATGAGGGATGCTGACGACGTCTCCAACTTCGAGGAGGTCAACATTTGTACGTTTCATCCCCTCTGCAGCAGAGCCATCGGGGGCATCGCCATTGATAGTGGATGCGTCTTCGATCAACAGTGCCTCGGAAGGTCGAAGGTTACCCAATGACGTGACAGCATCGCCGGTTTTGGCTTTGCTGTATGCCTCCAGGAATCGACCAGCAAGAATGAAAAGAGTCAGGAATACGACCGAATCGAAATAGGTCGTGCTGTGGGGACTGAACTTGGTACCCACGACTGCATCGACGATAAGTATAGCCAGGGATGAAACATAGGCAACGGATGTGCCCGCAGAGATCAAAAGGTTCATACTACCAAAACGGTAGAATCTCCGCAGGATGGGCACCCGACTTCCAGGTCTCCACAAGGCATAAATCTCCTTCATGGCCCGGGCATGGAATACATCAGTGCCGTAGAACATCACGGGGGTTACCATGATAAAGAGTGCCCATTCTGTGCGGGTCACGCTGCCGGACCACATCGTTTCCTCCAGATACATTCTAGTGGGATTGTCGGACGGGACAAGAGACATGAACACAATGCCGATAATGAAGGTGGGAATCGCACATAAGAAGACAAACAATAGACGTAGCAACAGGCGGCGGCGCTCATGGTGCTGGATTGCACGAGAACGGTCTTCGATGCTGGGCGGGTGATATACGTTTGCGCAGAACGAGTCATTCGCCGTATTGATGGCGGATATTAGAGAGCGAATGGTGAGAGAAGGTGGCCGTGGGGTATATGTGACTCTGAGTATTGGGACTTTCTCAGACAGAGTTTGTTCGATGCAGACATCGGGAAGTGATTCCACTGCCTTCAAGACTGTCTGAGGGCAATGGTGACAGAACATTCCATCAACTCGGATAGAAATTGTCCTGGACTGGGCGGAATGGGGATTTTCTGGGATACCTGTTACTGGAGAGACGCTATTGACGGCAGCATCATAGCCTAGGTCTTCAATCTTCTCTATGATTCTGTCAAGATTGTCCCGGCCTTCGAACTCAACCCTTCCACTATGTGAAAGCAAGTTGACAGAGACGTCTCGAATAAACGGCAGCTCTTCGAGCCCGCGAGTCACTGTCCCGCTACAAGAGCCACAGGTCATGCCAGTGATCGCAATCTCGCTGGTATAGATTTCGGTGGACTTTGTAGGAGTCGAGGCTTTAGGAATCGGATTCGCCTCGTCGAGTGATGCTTCGAATCCGATGTCATCGATTTGTTCAACAATCTTGTGGACATTGTCTCTGGGTCCAATATAAGTTAATGTGGCGCTATTGGTGAGAAGGTTCACTGTGATATCTTTCACGAAGTCGAGTTGTTGAACTTCGGTCGTAATGCTGTTGGCGCATGATGCACAACTCATTCCTCCAATGCTGATCCGTACCGTGAATTCATCAATCGGTTGAGGGCTTGGACTAGGCTGTTCTGGAGAAAGCACATCACCTTCCACTCGTGTTTCGCAGGAGACAACCGAAGCTGTCTCCTGTGCAGCATTCTCTGGCGTTGGCTTAAGCTTTGTGGTAGAGATATCGCGCTCATGGCCCTTGCTTGTCCGACGATAGCCAGCGTGTGAAGACTTTTCGGCCAAAGATCCCAGCTCTATTCGAGAAGAATGAGGAGAAGTGTTCTCTTGTTCTTCTTTTCTGCAGGCATCACAATTGGCAATATGTCGTTTATGTCTACTAGCCTGAATTCGCTCTTTGATATTCGATGATATACTAGAAACCGAGTTGCGAGGCGTGGAGAACAACGCTGAGCCGCGGTGATTCCAAGCGGAAGTATCGAGTTCCGAGACGAGCGCTCCTCGGTGGTTGAATGTCGTTACATATTGTACTTCAAATGCGGCGCGTATTAATGCATTTACTAGGACGGTCGGTCGAACTGCAGCGCTGTGACTGGCACGGACTTCATGGGTCACGATCGTGACTTCGATCCCAGTGACGGTGGAGATTTCAGAGAGCACTTCGGTAACATATGCTACACATGACGCACAGTGCACATTGCTCACGAAGAAGACGCTTTTTTGGGTATCATGTTCATAGTTGGCGGCCTCCAGATCGAGGAGCTGGCTCTTCGATCTTGATGAAGTCATGATCGGCAGATCTCTGCGTGGGGCCAGACACGAGGCTTGGCTTGGTAGACGCAATGCCAAAGCTTTGCGGCTTGGGGGGATAGAGTAAATAAAAAGATACTCCTTGAATATGTGAAACCGATCGGCAGTAGGATCGCTCTCTACAGACAGGGAGTGGCACGCGGGTATGTTGAAGGAAATAGCGAATCACAGTGGTTAAATAGGCAAGCACAAGGAACAGGAAGAATGAGAGAGATTTGAAAGAGTCATAACATGTTTTATTAAGTAAAAGAAGAAAAGAAAATCCTAGAAGTGGGTGGATAAGCAGAGATGGCGAAGATGCGACATTTGTGCGCGATTCCACCCAAATCACGCAGAAATGCCGCATTCCAAGGATTCGGAGATGACGGCCCAGTATGCTAGAGATGGGGCCAGTCATGAGGAATGAGCTCGGATCCTGCATCCCAGATCCCAGATTCCGGAGTTCTCAAGTCGACTACATGTTGCCATGTGTGATTCAAGGAAGTAAATATGCCCTTGTCGACAGGAACAGGCACGCGTCTGATGCCGCTAGGCCGGATTTGGCTCCTAGCGTGTTTGACTCAATTAAAGTCAGGTCAGGTGACCTAAGGACAACGACGTGAAAGCGACCAAAATGAAGTCAAAGTGATCTAAAGACAAGAATTGAAGATTCGAACAAGACATGTATTATTCTTCTCATTGTATTCCTCACCTCAACTTGTTCGAACTGGAATGTAACTCTCCCAATGCATATGCTTATGTAAGATTGAATAACTTTTCTCTCCTCTTTCCTTATCGCCGACTGCCGCGATGGTGATACGAAATATTTCCTGCGACCTACTCTGACAAGAATCCCTGAGGCTTTGAGGACCTCGGTTCCTTCACCGAGCGCGCCTTTCCTCCTTACAAATTTCTACATCTCTTCGTAGAGATGTCCGCCCCCAAGCCTGCGCCAAAACCAGGCGCGCGTCCTACTATCCCGCCTCCCCGGCGGGCTCCTGTTGGACGCCTCGCAAGTCTAAAGCCACCAGGTCCAACTCCTATTAAGCGTCCGCAGTCTATCGGACGTCCTCAACCTCCTCGACCAACTACACATCCCAAAACCTCCAACTGTCCCAATCCGGGCTGTCCTGCCCCGCATATCGTCGAAGATGAAGGGGTGAAGGTCTGCTCAGGCTGTGGTACAGTCATCAGCGAGTCAAACATCGTTTCAGAAGTCACGTTCGGTGAATCGTCTTCCGGTGCAGCTGTTGTCCAAGGATCCTTCGTCGGAGAAGACCAAACGCACGTCCGCAGCTATGGCCCCGGTTTTCAACGCGGAGGCGCGATGGAAAGTCGCGAAATGACCGAGCAGAATGGTATGTGTCTCGAGTATACGCGACGTACATGATCAACGGCTAATGTTTAACAGGCAATCGTTATATGCTCCAGCTATCTCGAGCCCTGACTATTCCCGAAAGCGCAACCAAAGCTGCTGGTCAAGTCTTCAAACTTGCAGTTGGCCTCAACTTTATTCAAGGTCGCCGCACAAAGACTGTGGCTGCAGTTTGTCTATACATTGCCTGTCGTCGCCAAAATGGTAACACAGTAATGTTGATTGATTTTGCTGATGTTTTGATGGTAAGTAATGCTTGCTCACTGTGTTCTTGGCGCCGCCCCCTAACTTCCAACCAGGTCAACGTCTTTAAACTCGGCCGCACTTACAAGGCGCTCCTCGATGAGCTTCGCCTAGGCGGAAATGTATTCTTGATGAACCCCATCGACCCGGAAAGCTTGATCTATCGTTTCGCTAAACAGCTGGAATTCGGACAATCTACAATGGCGGTGGCCGGTGAAGCAGTTCGAATCATCCAGCGAATGAATCGTGATTGGATGACCACTGGACGGCGTCCAGCTGGTCTTTGTGGTGCGGCATTGATCCTCGCCGCGCGTATGAACAATTTCCGTCGGACCGTGCGCGAAGTCGTTTACGTCGTCAAAGTTACGGAAATCACCATCAGCCAGCGTCTAAACGAGTTCAGTTCCACTGAAAGTGGTGAACTGACCGTCGATCAATTCCGTTCCGTCCAATTGGAAAACACTCACGATCCCCCTTCCTTCACTCGCGGGCGAGAAGGTCGGCATCCTCGAATCAAGAAGAAGGTGCCAGAGACTGCAGCGGAAATTGAAGATGACCTCACAGATAGCGAAGCTGGATCAGTTCCACCACGTCGTTTGGATGCCGACGGCTTTACTATTCCCAACCTCCCCATTGATCCGGCTTTAACGGGTCGACGTTCATCGGTAGTTGCGAAAGCCGTCACTGATGTGGCAGAAGAGTTTGAGACCGAAGCAAGCTCCAAGGGCAAGAGGCGACAGCCTGCGCCAGAACCTCCCGCAGAGGAGCTTGCATCTGAAAAGGCACTAGAGGATGAAATGCGGACAATGCTGGCTCAAGGCTCAAACCTGGTTGAGAGTGCCACTGAGCCCGAGCGGCCCCCCGTTTCCGACAGCACTGAGATCGATGCCGCCGAGTTTGAAGATGATCCCGAAGTCGCCAATTGTCTCCTCTTGCCTGCTGAAGTGGAAATTAAGGAGTCAATCTGGGTGACTGAGAACAAAGAATATCTCCGTACTCAACAGGCAAAGGCTCTGAAGCGTGCCATGGAAGAATCTGAAGGCGGTACAACATCTCGCAAACCTCGCAAGCGTCGCCGTGGTCGTCTTGGTGATGTCACATATCTCGAAGGTGAAGGTGAAGAGGGCCGTTCCCGCGCCTCAACTCCTGCCGAGGCGACTCGTCGCATGCTGGAGCGCCGAGGCTACAGTAAGAAGATCAACTACTCTCTATTAGACACACTTTACGGCGGAGAAGGAGCCGATGCCAAGGCAGAGAGCATGAGCCGCAGCCAGAGTCGCAGCCAAAGTGTCATCTCGCGACGTAGTGCCAGCATCGAACCACAGGCAGCCTCTCGGCGAGCCACTCCCTCGGATGCCAAGCCTGCCCTTCCTCCCTCCACCACGGCCGCACCCCTGCCCACTCCCCCTGCCACGCAGAATACCCAGGAGCCAACCAAGGAAGATGGTTCTGCTGCTGCAAATCCTGATCCAGATGACCAGGATGACTATGATGAGGATGATGGCGAGGAGGACGGTGTTGACGATGCCTTCGCAGGCAACTACGGTGAATACGAGAGCGACTACGACTACGATGACTAGTGACTCATTGAGGTATACCGGGTTCGTTAGATGGGTGGCCCGGGGCTGGGATGTGATGGTAATTCCCTCGCTTTTTCAGGCTCTTTTTACGAATTTCAAAATGATACCATGTACTTTTAGCGCACGCATTGGGTCCGGATTTGAATCAGTATTAATCAATCAAATGCTTCAAGGCAACTCCATGGTCATGTCATGGTAGCAACACACAAGACATCGTGCCTTACCTCTGCCTACTGTAGCTCCATCTTAATGCAGCATGCTAGCAGTCTGGATCATCAGACATGGATCCCCATCCATGCACCGTACGGCTGCAGTGACCATCCTCGACCAACAGCTGGACCCAGGGAAAAAGAGGAGGGCAACTCCCTGGGGGTTGCTGGGACGATATTTTTTTTTCCAGTTTATGCGTTGGGCACGCACCTCAGACATGGCAGCTAATAAGTTAAGCCGCATCTTCCAAACGGACCCAGGTTCGCACTGTATGTATGGTGACTCACTATATTAACTGCAGCGTTTTAACACTGAGCTATCTGGGAGGCGTTAGGGTATTCCTTCCTTACCTTTTACCGTCCCGATTAAGGATTATTGTGCCTGACAAATCAGGCCAAAAGATCCCCCAGTGTCTGCCTGATAATCCAGGCCAATTCTACCATTCTTGCCAATCCTATCTATGCACTTCGGTCGACGGTATTCCCAGCTGCTTACACGCTTATCCTCTTCAGCCTTGTTTTTTGTAGGCCATATATGCATATGCAGTTTGTAACGGAATGACTCATTTTGAATTCAACTTGGGCCCTTGAGCCTTCGAGCGCCCTGTGACTGTCTTTGTTTCTCGCCCGGTACGATAGCCCTGTCTACAGATTTCAATATAACCACATGCATGTATCCCCAATAAAAGGAACACGCTACACCGATCTCCTCCCATAACCACACGCCACAGACGCCACAACAAGCCATATCCTTACATCCCCTGTAACAATGCCCCTCCTCCAACACAAACAACCCTCCCATAAGGCAACCATAAGCGCCAACCACCCAAAAGGACAATCCCAACCCCAAGATCTGCAAGAGTACAAGCAACGTCACAGCGAACCCAAAAACGGCCTTCTCCCCGAACATGTCAACCTCCCCGCACTTCCCCAGATCCAACAAAAAGGATAAAAGGAAAGTGTCAATCAATTAGCCGAGGGTCGATCTATACTCTCCATTCCCCGTTCGCCCCAGAGAAGCAAAAACCAAGCCTCATTCCACGAAGGACATTGGTGGAACTCTCCCGTTTAACCCCCTTTGTCCTTGTCCTACCGGCGTAACTCCGTGCCCGAGACACTGCCGAAGCAAGGCTGGCGCTTTCCCATGCCTCATTTGGGAGAGGAGATTCGGGTCGCAGGCTGGGATTGGTTGGGGGCATGTACGGTAGCTTTAGCTTAATATTGAAGAGATACTTTCTGTGGTAGCTTGGACAATACAAAAGGACGAGAGTCTCTGCCATGTCGCGGTGTGGGATCTACACGTCCTTCCCATTACTAATATCACATCTCTATTCTGTTTCCCTCGTACAGGCTATGCCATAGCCATCGGGCTGAATAGCACCAAGATGGTAAAACTCAACATCTACGGCCGAGGCCGATCACTGCGAATGGCTATTATGTTTACATGCCAATTGGCATTTATCTTCTTCGGTGCGTATACTCTATACCCTGGATTTTAAGACGGGACCCGAACAGCTAACATTTAAAATATAGGCTACGATCAAGGTGTCTTCTCCGGAATTGTAGGAAACGAGGAATTCCTCAGCATAGTCCACCATCCCAGCGCCGGTATTCTGGGTATCATAGTATCAATATACAATCTGGGCTGTTTCGCCGGAACGATAGTGTCATTTGCCATAAGTGATCGAATCGGACCGCGGAAATCAATGTGGTTTGCCATGGCGTGGATCATTGTGTGTTTCTCTATTCCTTCTTCTCATATTTAACACTTACATGTCCCGTATAGGTAGGAGCAACATTACAAACAACCTCATTCTCAAGAGCCCAGTTACTCGTTGCGCGCTTCATCACCGGTATAGGTACAGGCATCGAAACCACTGTCGTACCAGTGTACCAATCTGAACTATGCGAAGCCAAGAAACGAGGAAAATACGTCTGCAGCGAGCCGCTTTTCGTTGGTGTTGGTATTGTTATTGCTTACTGGTTTGATTATGGGATGAGTTATGTTGATGGGGCTATAAATTGGCGGTTGCCAGTTGCTTGTCAGATGATTTTTGCTATTATGGTTATTTTGTTGGTCTTTGGGTTAGTAACTCCCTGGGGTCCAATTGAGAAGAGAGGAGACCCAGTCGTTTATATAATGCTAACACTGGCCATAAATAGTCTGCCTGAAAGTCCCAGATGGCTCTACCGACACAACAGACCAGATGAAGCTCTCCAGGTCCTATGTGATATCTATGACATGGGACCGGAGGATGGCATGGTCGTTTCTGAATCTGAGGGTATTATCCAGGCTATTCAGCTGGAGACACTACATGGCGAATATAAATGGTCACAGATTCTCAAGCGGGATGAGGTGCAGACTGGTCGACGGGTGTTGCTGGCTTATGGAATTCAATTTATGAATCAGATGGGTGGGATCAACTTGGTTGTGGTGAGTTCATTCCCAACATTGTCCTGTTATATTGGCCTAAGCCATCACATCTCTAACATTATGGGTCTTGCAGTACTATGTGACATCCGGTAAATATCAGCCCAAATCACAACCTTCCGTCAAAATCATGCTGATAGAAACAACCCATAGTCCTTGAATATAACGTCGGCCTAACTCGCAAACTAAGTCTCCTCCTAGGAGGAGTAATCCAAATCATGTTTGTGATTGGTAAGTTCACAATCCCAGCAATGAGAAGATATCATACCAGAGCAAGCCCAACTAATGCACACCAGGCTCCTTCTATCCAACCTTTTTCTCGGACCGCTTTGGTCGCCGCAAACCAATGATGTGGGGTTCCTTCGGGCTCTTCATCTCAATGATGATGATATCGATTTTGCTCTCATTCAAGGGTGCGTACACTCCTACACACCTGATATACAAGATCTCGTCCTAATTGCACAAATGACCATTCTCTGCATCTTGATACTGATATCACTATTCCAAAATAGGAACGTCAATCGAAAAACCAACAGCAACAGCCTCCGTCGCCTTCTTCTTCCTCTTCATGCTAATCTTCGGTGCATCAGTGAATTGTATTCCGTGGGTATACGGACCTGAGATTTTGCCTTTGCATGCTCGCGCTAAGGGGTGAGTAACTCATACACCACACCACTATCAAACACCCATCTATCTCTTGATGTCCATGTAGTCACCGAGACATATTCATATTCACTAACCTCCTTTTCTCCCATAACAGCCAAGCAATCGGAATCTCAGCAAACTGGCTCTGGAACTTCTTCGTGGTAATGATAACGCCGACATTAATCCAGAACCTGGCATGGAAGGGATATTTAATTTTTATGTGTTTGAATCTGGTTTTCGTTCCGGTAAGGCCAAACACCATCCTAGTTTATGCTACGATGACAAAGTCTGTGGGTGGCTTGTTCGGTTCTGTTTTGCTAATGATATACATTTACATGCAGATTATCTACTTCTTCTACCCCGAGACGGCGAATCTCACGCTCGAGGAGATTGATTTCCTGTTTACGGATCGGGCGAGATACCCTTCTATTGCGGAGTCGCGGTCCGCTGGGAATGGAGATGTTAGGGTGGATGGCGTGGATGGGAATGAGAAAGATGAGAGCGGGAGTGCTGGGGGTAGTGTCAGTCATGATGAAGTCAGAGTAGGGGCTGGAGGGAAGGAGTGATGCTCTTGTTATCGGGGAATATTAATATATCTCGAGGTAGTTGTTGATGCTCTAGTTTATCATATATTGACGTTATGAATATCTAGTAAAGACAAGGGCTAGCTAATTACATCAAACTAGAGCATTGTAGGTTATAGAAGTGAATTGCTACTCAACGGGCAGAAAGAAAATATGCGCGTTTTACTCGGCCAATATCCCGCCCCCTCTCGTTGAGCAGTTTTTGGGCCAATCCCAACTTATGTATATGTAGGCCCCAAAGATAATCTCCCAGTCGGACATGAGTAACAGCCGGGAACAGTAGAAAGGGCCCATATGTTGTCCAAACCTCGTTCTCCGGGCGAAACAAGGGATACATCTCATAGAGTGAAAATGGTGCATCCCACTGTCAACCCGATGTCGACGCAAGCGACAAAATACGAAACGGCATTCCGGAAAAGACGGATAAGTATTCAAAAATGGGTATCATTGGTGTCGTGAACTAAACAAGCGCCAGGGTATCACAATTTGTTCCGCGGATTTCCTTTCGCCTGATCCTTGAGCTCTTCTTTGAAGTAGTCGAAGAACTGCTTGATCCCGGAGCCTAACATGGATTAGTTAGCCATGGCTTCTTGTTACAGACTCGCATAAAGCCGTACCATTATTCTCGAGTTTGGTGCCTCCCATCTGTTCCGGAGGCACCCCGTGTCTGACGTGTTGAATTTTCTCGTGGACTCGGCCAACCATGCGATGGAATATGGGGCTTCGGAGGAGCTGTGAGAGCGATGTCAGGATATTGATCAGAGTTAACGGGCGATTTCGATGCAACATACTCGAGCAGTGAGCCAGACCTGAGACGGACAATTTGTCAGTGAAGAACGGCGTGGCAGAAGGAGAGAACTCACCTCCAAGCCTCGGAACAACAGAGTACTCCACGTCATCTTGGAGATTCTCTCTAAGATTCAACCATGAAGTTCAAACCATGGGGATCTGCGAGTGCGAAGAGGACGAGACCTCGGCCTTGAAGATCCGGAGGGTTTCTTAGTCAGCTCTTCCCCGCGAAGCTTTTCTGAATCATCGCGGAGAACATTCGCGACTAATAATTATTTCCAGCCTCCTTTTCAATAAACCACGGAATGTATAGCTATGGTCCTGTGGCTCCAACAACCCGCCACTGAGTCTTGACCATTGCCGACGATGGCGAGTGGCACCGAACGAACTATTCAAGTGGCTCGGTTCTTCCCAATCCAGATCAGAAACTCCGTTTCTCCTACGCGGTCCAGAGAATGACCAAAGGTTGCTACACCTGTCGACGACGTCGCATCATCTGCGACAATGGCCAACCCACCTGCCGGAAGTGTCGAGATGCGGGGAAGGAATGTCTGGGGTATCAGAAGCCGCTCGTTTGGGTCAAAGGTGGTGTGGCTAGTCGCGGAAAGATGATGGGCCGCAGCTTTGATGATGTGGAAAAGCCATCGAGCAAACCGAAGCGCAGGGCTACTGAAGTATCCGATTCTACTGCGACGAGCAGTGGGTTCGGCTTCTTTTCCATCGCCGAGTCTTCCTCGGACGCCGAATCTCATAGTTCTGGGAACCAACCTAGTCCGGAGACAGAGGGATGGGTCTTTGGGACGTCGGAGAATCTACCGGCCGGAGATGATGTTGCACACTTGGATTTCAATACCACCGAGGAGGACAACGCTGTCGTTCATGTTCCTCGGAGTACTCCTAGCACTGACTATGTTCCAGCGCCATGGGGACTGGTAGATCCGCTATTCAAGGATCTCGGCCAGTACTCACGGTACTATGTATATCACTGTGAGATACTCTATGCACGCACTAAGTGGCCCCGCTAACAACTGACTAAAGACAACCAATACATGGTCAACGACTTTGCGCTCTACTCTCAGTCTAAAAACCCCTTCCGAGACATCACCGCTCTGGTCAACCATTCCCCGGTGCTTGCGCACAGTATCTCCGCCCTCGGGGCTCTTCATTACTCGCTTCTCTCGGATTCGGATTCCTCTCCCATGCCGTGGTCATCCAAAAGCCAACCGTTGGAGGATTCGCACTTGTCTGTAAAGGAAATTGAAGACATTGTTGCGCCAGCAAGCTCGAGGAAGCCCACCTCGCAAGGATACCAACATTTCTTGGAGTTCAAGCAGCGTGCTCTTCGCCAGTTGTCCATGGACCTTAGCAACCCAGCAATGCAAAAGGACGGCAGGACATTAGCTGCCATCGTCTTACTTGCCTTCTTGGACCTCATCGAGTCAGGCAGCGGAGCGTGGAGCTATCACATAGAGGGCGCAAAAAAACTTCTCAAAGACCGACCTGAAAATGGTCTGGGACGAGGGATCCTCGAAGACCTGGAAGCATTCGCCCTTGACGGGTGTTTAATGTAAGAAACCTCAACATCCACCAAACCCTCCCTCTAACAAAACCCCAGCATGGAAATCATGGGATCAACACTCGCCCGCCCAGGCGCCCTCTCAAAACCCTTCTACTCCTCAGCAATGGGCCCCTCAATCCTAAAACGCCTGGAAGAAAACTCCTGGGTCGGCTGCCCAGCCTACCTCCTCGAAGTAATCTTCTTCGTCCACGCCCTCTGGTACCCAGACTCGGAAATAGCAGCCGCAACGCCCCAGCCAACCGCCCTCCCAACCTCAATCCAACCAGGCCAACCCCTAACCCTAGAATCCTTCGCAACCCTCCTCCAAGGAATCCGAAACTTCGACCCAATAGCCTGGAGTCAGGAAATGCAAGCTGTCTTCTTCATCCCGGATCTGACATACCGTCTCGCCCTCGCGACCTCCTACCAAGACGCGGTCTACCTCTACACCAGTCGCGTTCTCTCCCGCACCAGACCGGGCTTCGATCCCCCTTGGTCAGACGTCGGTCTGCCAGCTGATCACTCGTTCATTGCTACGAATCTCATCACCCAAATTTGTCTAATCCCGCCTTCGGATCCGCACTTTAAATGCCTCATCTGGCCTACTTTCATTGCCGGCGCTGAATGTCGCCCTTCGCAGCGGGCTCTTATTCTTGAGAAATTGGGTTCGCTTTATGAAGCTTTGACTAGTGTTAATGTTCGCAATGCTGCTTGGGTTTTGAGACTTATGTGGCAGAAGCAGGATACTAAGCGTCGTGAACGTCAGGGTGGTGGTGGTGGTGGTGATGATGATATCGATATTAGCTTTGATTGGATCGATGAGCTGGATTCTTCTCGTCTTGATTGGCTGTTTATCTAAGTGGCTGTGGCTGTGTCTGGGGAAATTTTACATATCTCTCCCTGTTATGACTTATGTTTGTATTTGTATATATACCTCCAAGTACATTATTATGGATATTACTGTTGTTACGTGGTAATGGATATATTGAATTCGAATTTGAAGATGATATCGATGAAAGGACTATGTTCTTGAAAGGATTGTGACAGGAGTGCGGGGTAACAATTCTCAGCCTAGAGAAAGAAGAAGAAGCAAAGCTATGCGCCGTGGTGATAAAGAGATGGGGGGCTTGTATACCGGAGAAAGAAGAGGAGATAGAAGGAAAAGAAAGTCACAATGAAGAGGTCGGATCAGGAGCTCAGAGAGGAAGAGATTGAAAGAGGATGGAAGTAAGACACAAGAAGAAAAAATGATAAGGGAATGCAAATGACCTTTTCACCGAATAGCCCAAAAAAGGAAACCAAAAGACAAGAGAGAGGGGATGGCAAGAAAAGTAGGAAAGAGGATAAGAAGAAGTCAACAGGTCTACTGTGATTCAATACCAACTCAGAAGTACTTGACACGGTCTCGAACAGATATCAACGTAAAAGAAAAGAGCAAAGCAGAAGGAGTCTCAATGTTGTGGACAGTATGCTTCAGATCAAATCAGGGATATATAACAGTGGACGACACAGAAAAGGAAACACTGAAATGGGGAGTGTAAATGGAAAACAGTCTGAGATATAGCAGACGGCAGAGAAAGATAGTATGCGCACGCTCCCTTCCGAATCTAAATGCAAGAAAAATGGTTCCCCAACAGACGTAGGAAAAAGAAAAAGAAAAAAAAATTGTAATCAACAAACACGCTCGTCACTGGAATATGCAAAGGGTAGGTCAAGTAACCGATATGCGAGGAGGACATCCAGTCTTTGTGCGAATGTCGGTGCATGGAAGAGAAAAGGAACGGGAGAATGGGAGAATGGGAGAATGGGAGAATGGAAGTGAGGAGACTGCCAGAGGTGTGTCATATTCCACCTCGATCACAGTCGGGTGAGACACCACCTATTGCCCATGAACGAAAATAACCCCCAGGGCTTTGAACAAGGTGTACAAGAAATGAGTCAAGTCGAGAGCAGGATGCTTTTTGGTTCTTTGCCACTAGAAGACGGCAGCAAGGCCATTCTTTGAATGACGCTTGCTGAATCTCTTTCTCCCTTTTGTTGACTCGGAGTCGGTGGCCTGGTGTTTCACCAGATGGTTCCGGCCAGATGGTGGTGGACCTCTGTCATCTTTCTGCATGTCGGAGGTGCGGTCTAGTGTGTTGGCGGGGCTGGGAAAGCCGGATGAGAGGTTTTGGAATGCATCATCGCCGAAAGGACCGGCGCTTTGTTGCAATGATGCCATCTCCCGGGATCTGTCCAAGGCATCCAGCCATTCTTGGACCTGGACTGCTGTGGCGCCAGGTGAGGCTTTGGGGTCCTCGAAGACATAATGTTTATCTCTCTGTAGTGGCATTAGATGAGGTACTTGATAGCTTCGGGGTGGGTTACATACCGTGTCCACAATCCACGATGAGTGTCCTTTGGAGTCGGTCGTGCTCCGGTAATGTGTCCCTGGGGCCAAGAGAGGGATCTCGAGTTTGATCTTCTTCTCATCACCACCAGACGCAGCCAGGATAATCCGCGCAGATGAAGTGACCATCACCAGCCGTTGCCGCTTCTTGGTGGCGCTCCCAGAGAAGAAACGAGAGAATTTCTTAGGGGCCTCGAACTCACCACTGCTGTTTTTGGATGAGGGGCTGTGCGAGGCAGCAGATGAAAGAACCACCAAATTGCCCAATTTCAAGATCCGTTCGTTGTTGTTGCTGAGCACTGGTGACCATTCAATATCCAGCTGACTCGGTGGAGGTAACTCGGTCACTACTCGTGGGAGCTGGCGGTTACTGGCACTGGGTGCATTGGAGGGGGCGGTTGAAACGACCGGCGGCAAATCCTCATCACCTTCACCACCGTTGAGCTTGATAGGATCGCGTGCAGGAGGCACATAAGACTTCAAGCGAGGAGCCTTTTGTTTCCAAAGATCCGTACCCCAAGTAATACCTTCAAAGAATTGATGGTTCTTGATGTGCTCGATTTGAAGACGCCGTGCGGGATCCAGGACCAGAAGACGTTCGACAAGATCACGAGCGATAGGAGGGAATCCAATGGGGAACTCGTAATCCAATCCCACGATTTTCTGGAAAGTCTGATACTCATTCCCAGCTTTGAAGGGAGGACGACCGGCTAACAACTGGTAAATGATGCACCCAAACGCCCATAGATCACTGGCCTTGCACGCGTTCTTGTCTGTCAAAAGCTCGGGGCTGACGTATTCCGCAGTACCGACAAAGGAACTCGCGCGCTCTTCCTCAGGAACCTCGTTGTCGAGAGGGGGAAGGCCATTTGGGTTTGAGTCCGCTCGTCGCGAGGTTTTGAGGATCTTGGCCGTTCCAAAATCAGTGATCTTGACATACATTGCGCTGTCAAGCAGCACGTTCTCCGGCTTCAAGTCTCGGTGGATCACACCGCGCTTGTGCATATAGTCTATCGTATCCAGGATCTGAGCACCGTAAAACCTCGTACACTCCTCGTCAAATGTGGTCATCCGCTTGAGTGTACCGAGCAATTCTCCTCCTTTGCACAAGTCCAGCACGAAATATAGCGACTGCTCATCCTGGAAGGTATAATAGAGCCGCACAATACCTGGATGATCGGTCAAGCGGTTCAGGGTATCCTTCTCGATGTTCACGTATTTCACCTTCCTCTCCTTGATGATGTGTCGCTTGTCAAGGATCTTGATCGCGTATTCCTTCAAAGTCTGCCGGTCCGTCGCAAACACGACCGTACTGTAGGAGCCCTCTCCGAGAGTATTCCCGAACGAGAAATCACGGACTCCCTTCTTGATATAGCGGGAAACTGTTTTACCGTTGGCATCCACCTCTTGCCTCACAGATACCGCAGCACCGCGCTCCTGCCAATCCTCGCTGCTGGGCAGCGGCCCATTCTCCATGTGGGAAGTTCGAGACATCTGAGATGCTGCGCCTCCACTTCTTGCGTGTGCTCGAGACGTCTGACGCATCACCGCCGGACCGTTGCCGGGGATCTGGGCGGTTCGGTAGGACCGGTCGCTGTGCGAGTTATCGCGCGCCAGAACACCGGCATGTAAAGCCGATGAACCTCCTCGGGTGTCTGCCCGCGCCTGAGAGCCAGATGTAGATGAGGCGCCTGAGTCGGTTCGAATGCGGTAGGTATTGTCACGGGGGAGGTTTGAGGTTGCAGAACCATTCGCGTATACGGCGGAAAGGGGTCGGTTGGGGTTTGGAGGTGTCGAGAGCGGAGTCGAATATGGCTGATACGTAGGCACAGGCTGTGTGTCTGGAGAAGGAATGGATCGGTCCTCTACCGTAGAGGCTTCGATGGGCGCAGGCGGAAATGCTGAGGAGCGGTCGTCGTTGGAATTCTGTGTTGATACCGAACCGCCCGGGCGTCCGAACGGACTGGTCCCCAGTGAATCCGCGGTCGCATCTGGTAGAGGCGAATCATCAGGATTGGCTATCCGAAGTCCTCCCAGGGACTGGGAGAGACTGAGATCCCCGTTCATGACGAAGGATGAGGTCGTCTAGCGGAGATGCAAGGTTGAAAAACAAAAAAAGACGAAAAAGACGAAAACCATTAACACGGATGCATGGTCCGGAGTGAAGAGAAGAGAGAGAGGGGGGAAAGGATCAACAGGAGGCTCGTAGAAATCGGGTCTAGTGTTGAGGGGCTGAGTCTGACTATTAATACTTGTAGTATCACCTCCTAAGACAAGTCTGGTTTCTCTCTACTTATAGACTTCTGTGCTACTCTCCAGGCATGATCAGACGTCGCCCAACTATCATCCTCCTGGAGGACTTGGATTCTCTCCAGATCTTCCCACTGACAACAGACTTCCAGAAACTGACCCTGGACGAACAGGAACAGAGCTACGATGACCTACTGGGGGATCTCTCATCCTGCGCATCGGATGCAACTACCAACATTGACCTTACAGCTCCCAGTCACGGAAAGCACTCTTGTGAACGCGACAACTCTTCACCAAGTCCCGGGATCTTCGCATCTCCAAGCACAGCTCCACCATCCGCATCCGCATCCACCAAATCATGCCTGAAATCCCACCTCCCAATCCGAGAGTCCTTGCAGAACACATCTCCGGGAGTGAAGCCGCGTCGAGCGTCCCAGTCTACCGACCCACCACGGCCAAAAGTGACCTTCGCGTTGTCACCGCAAGAACAAGAGCTCCATAGCGGCAGAGCCAATCGTTCACCGGAAGAACAAGAAGGTACGCTAAACCGCGCAGTTTGAGTCGCGAACCCTCTAAGATAACAACAGATGATCGTATTGAAAACCGGCCTCGCCCAGACACTACTACAGCCCTATCTCTCGACTCGCCGGACCTCACGCCACAACTCTCCTTCTTGTCCTGTGGTGTCTCGTCAAGCCCGGCCACCGCCAGCGTCCCACTCCGGGACCTAGTCTTAGCGTCCACGCTGTCTTACGAGGCAGTCTTGGCCGAGAAGACGGTCTCGCCCGAGTTAGGGCATTCCATCAGTGAAGGCCGTGGTATTGTCTAGCTGTCAGGAGATGCAATGTCCGAGATTGGTGGCTGTGTTCTGGCGGTCTACACTGTACAAGTGCAAACAAGTGCAAGCTTGCCATGAGCTATTGATTTTGTGGCTTTTTGTTTGCCCAGATTCATTCTGTTAGGTTTGTATAGGTAAGTTTGTATAGATAGGTCACGAACTGACGAAGTATGATACCCAATATGAATATGAGTTATGAGTTATGAGTTTTGAGATAAGAGATAAACTTCAAGCTATGAAACGCAATAAAAAATAACAGAACCACGCATACCCAGTCCAGTCCCAGCCTAAAAATACATATACATGCTGTACATGCAAACCACCCATTGATAACAACAACCCAGCCCTGGCGAATGTTTCACGTTAAAAGAAACATAGACAATCTAGAATCCCTCTTCAACAGGTCCATCTGAAACAATCCCGGCAATCTAACAATAGTTCAAGTGCTAAGTGGAGAGAACCACAAACCGGGGCCCGACATCAGTACTGACGCGTCGCTTTGCCTCCATCCCACAGTGCCCTATGCTGTCATCTGCCCTATAATGGTGAATTTGGGATGGAGATGAGGCATACGTCAGCTATATACATATACATATACTCTATTTTTATTTCTATCTTTGTTCCATAGTTATACTACGGTGCTGTACATGCATACGGAGTACGGAGTACAGTGTTCTTGTATGTACTGCCGACTGCATGGTTCAGGATCCACAACGCCACGCTGCACACAACCTGGATTCATTCTGGAATATTTCCGGCGTTGGTTAGGTCGCTTGCTGAGATGGAGTTCTATGGTTGGCTATCTAGGGGTTGTGTATCGTAGAATTGGGTTGAGTTTTGGATGGTACATGTAGGGATACAGTTCGACTGTACTCCGTATTCCGTGCGGGTTTCCTGATCCGGTGATTTGCCATCTGGGATTGGTGATTGCCTGGTGATCGCCGTGTGGCGAGTATAAGTGTCCTGGGGGCGAGGGGCGAGGGCTAAGGGCGAAGGCGAAGGGTTTGGGTTGGGGTTAGTGGGGCTGGACGTATGTACATCGGTCTGTGCTGAGGCTATTGGTACGTGTAGAGTTATGTGGGGGAATGAATGAGTTGGAGAGATTGGAGGGATTGCAGGTCTGATTTTTGAGATTGTAAGATGGCTTACTACGAGACCGCTATTTGGAGGTTTGATATGTCATGGCCTGTGTTACGGTCTACAGGTAATGTGAACTGTCTGCAACTGAATCAATTAGGGATAGCAACACCAATCAAGCCAGTCTAATAAAATGTATATCAAAAGCAACCCAGCTCTAGCGCACAGGAGGAGAGAAGAAAGGTAAAGAGGGTTGAATGGAGTTAAGTAACAAGATGAAACGCCAACGAAAGATCATCTCCCAGATGTCGCTTCATATGCTCCCTTGTGTATATTTTTTTCCATGACGGTATGAGCTCGTTTCAAATGTATCAAAAAAAAAAAGGAAAAGAACAAAAGAAAAACATTCCTTCACACAAACATGTGACGGATCAAGGGGGAATTATCTACTGCTTCTTGGCGAAAATCTGCGCACCGTCGACCAAGCGGCGCTCGGTGTTCTGGCGACCGTTGACAAAGTCGGGGTAGTTGAGGGTCAGCTCAACGGCACCGTTGACAATGTTGTCAACAGCCTCGACACCCAGCATGAAGGAGTGGTCCTGGTTGCCGACCTCGTAGCGCCAGCTACCGAAACGGCCACGAGACCAGATACCCTTCTCCTGGAGCTTGGGCAGGATCTGGGTGAGGGCACCCTCACGCTCAAGGGAGGGGGTGGGGTAACCGTGGTCGAAGCGGCGGTGGTAGGTGGAGACGATCTCATCACCGGGCTTGAGCATGTCGGTGTTGACGAGACCCTGGATGGACTCGGCGAGGAGAGTGTCGTTGTTGACGGGCTTCATAGAAGACTCGGAAACCTCAAGCATGATGGACCAGTAAGGACCCTCCTGAGCCTCGGAGCTCTTGGGCTTAGAGCCGTCGGCGAGCTGGAGGGTGGGCAGCTTCTTGGAGGCATCGGGCTGGTTGTAGGGAGAGTAGTTGGAGAAGATGGTGGCACGGTAGAAGGGGCAGTCATTCTCGGGGAAGTAGAGCCAGCACTTGTCACCGATGCGGTCGGGACGAGCACCACGGATACCAACACCGATAACGTGGGTGGAGGAGTAGAAGAGCTGCTTGGTGAGGGGAATGAGCTCAGTGTCGTTCATGGCCTCGGCGAGGTAGTCAACAGCCATGGTGGAGACCAGCTTCTTGTAACCGATGGTGGTGCCATCAGCCAGGGTGACGGTCTTGTTGTTGGCGTTGACCTTCTCGACCTTGCTCTTGGGGCCGTAGCGGGTGTTCTCCTTTGGGATGGTGTTGGCAACAGCAATCCAGATACCACCGGTACCATCACGGGCAGGGAAACGGAAAGTAGCGTTAGGGCCCCAGTTACCGGCGGTCTTGTTGAGGATAACGTTGGTGGTCACGGCCTTGACGTTGGGGGCAGCGACACGCTCACCGAGCCAAGCGCATTGCATCTGGTGGAATTAGTATCATTGCGGTCGGTCCCTGAAAAGACATAAACTCACCTTGGTGGTAGGCACAGCCCAGACCTTGTAGTTGTAAGGTCTCATGAAGAGGTCGGCAATACCAGTACCCATCATGCGGACAATCCACTCGTCGAAGTCCTTGGGCTTGGTGTTGGAAACACGGGCCTCAAGGGCAGCATCGATCATGCCGTCAATGCACTTTACCTGCTCCTCCTTGGGAAGCATGGAAATGTTGTTCTGGAAGGGGTAGGGAACCCACTGCTCCTGGCAGCGGACGTAGGAGATACGCTCGTGGGTGAACCAGTCGTCATCCTTGGGGAGGGCCTCGTTGATGCAGTCGTCGAAGTACTTGTAGTGGGAGAAGATAACGTGGCCGCCGACATCGTACAGCTACCAAACAGTCAGTTTATGCAAGTCGCAATTGAGGCGAGTCGCAACTTACGAAGCCCTCGTCGGTGACATCAGTAGAAGCAAGACCACCGGGGGTCTCGTTGGAGTCAATGATCATCCATGAGGCGCTGTTCTGTATATTCAATCAGTCACGAATTCTTCGGAATACCCCTCCCCCTTTTTTTTCCCTCTGTGCCCCTCCGACACAACAATTGAGGATTTGAAAGACTTACGATCTGGTTCAACCGCTTAGCGGCACCCAAACCAGTAGGGCCAGCACCAATGACGAGAACGTCAACAGAACTAAGCAATTGTCAGTGTTGACATTGACGGGATGATGGAGTTCCAATACTTACATGTCGGGGTGGGTCATTCTGCCTTGTAGGAGATCCTGAAAGCTGGGAACTCTTTTAAAAGTCTTGCGGGCGACGTTCAGCATAGAAAAAGCACAGCTGCAGGAGGTCTGCAGAAGATAAGTTGGGAGCGAGAGAGGTAATAAATGGGAAGGGGGGGAACCAAAGAAGGAGAAGTGGGAGGGACAACGTGACAAGCCAAGCTATCCAGACGCAGTCGGCTAAAGGTAGAGTGGGGTGGACGTGCCTGTTTCAGGTTTACTGATTCGTATTTTACCCCCTATTCAACTTTATACTTGCTGTACATGTGTTTCTTAATTTTAATTTTATAAATTTTAATCCTCAAACACATTCGATCTGTCTTCCAGGGTCTATTGGACTCCATAGGGACCCGTGGGACACGTAAGGCAATCCCATCACATCCCATACTGTAGGGATCCTGGTGAAACTATTGAATCTATCACATCCTGCGCACGCCCGTTATTGGTCTGGGGCTTATCGACTCCAAAAGCAGGGACCCGGAGTCAATTTGCATGCGGGCAAGTCGTTATTGGTATTCCCTTGGCGGATATTCGACAATTCTGGAATGCCCGTTATCATCTCCCATCTCGGACATTTTCAATTCTCTAGGAAAAAAGGGGCAGATAGGGGCCATTGAATCGAGATGGAAAATGGCTGGACTAAAAACGCCACCGATGTCGAAATTAGCACGTTTCCGACTGGATTAAATTACCTTGCGGCAATGTCGTTTATGAGCTATAGATGTAGTTTAATTCAAGGGCTCCATTTCCCAACGCTCTAGATGACCATATATAAACATACTATAAACATGCTCATGTACTCCGTACAGGTAAGATATTGTATCCTCAATTTTTCTTTGCAGCATATCATATGCATTCAGCGCCGATAGGCCAGGGGGAAAACCCTGAGCCCGTTGATCGGCTACCAATCAATCTGGCGGTCTCGAAAAGAACGGGATTCGCAGACTTTCAGGGCACAGGCGACAGGGTCCACTGATTGTCGCCCCCAAGAAGGCAACATAACGAGGATCCTTCATGGACTACGTGGAAGAACTTCTGGAAAACATGTACAAGTTCCATGTCACCGGTTCCAAGGGAACATGTAAACAACCAAGTCAATACAGTCTCTGTGTACTCACTAACCAAAGCTTGGTCCCCCAGTCCTTGCAGTGGAGAGAGTCCCTGATGGCGTCAGACACAGCCCAGGACGATCGCCGCATTCTCCACCCGTAAGGGACCGGATGGACCAGAGGGTCGCCGAACGCGGGTCCCTGTGGGCCTTGGCTAACAACTGCTTGCGTAACCCTCTGTTAAGGGTGCTAATTCGGATCTGCGCCCTACATAGTGGTGTTCTATCTCAAACTGGTACCGATTCAGATACCGAGTCCGTACATTCCTTCTACAGTATCTTATCTGCTTCCAGGTAAAGAGTCAGCCCTATAGTAGTACATGTGTAGAGATAGAAATAGAATTAGAATTAGATGCCAAATAAGCCGGTGGAGTGGAACTAGACTTGATTGGTGAATTCCCACAAAAAGGGAGCATCGCCACGAGCAACCCATGGTAGTCAAGGCCCAGGCTCAGGTAAGGGAAAAGGGCGTACCATACACTCCAGCCAATCAGCGTTGATGACGGAGTACAGGTGGCCTTAGCTGAGATGTAACGGTAATTTTCATACCTTGGAAACATGAACCACAGTCTGCAAACAGAATTGGTGTTTTCTGTTTTGGGTGTTTTCTTTACGTCTAAACAACGTCTGACCCCCCCGACGGTTTTTTTTAATTTCCTTTCCAACGATTTGGAAGATTCAATTATTTGGTTCCTGTATGTACCTCATCATTCCTTCATCCACGCTCATTTTGGTCCAACTGTCTCACACTCGTTAAACCAGTGTTCATTATCTCCCTTTCTTATCTCGCCCACTTTTTTCTCCGTGGCTTCCTCCGCATTTAGTCAAGGAAGCCTCTCTCGGCCGCGACCCTTCGAATTCAAGCGCTTCCTTTCCGATCAGACTCCAACTTTCAAAATGAGCGAAGGCGAGAAGGTCCGCGCCTCCGGCGAGACTCCCCGGGAGTCCCTGCCTACAGTCAACCCCGCCGCTGAGAAGCAGGAGCCCAGCGCGGCCCTGCACCCCGCAGTCTACGTGACGTGAGCGACTATTGTTCCAGAGGGAGACACATTCGCTGATATCTGCCAGTACCTGGATTACCCTCAGTTCCACCGTTATCCTGTTCAACAAGTACCTCCTCGACACTCTCGGCTTCCGTAAGTCACCTAGCAGACCTCTGGACGCGACACGGAATCAAGTTCTAACAATTGAACAGGCTTCCCTATTATCCTCACAACATGGCACTTGACCTTCGCTACCATCATGACCCAGATCCTGGCCCGCACTACCACCGTCCTCGATGGCCGCAAGAGCGTCAAGATGACCGGCCGCGTCTACCTCCGTGCGATTGTCCCCATCGGTGTGATGTTCAGTCTGAGCTTGATTTGCGGTAACATGACCTACCTCTACCTCAGTGTGGCCTTCATCCAGATGCTCAAGGCCACCACTCCCGTGGCTGTCCTGCTGGCTACCTGGGGTATGGGTATGGCTCCCGCCAACATGAAGGTTCTCGCCAACGTCTCCATCATTGTGATTGGTGTGATCATCGCCTCCTTCGGTGAGGTCAAGTTCCAGCTCGTCGGTTTCCTGTTCCAGGTTGGTGGTATCATCTTCGAGGCTACCCGTCTTGTCATGGTCCAGGGTCTGCTCAGCTCTGCCGACTTCAAGATGGACCCCATGGTCTCTCTGTACTACTTTGCTCCCATCTGTGCTGTTATGAACGGTGCCGTTGCTCTGTTCCTCGAGTTCCCCCGTGTCACCATGGACCACGTCTACTCCGTCGGTGTCTGGACTCTGGTTCTCAACGCTGTCATCGCCTTCCTGCTCAACGTCTCCGTCGTCTTCTTGGTAGGTGATTCGAGTCCAACCCCGCGAACCCGCGCTAACAGTCTCTACAGATTGGCAAGACCTCTTCTCTGGTCATGACCTTGTGCGGTGTCCTTAAGGATATTCTCCTCGTTGTTGCCTCCATGATGATCTGGAACACTCCCGTTACTGCCCTCCAATTTTTCGGTTACTCCATTGCTCTGCTCGGTCTCGTCTGGTACAAGCTTGGCGGTGACAAGATGCGCGAGTACACCTCCTCTGCTGGCCGCGCCTGGGCTGAGTACGGCCAGGCCCGCCCTGCCCAGCGCAAGTTTGTTGTCTTTGGAGCCTCTGCCCTCATCTTCTTCCTCTTTGTTGGCTCCATGGCCCCCAGCTACGCCCCTCAGTCCGTTGACCGCGTGAAGGGTATGCTCGGTGGTGCTACCGCTGGTAACGCTTAAATGCAGTTATCAGCCCTGCATCTCCTATAAACCGGAATGCACCTAATTTTGGAGCCAACGCAGTTTCCCAGCGTTGGCGTGAGCAGTGGATGAATGCAGATGCTCAGCATGTAGCGGCCTTGGCACCCTCTCTACCCTGTATGATGCCGCCATGTTGTTCCCAAGCCCCGGTGTGATGGAAAACGGGGCTTGGTTTTTGGCTTTCTTTTTTTTTTCCAGCCGCATTTTGATGTATTCAGTGACATGTGGTGTTACTGGCGGTGTACTCTTTTTTTTTTCTACGAACATTGGTTTTGTTAGACTTGCACGAGCTCTGGTGTCGGTTTTTGCTGTGGACCTGTTTCTGTGGTCATTTTATTACCATTCGTGTTTCTATAGTGTTCCAATAGACTTCTTCGTCGTTCACGCGTCCCATCCCTGCTTCACGTGACTGGCCACGGGCCTCATATCCGCGCAGACCTGAGGCGTAGTTACCTCGGTTCTGATTGGCCAATCGCAACGGGGCTGGACCCAATCATTGACCGCCCCACTTCTCGGAGGCGGCTTGGCTGCATAGACCAATCGCCTCACTGTATGGCACTTGTATTGTTACAGTTTTGGTCGATCGGATAGCTGCTTTTGGCTGGTATCTTACCGTTTGTCACGGTAACTCCGCATTTCACGCATCGGATCATCCACTTCAGATCCGTCTGGTCTCACTCTTACTCTACCTCTCTTCTCTCTCTTTCTTCCCTTCCTCTTCTTTTCTTTCTTTCTACCTTCTACTCCTCTACTTCTCTGCTCTCCCACTTTTATACTCTCCCTCCCCTCCTATATATAACCTCCTCCTCATCCTTCTGCTTCTACCTTCACATCTTCCTACCTCTCAACCTTCCTTCCGCTTGGACGTGATCCACAGGTGGTTGAAGCTTCTTGTGTCTTGCTCACCTAATCTAACAGAACAGTATATCTTGAGGGTCAATCACAATTATAATGTGCCCAATGATCCTCAATCGCCTCTCTGACGGTCCCGCGACGGTCCTCTCTCCCCAGGAACACGCCTTCGCTCAGTCCCCCGCGCAGTCCATGCTGGACACTCCATCAAGCTTCAACGGCTTCTCCAGCCCTAACACGGTCTTCGCCAATAACCCTGCGCAAGCTTCCTCAAGCTTCAACTTCACAGCCCCTCCTAAGCCGTCCCGCAAGAGGTCGCGTGATGAAGCTTCCTTTGAAGAGGCACTGGCACCCAGTGCGCCGCCAGCACCCACGCCGGCACCACCGAAGGTAGAGCCAATCTATGGCGAAGGAATGGTCCTCCTGAACCCGCAGACTGGCCTTGCCCTCTCTGCCGAGAGCCAGACCGGCACATGGTACGAGCAAGAATCCGAGGCGCAGCAGACCACCGCCGCGCCTGTCTCCTCCCGGTCCAACGCGCTGCTATCTGATGCCGGTGACGCAAGCCGCAAGTCCCAGCGCCTCGACAAATCCGCCCCAGGCCTGGACGACATCGCCCTCTCCTCAATTCACCAACGCCTTAACGACTCCAGCTCCAACGACCAGCACCGCACCCTCAACCTCGGGCCTGTACCTCCCGCCGAACCCCTCGTCGACGATACAACCCGTCTCCTAGGCATTGGCTGGCAGCGCGTCAGCACAGATGACGACATGGCTTGCGCTGTCCGCGGCTGGACAAAGTACATCGACAACCAGTACTCGGCCCACTTGCACGACTCGCAGATCCTCATCAAGAGCCGCGCTCTGGACGCTTTCCTTGTGGCTGCTACTCCGACCTCTGGACTCTCGCCCGCCTTCTACCTCTTCACCGAAGACCTGACTCAAGGCCAGCTCGTCGCTTCTTCGTGGGAAGCATGCATCCAAAATCTGCGCAGCACGCCCATGATTTTCGAGGGCGCTGCCCCTCTCGCCGCTACCGATCGATCCGACGCCCAACCCAACCCCTTCAACAACATGGACACTGGCGTGCCACTCCTCCAACAAGCCATGTCCAACCACTCGCACGCACCGGGACTGAGCGGAGGCGTAGAAATGGGAATGGAAATCGACTCGTGATTCCTCTCTTTCAACGCAATTCCATTCACTACCCCCGATACATCGAGCCGATACACCATCAGTTGACCTGACCTCGATTTCGACCCCGACCTCGACGTCCACCAATTCGCATCGACCTCGGATATCATCTTCTTCGTCCATCTTCGTTTTTACTATTGCTTATTTAGTTATGAGACTTACGCGCCTGACTGACCCAGTTCGGCCCACTTTGGTTCTCGCCCTCTGGAGGGTTTATGGGATGGGTTTGGGTGTTTCCTTTTTCCCCCTCTGCTTCATTGAGGGGATGGGCTATGGCGTCTCGTAATCTGGAGTTTTATCTATATTTTCTTTTGGCTCCCGACTTATCTATGACTATTTTGACTTCTAAATTAAAAGAAATTTTATGAGCTCTTTGTTTTGTAGGGTGGGCCCGGCCTCATCAGCTTGTTTGCGAGTATCGTAAGTTAATAAACAACATGAAAAAGGCCCCCTAGTCACAGCAATACTCCCCGCGTGGCTCCCTTCTTTCTATTTCTTTCTTTTCTGGACTTAGTTCTGTTCTCAAATAGCTATCTCATTGACAGTCCAAACTCTCATTCCTGCTCGGAAGACCCGTTCCCATGGGCAACCTACTATGATTACCACCGGTACTCAAGAGCCTGCCAAAATACAGATGGGCAATTTTTATGATAATTTTGACGCTGGGGAGTCGTCTCAGTCCGAGGGGAAGGCCACCACCAAGCTTCGGCCACACCAGAAGCGTGCCCTCGAGCATTTCCATTGTGAAAAATACTCATGGGAGGTTTATGAGGATGAGAATGAGAAGCCTACACGGTCGCCTGAACCTGCCCCGAAAAAGGCTAGGATAGAGGCGAGCCTGGGGGCTGCTTCTTCGACGGCTCAGGCTCATTTGCCAAAGCAGAAAGTTCAAGCTGCTGCCAGGTATGCAACTATTCTGCGACTAGTGACGTCTAGAGAGGAAAGATTCCCTGCAGACGGTACATTCTGAAGGGCTCCCAAGAGAAAGTTTCCTGAGACTGAAGATCTACAAGCTTTTGTAGAGTTCTGCAGAAGGCCACACTATTCGAACCACCCTTATGCATCCAGGCTTAGAATGCTAGAAAGAGACACGCGGCTGGTAGTTGATCTGGGTAAGATTATTAGACTTCCGCGTGACTGAGAGACAGACCGATACAACGGCTAGCAGTTGAAAAGGACGGTGGACCGAAAAGGATCTAGCACGCTTTTTGCGTGGAAACCCTGTTGTGGTAGGAATAATGGCAATTAGATAAGTCAGACGCAGAGATCAGTTCGGAATTATTGCCTTGCTAAGATACAACTGGTTGCTTTAGAAGCTGACGACTCGCTGGACGCCGGTAACCTTTAGGGAAAACTTGCGAAAGATTGTCTCGATACGTTATAAAAATGCGAGGAAATCCACGCGGGTAGATCCTATGTATCCAAGGATATAGGTTAATGCACTGACGGTTAGTTCCCCCGGCATTCAAGATCGTAGTGCCAACCAATGCGCTCACGCATGCTAGTCATTGGTCTGTATGTAGCAAGACTTTTTACTGCTTTCCACATGATAGGTAAGAAGAGCCCTTTGTTCTCAGAGGTTTTAGCATGGGCAAAACTTATCTATCATTTTGGAGTTGAAAGTTAGAAGTTAGCAGGTGTCCAAACATCTGGGGAGAAGAAATATGTAGTCAAAATTTGCCGTCCAATCCTACAAATAGGTGCTGTGGTCGAGGGGTTAAGACACATCGTTGTGGTTATATCTTCGGATATCTGCAATCCCGATGTAGCCCCGGTTCGAGTCCGGGCAGCGCCACTTTTTTTCCCTTTTTATAGCTCGTCTTGCTAAGAACTTTCGACAATAAAAAGAAATTCAATACATACAGGCAGCAAATAAGTCTAGAAGAGACTAAGAGACACAGGTAACCAATATATCTAGCTAGGCTCTTCTTTTTATCTGTGTTTTTTTCCCGTCCTGCCTAGGAAAGTAACTACAAAACACTGACGACCGACCTAAAATGCATCTGCTAGCGATGCGGCTCCCACAGCTATCGTTCAATCACTTGCAAGAATCTTCTAATGTCGCAGTTGTATTGTCTTGCGGATCAAACATGTCCATACTATCTTTGGTCTTAGTGATTCTCTCGCACTGGGGTTTGAGGTACCCTTCCGAGATGAACACCTTGTTGAACTATTTCCGAATCTTGGCAGGGGATTTGCTTAATTACAATATTACCGCCTTGTATTTACATACCTGGATGTGCGGACTTAGTTCGTGTTCTTGAGGACGCTAATGTTTATGTTGGGAAAGGTAGAGAGTGAAGGGCCATAGATGTCATATAGGGTCGAGATCAATAGAGTGGGTCTCGAGGAGCTTCGTGGCCTTACTATGAGATGAGCTAGAGTCAGAGTCAAAGAATTTTCTATTTAAGAGGCCATAGACGTTGATACTCGCCCCCTAGCCCTTTGATATCTTGCTTAGGTACTGCCTACGAGGCATTGCGGGTCGTGTATAGCTACTATCCCCTCGTCACTCGAGGAATGAGACCGGTGAAGAGGTACCGCAAAGATTTGAACGTAGACATGGTCCAGTGTAAATTTATCATTCACATTTTAGAGTTGTTTCATATCGCCACTAATAAAGACTGCGTTCATAAGGTACCGTTGCGACGTCATCAAAACCATTCTGCCATCATATGCAATCGTTGCCATCATCTTGCTGTAGCAAAAATGTACCCAAAAGCCTTGGTAGGTCTTACTACAAAGCTAAGTAGGCCAAAAAGAGTGGCGCTGCCCGGACTCGAACCGGGGCTACATCGGGAATGCTGATATCTGAAGATATAACCACAACGATGTGTCTTAACCCCTCGACCACAGCACCTGGATTGTGATAAGCAGCTCTTATCAGTGTAACATGAGGGTAAATCTTCAAGTAATTTAGGTTTTTTCTTGTGAGGCTTTTTTCCAAAAAATAATTCCAATTTAGTACGGAGTCTCAGCTACACGTAAATATTCTTGGCAAAAACCGAAATGGCGCTGCCCGGACTCGAACCGGGGCTACATCGGAACACTGAGGAAATCTCAAGATATAACCACAACGATGTGTCTTAACCCCTCGACCACAGCACCTGGGGAGTGATAAGCATCTGTTATCAGTGTAACATATTCTTGAAACCTAAAATAGTGAATGCTGAGCTTCAAAATGTCTTAGGGCCTAGAGATTTTAGGTTCCATATAGGCAATGAAGTCAGACCCAAGATGAGGCTTTCATCATCTTCTATAGGGCAAGTAGTCGGATGGGCAGGGAAATGATCAGGGCCATAAGGGAAAAGGGCTTAATTAAACCTACAAGAAGGGACCTAGTCTCGTGGTGCCGCGCCCTGATTAGAACGACGCCGCTTAGGAGCACGATTAGAAGGCTGTTCCCAGTTATAGCTGTAGCAGTGGAAAATTATCAGCATATATCTACTTGTAGCATTATTCGGTGGTGATTAAAATGGACACCTAGCAATAGCTCCATGTTTTCTTATCGTCACTTAACATAGTCACTCGTTCAAGGTTAAGAGAGTGATAGGTCGAAAGTAAAATGAAGGTGCCGTTCATTAGGCAAGAGCGGCCTTAGTGGGAGATGTACTCTCCCTGGAAATCGATGTGGTAAGAGGCTATACGATGAACGGGCTTTGAGGAGTGGTTCATATAAAGGCTTTATGTAGGTAGGCCAAAACCAAGGCTAGTGCATATATGTTCTATCTAGACACAAAACAGTCGAATTACGGAAATTTCGTGAGCCCTACAGCTATCAAAGTCTCTCAAGATCTATTTACCAAAGACAAATAGAGGGAAGACAAAGCGAGCGGCACAGGGATGAGAAGGCAATCATGGTAGTCATTCATATAGAGGAAGTCCTTTTGGTACCAGTTAAAATGCAGAGCAATCACTTCTTAGGTTTAACGGGTGACCTGATGCTAGGCCCAACATGTCTTTTCGGTTTAGGAACAGGAAGGAATCGTCTGTAGAATTCGTAAAGTAGACTCTGTACGAGTAAAGCGAAACACGTAATCTACTCCGGGCAAGATGTATTCATGTCTTCTAGGGTTCGATTGCTTGTAGGGTGAAAAGCTCTATGAATAGGAATACTAAATCCACCGATTTAAAGCCCACCAGGATTATCCGCATAGGATAGTCGTATTTGACGGATAGAGGGATCGTTCAGCGGATTTAGTTATTATAGACCACACGGAGTCGTCGCCGTTTCGTACGTTATTTAGCAATAAACCTGGTACGCGCACTCCATGCTGACAATGCGGGATGATCCCAAGTTTCACTATCTTGGGAAACAGTTTGTTCTGCCAATGGCTCTCCCCTTAGGTATATGAGAGAGGCAAATACGGTGTTATCAGTAGAGACGTAGAGTTGCAATACCACATATAGACGCCTCTAATAAGGCCTCACTCGGTGGTGTATTGTTTCAACATGTTTCTTCCATACGTACAGTCTCTCGTATTATTTTTCCTGTACTATTTGTTACGACTCACTCATTTGGTTCAATTGCTTAGGGTTTCACTAGGTGCTACTAATCTTTGTCTTGAAATAATAATAAAAAGTTAGTTCTTAAGCGTACAGAGGTAAAAATAAAAAGGAAGTGGCGCTGCCCGGACTCGAACCGGGGCTACATCGGAATTGCAGATATCCGAAGATATAACCACAACGATGTGTCTTAACCCCTCGACCACAGCACCTTTGGTTGTGAGTGAGTTCAACAATTTTGGCTATAAGAACATAACCAATTTTGTGTGACCTGAGACGGTCAAACTGCATCACGTGTTTTCGATAGTCGAAGTAAGATGATAGGATAGGGCAATAAATTAATATAAGTAATAGGGTATTACTGACTTAATCAAAAGGATGGTTTAGAATGCTTTCACATTTATCTGAGTCTTTGGGTAGGATTGGAGGCTGCTTTGGGATAAGAAGTATATTAGGATTTTGATTATAACTGATATATATTAGCCGCTAACGTCTATTGATCGAGGTCTTTTAATCTGCCTATCAATCATAATTGAAATTCTTCAAGATACGATGGAACTTTCTGGCCAATCCCCAGACCCTAAGCCTTTCCATGGCTCGGAGAGAAGTATTCTTGAGAGCATTGAAATTACGCGCAAGACAAATATCATCGACCGACTCCAACGAAGCCGGCCCGCCCTGTTCTATCCATATTTCCAGACGACTAACCGATCCGGAGGGGTTTGAATTCTGCGCAGGAAGTTCGTCCAATCTAATGGATGTAATCTCGTCCCGGGAAGCTGAGGGTACCTTGTCAAATGGAAAGAACCTTGCAAATGCAAGCAGGAATGCAAACGAAAAGAATACTCGCATGGTCTCGCACGGTGTGAAGCTGGTACATTCGCGGGAAATGCCAACAACCAACGCAGCATGGCGAACAGATCGCCGTGTAGCGACTGGATTGTGCTGGAACCGTCGGCGGAGACTTTCAAGAGCACGAGCGAGCTCTTTGTTTAACTGAGATGTGGAAGAGCCGTGGTTCCACGAGTGATTGTTTCGAAAGATGAAGGTGACAAGGTCCATTGTCTCGTCCCCGCTGTTCAGGTATGCAAAATGAGTTGCCAGACAAGCTACACTATTTAGATTGTTAGATACTGCTGAGGGGTTTGCTGTAGCTTGACTTACTTCATATTGATCACATCGTAAGTGCAGGTTGGTCTGGATAAAGAATTGCTTAAAGCTGTGAGACTTGCCAACAAGTTTTCCCGCGTTGCTTTGTGGCAATTTGCGAGAGAGGAAAGCCCCAAGACTTGAGGGGATGCGGCATCTTCCAACTCCCGCAAGTCCCATAGAAGCCGACTGATGACCAAAGCACAGATACGCTTGGCCCATGCAGGAACTGATTCTGACACAGCGTTTCGAGCGATAATATTCCGGAGCAGAGGATAGAAAGGAATACCATCTGGGGGACTCGCCGAGAACGAGACAACGGAGGCCCAGGCATTTGCCGAAGGCGCATCCCACAGACTTTCAGAACATGGAAGCTTTGTAGGAAGCTCCGAGATGCTGAATGCCCCTCGTTTGCTAGTCAATGTTGAAAGAGCACAGTCAAACTCGAATACCGACCACGCTACTCGCCTTTCAATCTCAATGTCTCGCCATCGATTCCATGATTGCTCCAGGATGGGGGCGTCCATCTTTTTCAAGCCCTGGAAATCAATTTTACTAGCTTCACTTCGCTCTGCGTCGGAAGATAAAACCCCAGACTCTCTCAAACCTGTTACCAAGAGCCCTCTTGACGCATCAGCTAGCTCATAGAGTCGACGGTTCCCAGAGCCGAGGGCATAGATCTGATGCAAACAAGACGCAGCAATGTAGGCTGGGTTGCGGAATGATCTGCTATCCGCTTGACCCTAAAATGGGCGAGATTAGCCTGTATGGACCCGAGACAGTGAACCACTTACCATCCAAAAAAGAGTGCGCTGAGTGATCTCCGCCAGTAATGCGGCTACTTCTTGAGAGCCCTCAGCGGTGGAATAAGTTGCCCCAATACACGCCATTGCGGCCAGCAGTGCGCTAGGACATCTCTCGATTCGCCAGGTTGGTACATGCACGATAGGCAGAGCTGGGTGAAATTCGGCAAAATAGGTCGTGACCAATTGGCCGAGAAAAGAAACCGCGGGTAAAGCCTCGAGGGCAGGGCTGTCATTCAGTGATGGAATTAGAGGCGCGGATAGTACCCTGATAAGATCCTTGACTGTGCTAGTTTGAACATCTGGCAGACCTAGGCCCACAGTCTGTTCCATTATTTCTCTGAGAGGAGGTAATGTGATTTTGCGGAAACCCTTGTTTGAGGCGTAGTCAAAGGGCCACATTTCATTGCCGCCGTGATCCAACACTCCAGGCCAGGTTGTTTTATCGTCTTTTTCCGGAAATAAAGGGGATGGCTGTTGCCCAATCTCTATTGGTACTGGTTGTGGCTGTCTGGTAGACATTGTACAGGTCATGAGATCATCTCTGGATGGCGAGACTTCAGGATATACATGCGCTTCTTCGGATAGCGGTGGCACTGTATGCTGATCGGAGAAATCCGTTTCACAGCCGAGCCAATCCATTCGGGATGCCCTGAACATACTGTTATCAAACGCCTCCAGATCCAGAGATATACCATCTATCCATTGACTGGTGGCTCCGTCGATTGGTGGACACCCGGGATCCTGACCAAGAAGCGTCATTGGGTCTTGGAATTCCCAGCCAGAAGACATAGCCCCATGGTAAGCTTCGGGACCAATATAAATACCATGCTTCTGAACAGACTCATAGGGCGGAGGCTGGATATGGGGCGTAGGGGCCTTCATAGGGCCGTTCGTATTTTGTCGTGAAGGGAAATCTATGGCTTGTTGCGAAACCACAAGATGTCGTGAGGATCCGACACTATCCTGACTCGAATTTTGCCCTGAACTTCCAAAGTTAGAAGGTGTTGATGCATGGTTATCTGCATTCCCATGAAGAAGTGGATCTCTAGGGCTCATAGCGTGCCATGGCTGATTGATCTGGTTTGGGGACTGTGTTTGTTCCGATTTCTGAGCCGCTGACCTGCTCACTGAAACATCATAATTACAAGGGGCTTGTTTGCGAGAACAAGCAGAGCATGGAAGCTCACGGCTACACTTTAGTTTGTAGCGAATGCATCGTTGGCAGGACTTCTTCCATCCTTTTCGTTGGGATGCTTGGTTGGGGTCATGAACGGCTCGAAGGTGGCGTTGATACACATCCTTCCGATTAAAACCTTTGTTGCATAAGTGACATTGGAACGTCTCTTTGGGGCTGATCGATATATTATTAGTACATCACATCAGAAGGGTGGGAGTTCCCCGATTTCACCTGCCTGGAATGCTGCAGTTGGTGTCGATGCAGATGCGAAATACGTGAGAGTTTAGCACCACAAACGCGACATGTGTAGCCTTGCTTATTTTGGTTGCGATCCACCTGTGCATTCAGTTAGACCCCGATGCAAGTTGCTTCAATAGGTCGGACGTATACCGATGCCGTGCCCTCGTCGCCGCTGGGACTGCGTGGATCGGACATTGTCGACCCCATTATTCTAGTGACGTGCTACTTCCCGGTGCTGCATCAGAGGTTTTCTGCTGACAGTTCTTACCAAGCAAAAGGGGTTATCAATGCATGACGCGGAAGGAAGAGATGCTTTCCCCCGCATCGGAGTTCAAGGTGGGGTTAGGGTTTCAACCTCGTTCGGTCTAGAAAGCGTACTTGGATATGTTGCTATTTGGCTAGCTATTCAGTAATGATCTTCCACGGTCAATGTGCCAGTCTTCGTGATGAGATACTCTTGTACTGCTACATCTTTTCCGGATTCTTTGCCGTATCCCGAATCTTTGATTCCACCAAAAGGCGCTTCCGTAGCTGAGGCATTACCGGTGTTCATGCCAACCATTCCAGCTTCCAAGTTCTCAAGAAGACGCCATGTGCGGTCGACATTTTTGGTAAAGAAATAGGAAGAAAGACCCATCTGCGGTTCTGGGGTTAGCGGTTCGATCATAGAAGAAAGGAGAGAGAAACAACATACACTGGTATTATTAGCTTCTTGAACAGCCTCGTCTTCGGTGTCAAATGGATACAATGCCAAGAGCGGTGCAAAGCTCTCCTCAGAAGTGATGAGCATACCGGGTCGAGCATTTTTGATGATGGTCGGCTCGAAATAGTAACCGCCCAGCTTGTCCATTTTCGAGCCACCGGTTAGTACTGCAGCGCCGTGTTTCTTAGCGTCTTCGACCTGACGAGTAGCTTTTTCGACGCCAGCGGGAACAGTAAGAGGGCCCATTGTAGTCTTGTCATCCATTCCATGGCCAACACGGAGCTGCTTGACCCGAGCGACTAGAACATCAGCAAACTGATCATACACACCCCGTTGGACGTAAACTCGATTTGCGGTTATACACGCCTGACCGGCATGACGGAATTTCAAACTCATAAGTGCTATAATGGGTAAGACTCCAGTTTTAGCTCTAGCCGAAAATGAAGCGTACCTTCGCAAGCTTGATCAAGATTCGCATCGTCAAAGACAAGGAATGGACAATTTCCACCCAGTTCAAGAGTGAGCTTTTTGAGTCCCCCAGCACAATGTTGCGAAATGAGCTTCCCGACTCTGGTCTATAAAGCCTCAGCCTCAAAAGTCCATCATGAATTCAAGGAGTGACTTACCGAGCCCGTGAAACTAATTTTCTTCACTAGCTCATGCTTGCACAAGGCTTCACTGAGAGCCGGAGTATTGGCCAATGTCGTAGGAAGAACACTGAAAACTCCATTTTCAAAGCCTGCCTGCTGGGCCAGATAGGCTAGTGTTAGGGCTGTTAGAGGCGTTTCAGGTGACGGCTTAGCGATCATTGTGCATCCAGCAGCGAGCGCGGCACTCGCTTTTCGAAGAATCATCCTGTAGGAAGTATTAATATTCAACTTTCCCTCTTCTTTTCCTTTTCTAAAGGGGATTGGGCTTAACTCACGCAATTGGGAAATTCCACGGAACAAGCGCAGCAGCAACTCCAATAGGTTGTTTGACGGTGAAAATGCGTCGTCCTGCGACGGCAGGTTGAAACACGGTTCCTTGAATACGCTCTGCTTCGGCAGCAAACCACCTCGTGAAGCTGGTAGCATACTGGATTTCTCCGTACGCTTCAGCAAGAGGCTTTCCAGTCTCATAAACCAAAATCTTGGCAATGTCGTCTTCGTTTTCACGAATAAGACTGTCCCATTTGAAAAGGAGATCTCCACGTTGTCGTGGGGTTAGTGTGCGATAGTTCTTAAAAGCCTGGTGCGCGGCTTGCACTGCATCATCCACGTCTTCGGCTGCCATATCACTGCATGTTGCCCAATTTTCTCCTGTTCCAGGATCTATTTACCATTGTTAATGCAGGACTTGTTGGTGTTTTGGAAGGGATATATTGACCTATAATTTCAAATCTCTTCTTAGATTTCGCCTCAATCCACTGCCCGTTGACATGGGCTTGATCTCTATAGAGATCGGGATTCTTGAGCTCAAGTTGAATCTGGAAAAGGTGAAATTATCAATACATGCCTTGCTTTGGGGATGTTTTCTTGACATACGCTTTTTATAGTTGAGCCCATGTCTGAAAATGCTGCTTTAGGACTTGTCACGAGCTAAAGCCTTTGAAATGGTCCTGGTTTACTGAGACGGCTTTCAGTCGCAATTGATATTGCTTCGGTTTAGAATGTTTGAGGTAGATAGCTAGATAGAAGACTTAAGTATCCATTTGGAGTCAATCACATTTCCGATGTTCATAAAACCCCCACAATGTTCTCCGATGTTGCTTCTCCCTGTTCAGTCTATACCCCACCCTACGTTCCGAAGTGTGACTACATCGCACTCCACATCTTAGAGATGTGACTGTCTCCCACCCTACATCTTGAACGAGTGGTTGCCTCGTATCCCGAGCTTTGCAGGGCTTACCGAGCCACCTGGTACTAATTGAATTCACATGCTGGCCATAGCACGTTGAAGGCCAATTCCACATCGAGCGCTCAAGAACTCCCGGACAGTGGCCTCCTAGACATTTGAGGGACAGTAACATGTAGGTGCCTAGCAATAACCGTGGTCATCTTTGTTTGATATCCAATCAGTGGGGGACTTTCTACAATTGCTGATATGGTCTATATGAGACAAAAACCTTCGGCAGTTATTCGGACGACACAGTATAAATTGCACCCTGTCAATACATTGAAAAGACACGGAATAGAAAATATAGAGACTATTTAGAGGGCTTGCTCATTTAGTAATTCCAATAGTGTTTTCCTGATCGTACTTCCAATCTCTGTTGTGGAAGCTGTACCCTTCATATCTCTTGTCCGAAGCCCCTCGTCCAAAGTCAGGTTGACAGCTTTTTCAATTGCAGTAGCTTCCTCTTCCATTCCGAAGCTATACCTGAGCATGAGAGCTGTACTGAGAATGGCTCCGATTGGATTCGCAATTCCCTGGCCTGCAATATCTGGCGCCGATCCATGCACCGGCTCGTAGAAACCCTTGATTGGTTTATCACCCCATTTTTGAACAGGAATGTCTGCAAGGCAGGCCGACGGCAAGACACCGAGTGTCCCTGGGATGACACCAGCAAGATCAGACAGCAAGTCACCAAATGTGTTGTCGGCAAGAACTACTCCATTGAAAAGTGTGGGACGCATCATCATGAGTGTGGTTGCACTATCGGCAAGTTGATGCACGATCTCAACATCCGGGAATTCTCTCTCCATAGTCTCCTGAACAACTTTTCGCCATAGTCGCGAGCTGGCCAAAACATTGGCTTTATCACAGCTAATGACAGTCTTTTTCGGGCTCGCTTTGGAGATGGCCAAATGTGCCGCCATGCGAGTGACACGCTCAATTTCAGAGCGTTTGTAAGACCACAAGTCTGAAGCATAATCGGAAGTTTCTTCCTTAGGCCCATAGAAAGCTCCACCACAATTCTCGCGAAGAACTATGAACTTTGTTCCACGAACAAGTTCCTCTCTGAGAGGACTGTTTCCTGCTGCAAAATATTCACAAGGCCGCAGATTCGCGTATACCTGTGTCACTTCACGCAGGCGTAGAGTGGCACCTTCGGGACCTTCAAACCCATGCCTCATTCCATCCCATTTGGGACCTCCAACGGCGCCCATGAGAATGGCATCGGCTTTACGGCCCGTTTCAAGAACTTCGTCAGTGACGGATACTCCATATTTGTCAATAGAACAGCCACCAAAGAGTCGAGGGAGAAGATTGAAAGTTGCACGGCCCTTGGGATGTGCTGAGAGTAAATCGAGAATTGCGGTGGCCTCTGCGGTTACTTCAGGGCCAATTCCATCTCCACCGATGACGAGAATGGAAAACTCCGGCTTGGATTTGGTCATGACGGTTGCGTTTGTACTGTTCTGAGAGGTTACAACGTTTGAGCTGTTATGAATGAGCTTGAATCACGGAGAAACAGTTGGCTATTTGTGTCTGTTTTCTGAATCGATTGCTTCACACCTACGGAGACTCTGGTGGGGATGTGTGCCAGATGCTAGTTTGCGCCCCACGAAGAGATCCGAGTTACTTACTAGTCTGCGATCTGAATAGCACGAGTTTCGAAGCGGCCCGTGTCGAAATAGCGGGGTAATTATTGATGAAAGCGAAGAAGAGATGGCAAAGGGTCGTTAGCGTGCAGCTCAAACAACCAACAACCTGGAACTCTGTTGGAATCATAAGATATGGTCTAAGGTACTAATATCAACTGCCCAGATTCCGAAAGATAAATCAGTTCATTCATTCATCTAGAAATGCTTTATGTACGCTTTGAAATATCCTAAATGGTTCTGCCCCCATCTACATCCAGATTCACTCCGGTGAGGAACTTACCCTCCTCACTTGACAAGAAAAGCACTGAATTGGCCACATCTTCAACTTCAGTTAGGCGGCCCAGTGGTACATTTCCGAGGAACTTCTCACGGTTCTTGGGTGTGTCAGGGACGCCAGCGAAGGACTCGAAGCTGAAAGTTCGCGATTAGCACTGATGAAACTTCACTTCCATAGGTATGAGGCTTACAGTCCTGTCCCACACAATAGAGGGCAGACCGAGTTCACCCGGATTTGGTGAGGGCCGAACTCTAGTGCCAGCCCTTTCGTAGCCTTTGAATAAATTAGATACACGAGTGAAGGAAAGAACTTCCAAATAGAGCTTACATTAGACACAGCCCCTTTGCTGGCATTATACCACACTAGACCCTGGCGAGGTCTGCTAGCGCCACAGCTAGAAATGTTGACGCAGATTCCTGCCTTTTGTTTCACGAAGATGGGAAACACGGATGAGACAGAGTGGAAGATTCCCAAACAGTTGACATCAAAACAACGAGCGTACTCCGCCTCTGTGACGTCTAATGTCGGCTTATTCTTATAGCTTGTTCCGGCATTGTTGATCAAAATATCAAGCTGGCCAAACTCTTTCAAGATCCGCTCGATAGCAGCATCCCAGTCGGCACGCTGAGTGACGTTCAGCTCTTGAGCGATGACAGAGCCAGCAGGGGTTGCAGAAATGACTGCATCAGCACCGGCAAGGTTGATGTCTCCAATGAGGACTTTGGCCCCTTCGTTCGCGAAGAGCTTTGCTATCGCGGCACCAAATCCTGAACATCCTCCTAGAAAGTTTGTCAGTACTGTTTGCTCCGGAGCCCTCAAAGGCATGCTAAATATCACCTACCAGTTACGAGAGCAACTTTTCCATAAAGGCGGCCGTTCTTAATGGTCATTGTGAAGATTAGTAAAGAGGCCAAGGTTGAAACAAAATATAATATTGGGATCGCAGTTGCTTAGCACTTCGACTTGTGAAATCGAATATGGATGAGTAGACGCGGATATCTTTATAATATTGAATATTCAAGCAAGCTATGCAAACTTGATCAAGGCAAACAGACTATGTGAGGGGTTGGCATAGGCTAGTCGGAGGGAACGTGGGGATCAATACTTTCGACGTGTAAATCATGCTCCCCACCCAAATATCCGATATGATGGATATGAATAATTTAGTCTGGCAACATACATTGAAGCTATTCAAACCGTGGTGAATACACCGCACGAATGTCCGAGAAACACGGAGTTTTGTGCGAGGACTTGTGGAGAACGAGGAAGGGTCGCTAGGGGCTCCCACATGAATTCATCCCAGAAATGACATCGCAATTAGTACTTGGTGTGATCTTCAGAGCTTGATGAGTGACGAGTTACTATAAATCTTAGCATGTCTTTGCTGTCAGTGCTCTGGGGAGATTCCGCATTCTCTCCTCTCAGCTTTCTGGGTCGAATCAGCAGGGTGTCCTTCTGTTGACCCTCGCGATGGCACCGCCATTCCGATTGTGAACGGCTTCCGCGGACGCCATCTTAATAGTCCGAATGATCTGGTCTTTGACTCAAACTCGAACACCTGGTTCACTGACCCTCCTTATGGCTGGTGCCAGGAATTCCCGGGCGTGCAGTCCCCCGAACTCCCAACGGCATCTATTTCTTCAACACAAAAACGAAAGCCCTTATTTCTGTCTCAAACTCAGTCGCCACCACCCCCAATGGCCTTACATTCTCTCCTGATGGATCGACTTTCTACGTTGCTGACTCTAACTCAGCCTCGGGCAAGCCCATGAGCCATTCTCCCTCCAGTTTGCTTAATGTGTGGGCCTTTGATGTCAAGGGCTCGATTTTAAGCAACCCACGGCTGGCTTATTCGACTGAGGCTGGTGGCCTGATGGACTTCAAGTGACGCACAAGGGATATCTGATGGTGGCAGCTTTGGGCGGGGTTGATGTCGTTGATGATACATCTGGGGCTCTTCTGGGCAAAATCAACACCCCTAATGATATTATCTTCAATTTGGAGAGAGTACCTCGTCCAGGAGATTATGGGATGTGGCTGTTAACGGGGCGGGACTTCATTTACAAGGTCTTAATCAAGGAGCAATAGTCTATGAAGTTAGTATGGCATCGCAGTTTTAGACTACACCTTCAATACACAACGGCAAATGAGAATTTCTTACCCCGGTCAACTGACATGCTCGCCATTTCGGAGAAATGAACATGCTGGAAAAATAAGATCACGTGGCGTGGCTATTGGCTGAATGGGATGACCATGAAGTCGGAGATGGTCGTGGGGAGAAAAAGCTTCCTCAGGATGTGGCGTTCTGGGGAATTGTGGAGTCGAAGCTTATTTCCCGGTCTAAAAACTATGGTATTATTACCGTTAGATCATCTGGAAGGCTTCTTCTGTCGAGTCCTGTAAATCATGAAAGGCATTGTACATGGAATAGTTTGTCATTGACAAATGAGACTTACAGATGAAAGTGTTTACAATTAGCTTTTTCCCTAGCCTAGGAAGACAAATGGGCGCCATGGTAAAGTAGGATGCGACTTTTTAGGTGATTATTTGGTAGTGTTTGGCACAGAAAGACTCGTCCGTAAGTTCTGGGGAGCCTAGCGGTGCTGGGCCTCTATATTGGGGATTATTCAAGGTACTAATCATTTTGACTGCCATTGCTCTTCCCAACCGTGAGTGTTTGATGCTGGACACGTTATTGGAGAAGTAAAGGTGCAAGGGTTTCGGCTTCGTCTCCGAGTAATTTAAAATTCTCCTATTTTTAGGAGAGCTAAGGTGAAATTTTGATATTCCCTGTACTCGGGTCTAGCTGTCGAAGGTGCCTCTAGGGCCCGGGCGACGAGCTTAGCTAAGCATGTAAAGGGCCTGAGTAGTCATTTTCATAGGTCTTCACATTCCATTTGAACACCTCCAGCGTTCCTCTCACAATATTCCCCGCATATATTGCAGAATATCATGCATTTGATAAAACATGGATTTACCAACTCCTGAAACGCCAGACTCGACGGGCAAAAGAAAACCCCGAACATGTCCTCACTGTAAGCGTCATTTTCGCCGCCACGAACACCTCCAACGGCACATTCGGATTCGTATGTCCACCCCAAATTATTTCAATGGAAGAAGCTAATTATTCTTAGATACGAATGAAAAGCCATACAGATGTACCTGTGGCGCTTCCTTCGGCCGGCGTGATCTATTGAAACGCCATGAGGACATTGGCCATTCTCCAACTCCTCCAACGCAGCAACCATCGCCTGTGACTGGTCATAGTAATCAGAGTCTCCCATCACCAGTGAATGATGCCTCCGCCGGTAATTCAAACACATCATTTTGGGGGCTTCCTGACCTCCAAGGAGCTGGTGTGTCCGCTCCAATTGATTCGCAGGGACAATTTTCAGGCTATCCATTTGAAGGTACATTTCCCCTGTCATTCCATGTGGAGCCTGAATCAAAATGCTTACTTGGGTAGGGGATTCATTGTTCAATGCCCAAGATCTTTTGGTTTTACAAGACTTGGAGTCCTTCAGTCATAATACAGGCCTCAACAATGAGTGGACTCTCCCCTCTGAGCCCAGCATCGTACAGATTCTTGCCGGGGAATCCAATATGCACCCTACTTATGTCGGAAGCGCCGGATATACGTTACAAGAACAACCTTCTTCGCAACCAGATCAGTCTCTTAGCCAGCTTCCCATTGAAAGAGAGTCAGTCGGTGGGTATCTCATCCCTATACCCAGAGATAAACTGACCATGTGATATTAGCCGAGTTTGGAGTTTTAACATTACCTATTCTGAGAATCACTGATGAACACCGGAATCGTCTTCTACGGGCTGTAAGTCAATCTGGTACGGCAGTGGCTGACGCTCTATTCCCATCATGTCATTCACTCACTCGATTTGTGAATGGATTCTTCGATGGTTTCTATCCTCATATGCCAGTCGTCCACATTCCGACATTTAGAGTGGATAACTGTGAGCCGGAAATTATCTTAGCCATGGCTGCGCTTGGTGCCCAGTATCGGCATGAGCATCGAAAAGCAGTCCTGCTATTTTATGCGGCGAAATCAACCTTAAAACACCGTGAAACGCAAAACGGCTGTGAAGGTTTATCCGAGAGAGAATTGATGCTTCAGACACGGTGTGCTTTTTACCTGATTGCTTTTGCAACTTGGCAGCGTGAGCCCGACATTGTACGGGAAGCATTCAACCTTCAGAGCTTTGTCGCAAGGTGTGTCAGAGAGTGTCAACTAGAAGAGAGTACCCCAACTCTACAAGAAGATACAAATTGGCACTCATGGGTACAAGAGGAATCCGACAGAAGAGTCAAGCTATTCTCTTTCGCGCTCCTCAATCTACATGGCATAGCATTCAGTACTCCGCCAGTCCTATTGAGCGACGAAATCCATCTCCGCCTTCCATGCAGCTGCTTCGAATGGATTGCCCCGAATCAGCACAAATGGTCAATGGTGCACAAGCTAGACAATGCACAACAAATGCATTTCCAAGAGGCCCTCTCACAACTAATGAAATCTCCCAGCGACACCCAGGCATTAAACTCCCAACCTGTACCATCCCCTTTGGCAAACTACATTCTTCTACATGCCTTAATCCAGAGAATTACACTTGTGCAGCAAGCATTTGGCTCATACAATGATGCGAATGACACCTTACTCAATGGCCAAAAAGAGGTCATCCGGTAAGATAATCGAAGTGAGGCACCAATCTAATACGCTAATACCCTCCACAGAAACGCCCTCCACGCGTGGACATCCCAATGGCAACGAGCCCCCGAATCAAGCCTCGACCCCCGCAATCCCAACGGCCCAGTCACATTCACCTCCACGGCATTACTGGGACTAGCGTACGTCCGACTCGCTCTAAACATAGGGCCATACAAAATCCTCGGGTCTCGAGATCCACAGCAAATCGCAAACAGACTCCTACAGATGCCAAAACTACCCGCTGGTCCCCATTTACTGCCTGCAATCTTGCATGCGACTCATGCGTTGAGTATACCAGTTAAGCTGGGCGTCAATTTCGTTGCGAGGAGCCATGCATTCGTGTGGAGTATTCAGCATTCACTTTGTGGATTGGAATTTGCGATTTTCCTTAGTAAATGGCTGTTTTGTATTTCTGACTGTCAGAAAAGGAGACCGCTTGATGGTATGTGCTTTCTCCCAATAAGTCAGGCTGAGATATGCTAACATTTTGTTATAGAGCATGAGAGTCGCTTGATTAGCTGGATCGGGGATATTGTTGAAGAAGGGAGAACGTCGGGAGATGAAGATTTGTGGTCTAGGCCTACGTTGTCATCGAATTGTGTTTATCTGGGCTCCGCTGTGGTGAAGCTTTGGGCGCGATTGATCCGAGGAAATGAACAATGGGCGATATTGAAGGTTATTGGGGAGGGACTTGATATATATGCTGATACATGCGAGCAAAGATTTGCTAGTTCTCTGAAAGATCAATGAATATATTGCTAATATTGGTATCAGCCCTTTGAACGGGAATATACACAACGGGTAGAATGGCTATAGAAACGTCTATGGATAGCAATCAATGCATAAAGAAACATCTATAGGGTCTAGCTAAAAGAACACTGCAAAATCACCACTTAGATACAAACTTCGATCTGAGCCTCAGCGCCTCTCCGTAGTTATAAAGCACATAGATCCCAACCACGCACCCAATAGTCAAACCAGCCAACAAGCTGCAACCAGGCCCAATACCCAAGTTCTCATAGAGAGGCTTGGAGAAGATAACAGCCCCACAAGCAAAAGCACTCCGCGTAAAATCAGTCGCCGCAAACACACTAGCAGCATACTGAGGATAACATGCTGGGATATACAGAAAAACACACTGCATCAAGATAAACACACTAGCCGGATAAATGACAATACCAATAGTCGGAACGATCCAATGTACATTCGGATTGGCAGCCCAACCAAAAAGAAAAAGACCAATAGCCGGTCCAAAGCACGCAAACAGAGCTGGAACCAAGACGTCTTCAGGTTTCCGGACACCCCCTTCTTTGGCCTTGGGGACGAAGATCTTGTGGATGTAAACATTGTAGATCACAAACGAAATCACCGTCCCGACGACAATGGCTAGGAAGGCAAGTCCCATTTCGCCGAGGTTGAATCCGTATATGCCTTGGTAGACAATTGGGAATGCCTCGAAGAAGGAGTAATAGATACCATAAGTCAAAGATGTATAGCAATTCAAGAACAGAATTGCTGGATCAAGGAAAGTGATCTTCGCAGGGATCAGCAAGGACTCCTGTACGATCTCGTAAAAAGAAACGCCTGCCTGGACAATATCAGCACCAGTCCTGTACTCATGGGTATGATCTGTATCCATGCTCTCCAAACGGCGTGCGCGTCGATGCAGAATAGTAGCAGAACTAGTCTCAGGCAGTACCAAAAGAAGAACGAGGATCGGACCAGCAGCAATCAAAATTTCCCACATTGAGAATCGCCAACCAAGCACTGGGACTGCGAAGCCCGAGATTAAAATGCCAATAGCAGGAGCGCAGAAAACGCAGAAAACCCACGTTGTCATTGCGTGGGGGAGCACGTCTGATGAGTAGATATCCGCAATTGAGGCGCCTCCGGTAGCTAGACATGGACTCCCGAAGAATCCTTGGAGGAAGCGTAGGAAGTAGAACCCGATTGCGTTTGGTGCTATTGCTGTTGGGATACTGATTATGCAGAAGAGGACGAAGGAGACAACGTAGGGGAGGTTTCGACCTATGCGAGGGATCTCACTCAGAGGGCTGAAGAATAGAGGGCCGGCTCCGTATCCTAAGCTGTGCTAGAAGTTAGCAAGATGATATCTGGTGGTTTCAAAACCTTGACATACACGTATAGAGCAAGTCCAAGGGCGGCTTCTGCATTGTTCACGCCGAATTCTTCAATAAAGGCGTTTTCACTTGGGGTATAGATTGGTGCTGACATGTAAACCACGAAGCTATATGCACCAATAACGAAGAGAACAAAGGCCTTTTTAATTGGTGACCAGTTATGAGGATTTTCCTCGTCGTCAGGAGACCATTCGACTCGAATGGTCTTCTCATCCTGAAGGGCTTTGTTGTCGAAGCAATGCCAGTGGGGGTGCTCTTCGTTGTATTTCAAGCAGGAGATTTTGCAGAATTGGCGTAAAGATTGTCCCACAAAGCTGTCACGCAGCCATTGAAGAGGCATCTTGGGCAAGTTAGGGTTACAATTGATTCGCCTGCAAACTGTCAAATTTAACTTGCAATACACTAAGTCTATTCAACCCGTCGAATTGATTTTATACAAGAGTTTACACATTATTAATTCTAAGGCATATTTGTCACTCAGCTCTTGCAGTTTTTGCAGTGAAAGGTCTCCGATTATGTGTGGAGGTGGTCGTTGGAGGTGGTTGAATCACTTAGACGGTCGATCTTGGAACACCTCCACAACATACCCCAACACGCCTCCAACGCATCTCCACACGCCACTGAGAAGTATACAAGCATCCAATTTTCTTGGTTTACCATCAATCCACTTTACTATATACCTAGCATCCCGGAGGGTATATACCATCCGAACTTCATATGTCCTCAGACCCTACCTACCTACCGTCCATCCAATCCAACCAACCCCAAACATGTCTTCCAAACTATTCGAACCCCTCCAAGTCGGCCACGCAGCCTTAAACCACCGAGTAATAATGGCGCCCCTGACTCGCCTACGCGCCGATGAGGATCATACCCCACTCCCGTTCTCAAAAACATACTACGAGCAACGCGCCTCAGTACCAGGAACAATGATCATAGCTGAAGCGACCCTAATCTCCCCGTCCAGCGGCGGAATCCCCAACGGGCCAGGAATCTACACGGAATCCCACATCCAAGCCTGGAAAGAGATTACAGACGCTGTGCACGCCAAGGGCAGTTATATCTTCTGCCAATTGATCGCGCTTGGCCGGGCCGCGGATCCAAGTACATTGCAGAAGGAGGGCGGGTATGAGGTGCTCGCTCCGAGCCCTATCGCCATGGAAGCTGGGATGCCTGTGCCGAATGAGTTGAGCGAGGAACAGATCCGGAGTATTATTGGGGATTTCGGTGTCGCCGCGAAGAATGCCATTCGGGCTGGGTTTGATGGGGTTGAGGTTCATGGTGCTAATGGGTATCTTGTTGATCAGTTCTTGCAAGATGTGTCGAATCAACGGACGGATGGATGGGGTGGGAATGTTCCGAATCGCGCGAGATTCGGTTTGGAGGTTGCTAAGGAGTTGGTTGAAGTTGTTGGGGCTGACCGTGTTGGATTCCGTCTTAGTCCGTGGAATACATGGCAGGGGATGAAGATGGTTGATCCTGTTGCTCAGTTTGAATATCTTGTTGAGCGGTTGAAGGAGCTTAAGCTCGCATATCTTCATCTGATTGAGTCTCGTGTGATCAACAATGTGGACTGTGAGAAGACTGAGGGGATTGATTTCCTTTTGGATATTTGGGGGAAGACATCTCCTGTTCTTGTTGCCGGTGGGTATAAGCCGGAGAATGTCGATGTTGCTTTTGATGAGTACAAGGGCAATGATGTTGCTGTTGTGTTTGGCCGGCATTTCCTTTCGAACCCTGATTTACCCTTCCGTCTGAAACATCAGCTTCCACTCAATCGGTATGACCGGGATAGTTTCTATGCGGCTATGCAAGAAGCCGGGTATGCGGATTATCCATTCAGTCCGGAGTTTTTGGAGAGGGGGACGTTGAGTGTGTGCTGAGTCTCTGCGTTTTGTATAGACCTAGGCAAAGGAATATAAATAGCCAAGAATGCGATGTCATGGTTAGCTCTCCAACTTGACTACAAAAGATAAAAAAGAAAGAGCCAATTCATTGAAATTCTTAAAGAATACTCCTATGGACTGCTATATAGCATAACGTGGCCGAAACGTGGACGCACAGGCCAGAAGTACTCGACCAAAACACCAAACAGGGGGCCAAAAATAGCGACGGGAGGCAAGCGGTAAACATGACTTCAAATAAAGTCCCTGATGAATATCAAATAGATGATATTGTTGCCCAACAGTCCAATGTCGACCTGGCAGATTGTGGGTATTTAAGAGCCACCGAGCCAAATACGTAACCATACATAGACAAAGCCCCTCACTCTTTCCGGGGGAATCCGTCCTAGCGCCGACTGTGCCTCGTTGCCAAGGCAAGGGAAAAATGCACCAGCAGTGCGGACGAGGCAACTATTCGAGACTGTCAGCGCCAATTCTGGGTAGAGTCGACGATCTCTACGTCATGGAGACCATCAATAGTGCGACTCTGCAGGAGAGCGAGTTAGGCCAGCCGTCAGCAATGTCAGCGTGGCGATGTGTACTCTATGTTATGCCTTACTCGCGGATTTCAGAGAGAATAATAAACATCGTATTATACTTTACACCTTGACAGGATATTCAATGATGACCAAGTCCCTTGAGTCTAGAACCCTAGAATCCCTGTGGATTCCAAAAACAACCCTGTGCAGGATGTGTACGTACCCGGCCAAATTCCAGAACATGCGACCCTTGTCAGGGCTAGGGTTAAGAGACTGCGAACTTTTAGGCCGTTTTAGGTCCGGCTGTGTCGGCTTCTTTGACTGGGGCTGGAAGGCCCGGCGCTAGGGCTAATAAATCATCCCACGTGAGAATTTGCCATTCAAAAAATAGTAAACATAGGTAGTAGTCGAGGGTAGCATTTGAATGTCATACATGTACTTACAGCACACAGTGCATATACTCTGTACAGGACACTAACGTACGGAGAGTGGGAAGATCAGAAGATCTCCAGGGCTGGTTTGTTACTAAATATGGGACTATTATGGGCCCGGAAGCGAGGGGTCACCCTCAGAGTTTTCTATACAAGGTATAGTGATTCTATGATTTTCTCATGATTGTTCATATGTATGTTATGCAATTCCCAAAATTCGCCTCTGCAATTTCCTAAATCCCTCAATCCTCAATCCCCGATGGAAAGGAGCAAATTGTCCAGGCGACAACGGCGCGTGTCTATTGAAAGCCCCAGCCAATCAGAACTGCAGATCTCTCGGCGCTTGTGCTAGTCTGAGACTAGTGTAACCCAATCTGGCCTAGTGTGATTGATGTGTTTCCAAAGGTTCGCTTGGACTCCTTTTTCATTCCTGCTTATCCTTTTGACACTTCGACTTTCGACTCACATCTTGACTTTGGTCATATTCCCTCGTTTTGTTCATCATGCGTCTCTCCAGCCTCTCGTTCATCGTCCACGCTCTGCTGTTGACTGCTGTCGCAGCCCAGAGTGGTGGTGTCTCTGATATCCTAAATCTCACCAGTGAGACCTCTTCGTCCAGCTCTGCTGAACCTACATCGACGTCTTCATCATCGACCTCGACTTCCTCCACTTCCACTGAGCCCACTACTACCAGCCAGCACACTACTTCTTCGACTTCCTCCACTTCCAACACCCCGTCAGCAGAGCCTACCACTGCCGCTGACCCGACCACATCGTCTTCTTCCTCTTCCTCTACTTCGTCAACCTCGTCCAACAATGAAGCTGCCACTACCAGTGCTGGCAGCAGCACCACCGAGCCTCCCTCCACCACCCAGACTCCTGTCGTGAAGACCATCACCTCGTACGAGACCCGAAGCGGATCCACGGTGGCCAACGTGATGACCACCACTTCCACTCCCGTTTCCGATGCCACCTCGCCTTCTCTCAACAGCGACAAGAGCTCCGGCTCCAGCGGTGTCTCTTCCTCCGACAAGAAGATCATCATCGGTGTTGTGGTCGGTGTCGGTGGTGCCATCCTGATCGGTGCCCTCGGTCTCGTCTTCTGGAGAATCCACAAGAAGCGCAACGAGCAGTTCGGCGACGAGGATGATCTGATGGGCGGTACCGCTGTTGGCTCCGGACCTCGCGAGAAGGCTCCCAGCCCTGCCGGTAACACCCCCTTCAAGAACACACTGGACCAGTACCATAACCCTGGCCCTGTCAACGCGGCATCCAACTTCTAAGCCGCGGAATTGACACTTTCAGTGTAAAACTTGTACGATCATCATGCAATTTACAGGCGCTATGGATAGGCGAGGGCACGGTTGCTTCTTTCTTTCGGTTGCGGACTTATTTTTATCATTTTTAGGCGTATTTCGCCTGGTCTCTCTTTCATAGATTGGACATTTGCACATTCATTGAGCGTTCCAGCAACCATCACATTCCTTTCGATCGCATCTCTCGATCCTCGACTGATAAAATCTGGCACTACTTTACGGGTTCTACCCGTCTCTTTTGATTCCCCGTGTCGAAGCGCTTGGTTTATCTGTGATTAAGTTCATTCTGTCTCGACAATCTTTTCTTTCTGGAGCATTGGACGCTGTATAGTGTATCTAGACGCCAAGTGCAAAGGCCTTTTTCAACCTTATGTATGTAATTTGAGACAAATGGATTAATCATAACAGATATACCCTCTTTACTCCGTATATGAATTAAATTAACACTAAATTAATTAACTTGAGCCTAATCAACGTAGATCGTTGGATCAGATCGGTCCAAACCGAAGCTTCACGTGACGCATTCCAGCACGCGTCTTACACGCGAGATACATGCAGTACATGTCTCCCAGCCTACCAATTTCATATCAATTCGCTCTCACCATATCCTCTTGATCCAATACTCCACGATAATCCACAACATACACTCATCAATCCCAAACCTCAACCCAACTCAACCCTAATCAACCACTGACGCAACCCTTCCGCATCCGAACGGATCCAACCTCAAAATGTTCGCCCACCCACCCTCAACACCATTCCGCCAAACAGGCTATTACACTCCAGCCCGACCATCCCCCCTAGGCCAACGTAGCACGAACATCTCCACGCCCCCATGGATAATGTCACCGACGCGAAGTGGCGCGCCTAAACCAAGCGCCATGGACGAGAACGCGAACACCACCAACGCGAACAATACAAATGCATTCCTCGATTCCTCACCCATAACCACTTCCTTCCAACCCTTCAACATCCAAAGCGAACCAATAACCCGCCACAAAAACAACCACCAGTCGCCCATAACCTTCAACGCCCCAACCTCAACCTCCAACACACCTTTCACCTCCAACAACCCCTTCACCTTCCCAGCCAACACAAATACATCCCCCTCACCCCTCTCACCAACAACACCAACACGCACAAGCTCAAAACCAAAATTCGAAGCGCGCTACGCCTCAACCATCGCCAACCCGCTCAAAAACGCCCCCTCCCTCGCCCGCAGCAAAACGCGCAAAATGTTCCTGAATCGCGTGCGCAATGAGCGTGACAGCGGCCGTTTCGAGGCACGCGGTGAGCAGATGATGCGCATGGAGTGTCTCGCTGATCGGCGGCGGTGGGAGGAGAGTATGGCTGCTGATGGGGAGGTTATGGGGTTAGAGTTTGATGGGGAGTTTGAGGGGGAGGGGGAGGATGATATGCTTCCTGACGAAGCTGATGCATTGGATGAATTCATTTCTCAAGAGGAGGCGATGGAGATGGCGTTGAGGGAGACACAGGGTGTTGCTGCTCCTCTGCTTGGACGGGTCGATTCGTTGAGGGGGGATGGGTCTCGTGTTCCGTTTAGTGACGATGAGTATGATGATATCTTTATGGGATTGTCGGATTCTCAGTTTGGGAATGGGCCTCAGGATATGGATATGTCGTGAGAAGGGCGAGGTATTGATCTTATTGTTTGAGTTTATGGTTATGCATAGCATGGCATTGCGTGGCGTTCTTTGGGATATGGGATGGGATGGGAACTGTGAGCAATTCGGTCTGCATGTAAATAAGGGTATCGACAAGAGTTGTGTATATGTACAGTACAGATCCGGAGAACAAGCATGACAAGTTCAACTTCAACTTCAAGCCACCTCTCCAATCTTCATTCATATCCACATCCACATCCACAATTAGATCACTGCTGCGGGCAATCTGGCATACCAGGGGCTCCAGCAGCACCAGCACCAAGCCCACCTAGATCCTCCATAAGAGGATTCGAAACAAGCTCCTCAGGCGGACTACCAGCAGCTTGCATCTACACCCAACCCAATAGTCAGCAATCAATCCAAAGAAACCCGTCACCACATAGAAGAAATCAAAACTCACCTCCTGCATCCTCTCCCAAATATACTCCCGACACTTAGGATCATCATCCGAATAACCATTCTCCTCAAACTTCCCCACAATCTGCTTAACAACCTTCGCCTGAGTCTCATACCGTCCCATATCCTCCTCAGAAACCTTCCCCTCAGCTTTACTCTTAACAAGCCAAGGCCCAAACTTCCCATCAAGCTCCTTCATCGGCTCGTACAACATCTCCTTATTAGAAAGTTGCTCCATCATCCCCATAAACATCTTCGACAAATCCCCTTCGTCGCCTGCACCTGCTGCACCGGCTTCGACGGCTTTGAGTAGTTGCGCTAGCATATCGTCTGAGATGTCATCTTCTGAACTTGCCGCTGCGGTGGCTTTATCGCCTGATTCTTTCATTCGGCCCATTGTTCGTTTGATGGCGTCATTGAAGGATTCGGCGGGTTGGTCGGTTAGTTCTGTTGAGGCGGGTGAGGACTTGCTACCTTGAGCTGATCCGGATCCAGAGCCAGAGCCAGATCCGCCGAGACCTGCTGCCGCGGCCGCGGCAGCAAGACCTTCTGCTGATGCACCACCACCACCCTCCTCGGCCATAACATCCGCAAGCAGCTGCTTCAGGAAATCACCTGGTGGAATCCCGCTTTCTTCGAGTTGTTTAGCGAAGACGTCGGCGCCTTGGTCGACTGTTGCTTGGAAATCTGCTGGATTGCCAGCTCCAGCTCCAGCTCCCGGTGGTGCCCCGCCCCCGCCCATCATATTGGCCATCTCTGCTTCTAGTTGTTTGAGGAAGGCATCTTCATCAAAGTCTGCTGGTGCGACGCCCGTTGATTCATCAGGGTTTGCGGTTGATGATGGTGCGGGTGCGGGCGCTGGTGCTGGTGCTGGTTTTGGTTTGTGGAAGTCGTCTAGGACGTCTGTTTGGTTGTTAATTAGAATTCTGATATATACAGTGGGGTCAGAAGAGTGATTTACCATCTAACTCGTCAAAATCCGAGTCTTCATCATCGTCTACTTCTTTCTTCGGGACCACGGTCTCGGTTTTGGTTTCGGTCTGCGGCTTGACATCAACAGGCGCGGTTGTGGTCTGCTCTGTCTGCTCTGCCACGTCCTTAGGCTGGTCGCCCTGGGCAGGCGACACGTTCTCCATGACGAATAATGGCGGGTGTTAAGCAAGGGGTTGGTGAAACGGAGAGAAGCGTCGGGTCTGGAGATGTTCGCATGTGATGGGTTTGGCGGGGAACCGAACGGCAATGCCGATCGCCGAGGGTTAGCATGGCGTACGGAGTACAGTGCGAACAATAAACAATAAACAGATACTATAAGCCAATGTCAATTGGTATTGATTTCTATAGACTTGCAGTAGTGCTAGAGACAGAAATAGGAAACAAAAACAAGATCTACTTTGGATCTCGCAACTCAACCCGGACGATCTAGAGGGCCGAGCCAAGTCCCATGACTTGTTTGTTTGTCTGTTTGTCTGTTTTGTCTGTGTTTGTCTTCTATATTGCCTCGCTTACACCTACATGTACGCACCTATAAGTAGCAACAAGACTATGGCATCATAATTAAATGAGATCATCTTAGATGAACATCTGCAATGCGCCCGATCCCTCTTGGCAAATATCCCCGCACCAAAGTTGAGTTGCCGGCTGAAAATTCTGCACGTACATGTACCACCTGTAGGTGCGGAATCTTGGAAAGTCCGGGGAAGGGGACATCCCAGAGCCATTGGCCACGTAGGTGGGCGCGTGATTCTAGAAGGTCATGTGGTTAAGTTGGAGTAGGTACGGTGAGCCTAAGTAGCATAGAGCATACCTAGGGAGATGACTATTTGGGGGGCCCGGTATCGGCTATTCGGCCTCCTAATGGCCTGACACTTGGAACTCCGCGGGCAAATTTGCGCCTTGGTCGAAGTGGAGAAATGACCCCAAAGAGGCTAAAGAGAAGAGAAAAAAAGAAAAAGAAAGGAAAAATCCGTATAGGCGAGAGCCCCTCCCCTTCAGACTTTTCTGTTATTCAACTTAGTCAATCGTTTTACCTCACGGCTTTCTCTTCTTCCTATCTCTCTGTCTGCCTTTGAATTGTGGTTTCTTTTATGTCATTCTAACCGCCTAGACGCGCGTTTGTCGCCTTTTTTTATTTCCTTTTCCGCGGGGAAGCTGTGTCTGCGGGCCGCAGGCACAGGGTAGAATGGTCTCTGTCGAGAATGACATGGTGATGGACCCCATGCCCAAGCATGAACCCGGTCCAGATGGGTCAATCAGTTCAAGCGTGTCAACGCCAGACCCCGAAGCCGAAGTCTTGACTCAAGATGCGGCGCAAACACAGAAGAGGAAGGGAGGCAGGAAACCTGTACGTAACATCTTTGCAAACCTGGGGCCCCGCATTCCTCGATCATCTTTCCATGATGGCATCCATTGACTGACCTCCCTAGATCTATGCCACCTCGGAAGAGCGCAAACAGCGCAACCGCCAGGCCCAAGCCGCCTTCCGCGAGCGCAGGACAGAGTACATCCGCCAACTAGAGACAACCATCAAGCGCAATGAAGAATCGCTTCAAAGCCTCCAGCAAAGTCACCGCAGCGCCGCCGACGAATGCCTAATGCTGCGCTACAAAAACTCCCTGCTGGAGCGCATCCTCCTGGAAAAGGGCATCGACGTCCAAGCCGAGCTACGCCTCAAGACCGGAGCGCCGGGCGCTACCCCCAAAACAAACCCAATGCCACAGAAGAGCGCACCAGGTGCGCGCTCAACCCGACACCCAGCGGGCATCGCCTCCAAGCCCGAAGCCTTCGGCATCTCCCAGCGCGAAGGTGCCTACGGCGTCCCATCCCCCCAGTTCCAGGCCACACCCACCTCCCACGTCTCCTCCCCATCCCACGCCAAATCGCCAGGCTTCGGCTTCCAGGGCGCCATGTCCCCCGTCGAACAAGGAGGTCAGGGTCGTCCCCAGCTCCTCCCCCAACCACGGAGTTACAACCAGACCTCGCCGCCGGCGATTAGCATGCCGCAGACGGAACCCTCAGACGCCAAGTCATCGCGTATGGGCCCGCGCGGGGGACGCGTTGCTGCAGCATACTATCCCTCTCCTTTCCAGAAACATTACGACCAGCTCGGTAAGCATGCCAATCGTCCATTCCGGAGTCCTAAACTGACCTCCCAAGCAGAACAAGAATATGACGCCCAAGCCGACCTCGTCGACGACGAGCACGATGGCTCATCATCCTTCGTGCCAGGCTTCACGCCACAGTCCGTCGCCTCGGGCTCGCACATGTCTGGCTTCAACCAGTCAGGAGGCGAGAGCACACCCGGCGATTTCAATAATGCAAATCACCTACTCGGACAGTATGAGCCGATGCTGGATACAGATCCGTTCGGGTTGAGTGCTAGCATGCACTTCCCCACGCCATTCAACTACGAGCAGAATAACTCGCGGCAATGAATGGCCGATTTAAGAAAAATTGTCTCTTTTATTGTTTATTATTCTCCTCTTTTTTTCTCTTGTTCTATATTTCCCTCGAGATACATTTTTTTTCTTTGCTGTTGCTGTTCTCCATGTGGAATGGTAAATGGTTATCTCTATCTAAAAGTTTGATTTGAGCATTGCCCGGCGTTGTTGCGAGGGGTTTGATACCAATGTTCCTTTCTTCTGGTTTTCTGGGAGGTAACTTGATCGGTTATTATCTTTTACATGTGTTGTATATGAATATATGAGTCGATATTCACATCATCACCAATACTATCACCAACATCATCCCTTCCATTCTTATCCAAAGAAACGAAAGCTCCCAATCCTCAATCCTCAACCCTAATCCAACCCACACATCTCCCTCGGCCACCCCATTAACCCCAAAACCCCCTCATCCCCATCCGCACAAACAATCTCCAAGTACAAACAAATAGCCCGACACTCCAACCAAGCCCGCCTAGCAATAAACCACGCACCCCTACAAAGCGGCGCATACCAGTACGCAAGAATAAGCAAAGCGCGCAAGTCTTTCACCTGCAACAACCGCCTAAATGACCCCTCCATAAAACTAATAAACGCCAGGTCCCGCGGTATAGAACCATTTCTGCATTCTGGGCCGCGGAGGTGGGTTAGGATTGATATTGCTTTTAGATAGGGGTTAGGATTGCGGGTTCCATTTCCATTCTCTCCGGTGGAATTGATATCGATACTGGGATCGTGAGGTTTATCGTGATCTGCGAGGTTGAATACATCCACAAATTCAACCTTCAATTCTGATATAGCACATATCCCCGGATCAACTGTCAAATCCCGATATTCATCTTTGAGGATGTGGAAGACACTATCTGGGCGGAGGGGATTCGTCACGTTCCAGATTGCTTCTTTTCCTTTTGTTAGGTTCATCCATTGGAGATCTGACGGGTCCGGCGGTTTACCCAGGTTTTTCAATGGCCATGTTTCTTGTGGTGTTGTTGATTCGATTGAGGTTAGGCTTGTTACTCCCAGAAAAGCTGCTGCGGCCCAGACGGCGTCGCGGTCTTGGGGGTTTATTGCCGTGGAGAGCTTTTCTATTAGGTTTTTGGCTGCTTGTTGGCGGTGGTGGGATTCTTGGGGGGTTATTGGTGGTGGTGATGTTGATGTTGATGGTAGTTTTGATGGTAGTGTTAGTGAGAGGCGGTCGTGGGTTGCTGTTATGCCTAAGATTGTGTGCATTAGGAATGGGTGCTAGCAGGGGATACTGTTAGTCTGGTGCGTTCTATGTTAGACTGTTATGATCTCAATTTAGGCTTACTGGTAATGCCAATCCTATAATAACCCTCTGGTATAATGCTGACATCTTCGGTGTACCAATAGTAGGCAGAGTCCGCGTCTGGAAGCGATATAGTCGAGCCTGGCTCTCGATATCAAGTATGAATGAATCCGGGCCATTTCCCACTGTAATTGTAGATAGGAGCATATTGGGGATTGGCTTTGCGTTGAATACTATCTGCCTTGCTCTGTTTTTTTCGGGTTTGTTTGGTTCCCTGGTTTGCCAGGCTAGTAGGTCTGGGGTTTGGCCTTGAGCTTGGGCTGTATAGTTGCAGCTGACGCCGTATTGCATGCATTTTTGGCATTGGGGGCGGGTTTCGTCACACTAGGGGTTGATTAACGTTTGGGTTTGATGATGATACTGTACATGGATAGATGTTGTAGGCTTACTTTCACACGGCGGATTTTGCAGTTCCGACAGCCTTGTTTGGATTTGGTGTGAGCTCGACGCTTGCGCGGCTCTTGGCTGACTGGAGCTTGTTTGTCTAAGGCCATCTTAGAAATTTATCATTTGGCTAAGAAACAGCAGGGAGGGAATCATACTGCTTCTATATCTACGCTTGTCATTGCTGTCGCTTAACTCCGAGCTCCGAGGGGCGATATCATTGGCTTGGGTTGTTGGACTAACCGTTCTCGTACAATTGGCATTGCTCTAGGGTTGTAAATAAGGGAGATACTGCGTTCTCTATCGTCTCGCTTTAGAGAAGGATGCTACCATTTCCTATCACTACGCTGTTGCCAAGGAGGACATTGTTATAAAGGAGATTGTGGAGGTGATTGGTGCCCAAGTTAGTCTTCCTATTGAGTCTCTACCTATTTTAGAGGCCTTAAAGATTGACAACTAGTTGCCTAACATCATAGTCATTAACAACCCTGTTTCTAGCGAGAAGTCTCGCTAGGGGCTTAGGTAGGAGATTTCCGGCCAAGCCTTGCTAGCGGACATTAAGGCCGATGTGTACTCCCAGGAGTAATTGACCATGAAACCGATGGAACTGCGGCCTGGTCCTCACAGCAATGATGGAATGGCAAGGATTGACAAGGTTGAATGACAATGGAGATAATCGACAGCTTCTAGCTGATATGCAGACTCTCTACTCACATTGAATATAAGCTTATGCATCTCTATTATGACCATGGATAAGCCCGATTACATAGCTCCTATATGCGTAGTCCACATCGACCAGATCGACGGACTCCACAGCATGACAGATTCACCACAGGAAGGTCATTCTAACCAGCTCAAATAACCATGCGCCTGGGTATATCTCTACTGTCTGAACAAACGAAGCTCCCCCGTAGTATGTCTTGACGCAATCATTATGTAAGGTACCCTAAGCCCTAGCATGCGGGCAGCCAATCAACGGGTGCGGGCACATTCGCTTAGGAGCAGAAGCCGCCTTTCCTGATTAGTCACTCTGCACCCAGCAACCACAAACCGTGGACCTCCCTCTATTCTGCTTCATCATCATCAATCTTGAAGGCCGGATCTCCTTGGGTTCTGCCTTGTGCCCCGTTACCTCCTCTAGACAACGGTCTACGATAGTCGAAGCGCCTCCCCCCGGAAGGCCTCCGCAACAACAGGCGTCATGGCCGACGTACGGTCCAAGGTACGCTGAATTGAAAGCTCTCTCGCGCGCCCGCCGGCGACGTAATACCGGTCAACTCGAGATTTGGAGGAAATTCGGGATTTCCAGGGATTTTTGACCAGTAACTAACTCGAAACTTTCGCAAATAGAACCTCTATGAGCTTCTGGGTAAATTTCCCCTCCCTTGAGCACCGGCTATCTTTTCCGACTACAATTCGTCCTCTCAATCGCAATTCCAACCCGATCAGTCTTCGTTTTTCAACGCATTGATAGCTGACCTTGTCTTTTCCTCCCAGGTAACGACCCAGAGCTCGACCCTAGCAGACCCGCTCCTCCCCCCACGAGGGCTGTCGACCGCACCGCTGACCGCTCCGGCAAGCGTGATACCCCCAAGGAGCCCGCCGCTCGTCACAATGAGGCCAACGCTCGCCGCGGTGGCCGTGTGACCGCTGGCAACGAGGCCGGTATGTGGTCAACCGAGTGATCTGAGAAGGAACGATGGGACTAACATGAGGGTAGCTTTCCGTGACCGCAACGCCGGCCGCAACAACAACCGCGAGAAGCCCACTGACGAGGCTGCTCAGCCCTCTCGCCGCCGTGGCGGTGGTGGCCGCGGTGACCGCCAGTCCCGCACTGGCCAGACGTAAGCGATCCCGCGAAGCAATCCAAAGCGAAGACATACATATGTTTTTGCGACATAATATCGCATCTGGGACTAACGCCATGCAGTGACACCCGCAAGCAGGTCCAGCAGGGCTGGGGTGCCGAGAGCGGCGAGAAGACCTGGGACGACGAGCGCCAGGGCGAGAAGATCGCTAAGAACGAGGAGGCCGAGCCCCAGACTCCCGCTGACGAGGAAGCCAAGGAGGAGCCCGATAACTCCAAGTCCTTCGCCGAGTACCTGGCCGAGAAGGCCCAGAAGGAGACCCTCGCCGCCAAGCCCGTCCGCGCCGCCAACGAGGGCAGCAAGCTCGATAAGAAGTGGGCCGAGGCCAAGGAGCTCGCCAAGGACGACGAGGAGTCCTACATCGCCGGCTCCGGCGAGAAGACCAAGCGCGAGAAGCAGCGCAAGGAGAAGAACTTCCTTGACGTTGACCTGCGCTACGTCGAGCCTCCCCGCAGCGGCCCTGCCCCCCGCGGTGGCCGTGGCGGCCGTGGTGACCGTGGTGACCGCCCTGCCCGTGGTGGTGAGCGTGGTGCCCGTGGCGGCGACCGCGCCCCCCGTGGTGACCGTCCTCCCCGTGGTGCTCCCCGTGGCGGTGCCCCCGCTGCCCGTGGTGGTGCTCCCCGCGGCGCTGCCCGCGGCCCCGCCGGCCCTACCGTCGACGAGAAGAACTTCCCCAGCCTCGGCGGCAACTAAGCTGCCTGAATCTCGGGATATGCTCCACGACCGGTATAAGAATTCGTTTCTGACACCCGGATTTCCTGTCCCTCTCTCCGTCTGTTGAGTGTGCTTCTTTTGTGTGTCCTAGGGAAGAGAATCATGTTTTTTTCTTCTTTCCCATGTGTGAGTTGAGGGGGGAGGTTCGTGGTGGCTTGTGGATTTTACCGTGTTCTGCTGGATGCATTCAAGAGCCAACTCGGATTTTACTATGTTTTCTTTTCTTCCCTTCCATGGAAAAGAGGTATATCAGAGCGGGTTTTTATGTGTGTGCTTTACATTTGCCTTGTGTGCAAGCGCGAATTGGATGACTGAATTCGACGGGCCCAATGTAATTTGATTCGATCCAGAAGTCAAACAAAAAATAGGAACACAAAGAAATCTTCAATTGAACCATGGGACGTGTTTGTTTCTTTATACTTTAATTACTTTAGTGTTTCACTAGTCTATGTCTACTGTAGTCTTACTGTAGTTCCGAAATAGCCGTCATGGTACGGAGTATAAAGCAAAGTTAGAACACTAACTAGAACACGAACGGATCAGAACTGTAATATATTCAACGTCGATCCTACCAGAGGTGCTTAGGATATACTCTAGGAAGCTAGGCCTATGTACTAATGATAAAGCCAAAACTGCAAAAGTCAGGCCAGGGTATGAATGTAAGAAAGACAGGACGACAGACACACGTCGTCAACGGCGATTCTCCACCTGCTATCCCCACTGCAACAGCCAGTTCTATCAAATAGTAACCTACAGCTCACCCTCGCGATGACGATGGATCCAGGGCTCGGTAAACTCTGCCGCCGCAGACTGAGCATTTTCACTCCAGGTTGCCATGGTTTCTTCGTCGACATCGTCGAGGAAAGACAGGCCAGGCATCGCCCGACCACCGCAAGCACGTTTCAAAGCGAGGAAAGCAAAGTGGCCACCGATAACCGGTCGAGCAAAGAAGTTAGGACCAGGGAAGCCGCCATCACCTTCTGTGTTGTGTAGGTCTGTAAGGGGACGATCGGTGGCTGTCTCGTTGACCCAGCGAGCGACGGACTCGAGGATCTCGGAACGTACTGGCTTGGAGGCGACGGCCATAGAGAAGAACTCCCAGTCTGTCTTGGTGTACAGGTGACGGCTGTCAAGGGGGAGACCGTACTTCTGACGCACGTAGTGGTACCAGATGGACTGCTTCTGGTAGATGTGGCGTGGGACGAAACCTGGCTTGTCTGATTTGGTTCCATCGAGATGGAAGCAGAGCTGGGCGTCGGCGTAGAGGTTGTAGATGGTCGTCCATGAGCCGTACCAGTCATAGGCGAGCTTTGCGTGGGTGCCATCTCGGGACATGCCGAATTGTTCCCATTTGGCGATATAGTCGTCGGCGATTTCCTGTATAATAGTCAGACGGAAGTCTGAAGAGATGCATCTTGTTATATTTCATACCTTGAAGTATGAGGCGTCGGACTCGTGGCCAGCCACCTCGGCGATCTTGCTCATGGCATTGATACCGACAATACCCTTCAAAGCTAGGTTGGTCTGTAGGGCTAACCAGCCAGCAAAGTCATCGGTGGAAACTGTACAAGTCAGACAATAAACCAAAAGCAAATTTTATAAATAAATAACTCACGTTGGTTGGCGGGCTCGAGAGAGAACTCCACTAGATAGCCAGTCCACTGCTTCCAGAGACGGTAGCTTCGCTTCACCCACTTCGCTGCCTGTCGCCGGCCGTCACGACCACCACCCCACTTACCATCTTGGTGGGCAATGCCAGAAAGCGTCTGCAAGTCACCAAGAGGGAAAATTCCGGAAGACTCGCTTTCGATGCTCGGCGAGGCTGAGCCCTGCGTTGACCAAATGGAGGAGGCCGCAGCAGATTCTTCATACAGAAGCGAATTCACGATTCCCAAGCCCATGATGAGGATGTTACCACACTCCTCCACCGGCATGTACTCATCATTTCCGTCAGGATGGCCGGTGGCATTAGGGAAGTGTGTGCCCAAGTCGTGCATCGCATACTTGTTAGGGTACTGCCCGCTCAGCATGTGCTCGATCAGCGGCTCCAGGAGGTAGGCCAACCATCTGGGGTTGGTGTACAAGAAGAAGGGGAACGCCGGGAAGATGACATCGATGGTCTGGAAGTTGCCATTCGAAGAGATCTCCTTCAGGAATAGAATAGGGGAATCTGGGGTTCCTGAGAAGGTGGTTGCACCCATGACTTGTCGCGCGGATAGCGCAACGATGTCGACATAGTCATCAGCACCCGACAGGTAGGCATCCTCCGCTACTTGCTGGGAGTAGTTGGAGGCCAGATAACTGGCTTCAGCGTAGTCCCTGTAGTGGAAACTCAAAAGCTGCTCCGTGGTAGGGAACCACGATTCCCACAAAGGCCGCATCAGGGTGAGTCCACGAGCTGCCGCATACTGCACGACGGGATCTTGAACAAGAGCAACAGTGAAAGTGACACTATCAGCGTAGCTCTTTGACTGCTGACCTGGGTTGAATGACTTCGAGAACGCAAACACCGGTGTCCGGTCCTGAATAGCTCTGAACGATTCATCGTTGGCGTTATGGAGAGAGCCGCTGCTAGCGAAGGCACGGCGAACATTGACTGCATCACCAGACTGATAGTTCACATCCTGGGCTCGAAGTCAGCACACAGTTTCACATATACTTTTGATGAAAAGACTTACGGCAGGTCCAGTGAAATGAAGTGTGCCCCATTCGGCACGGTCGCGGGTCTCCGTCAGCAGAAGCTCGGTCTCTCGTTGTATTTGCCATCTCTGAAGATCAGAGTCAGAGTTTTCGTGCTGAGCCTTGAGCTTGTCCCAACCCCATTTGATCTTGCTATGGGTATCCCCGCTGACCCAGCGGCCATCGACATCCATGTAGATATTTACTTTAACATCGCCCTGGACGTCAATTGTGACGTATGAGGCCGGGATCGACTGTCGCAGAGTCGAGGATGGAGTGATTGGGGAAAGGAATGACACGGTGATATTCAGAGGGTCCGCGGAGCCAGTATCAATGTGGTATGTCAAGTTGGTTGTGGACGCATCGTAATTGTGGCCGAGGTACTCAGGGTACTTGATCTTGTAGCTATGATGTGTTAGATATTTGTGCAAAATGAATCTCATCCAGAGCTCATACCTTTCCTTCGAAGACAAGGATTCATGCGGCTTGCCTAGCAAAGGATAGACCGCACCCTGGCTGGGGACTTGGGCCAGTAAGGAAAGCCCAACCTCCTCTCCGGTATAAAACATGGGCCATTTTTTCCAGGGAGCCTCTCTGGCATCGCCAAACCAAGTGCTGAGATAGGGATTTCGCACAATGAGTGGAAGGACAGGCGGAGTCAGTGAGGAAGCAGCGATAACCGCTGCCTGGCAGGCGACCAAGACGGCTAGTGACAGCTGCATGGTCGCGTTGAGGGAGTGAATGTGACACAAGTTTCACAGTGTGTCACCAACTAAGGGTATAAAAGATCAAGAGAGTGTTCAGGAGTTGTAGAAACGAAGATCGAAACCAAAGGGGTGAAGGGAAGAAATGCGGGGAAGGATCATCTGGTTCACGGCGTTGTGCTTGGCCTTGGGCTCTCGGATGTATGAGAACTGGCTCTGTACTTCAAATTGATTGTATTTTCTTTCTTATTCCTCCCAGTTTCTTAACTCTTCAGTCTAGAAAGTCGCATTTCCTATTGGATGATGTCATGCGGAGAGATAGCTCTAATCACGGCTTCTCCAATATTCTGCATAGATCAACCGAGAGTCGATGAACTAGCTATAGAATCATTGCAGTTTGATAGTAGAGCATATTGACAAGGTAATAAATGTATTGATAAAATGGTCTTTGTGGGAGAAATGTGGATATCAGAGCTGTATCTATAAACGAGACAGCACAATCGACTAGGACACACATATTCTAGATAGCGGGATCAGTTCAGGCACAGCACGAAGTCTCTCATATTTTCTCTTCCCTGCGGGGCAAGGTTTGTCTTTGCTCACAGTTTCTCCAAGTTCAGCTCGAAGCTTTGTTCCGGTTGTACTATGGTGATAATACTCCAGAAGGATTCGCTTCAAGGTTCCGGATTGAATAAGTATAGGAAAAGGCTAAATAAACAACTAAGAATAAATCGAACTGTAAGTCATTATGAAAAATATTGTGTTTCCGCTGTTATTGTCATAAAACAGCAACATTCGTGATATATATAATCCCGGTCTGCCCCAGGTCCTCGAATTTGTTCAATAGCTGTCCATGGTACACCATAATTTATGCCTTCTAATGTAGACAATACGCCCACAAACCGCAATAAGATGAGATCCATGATTTCTATTTTCTATTTAATAGCCCACTTATGGGGAATTGGCCCCTGTGGATCCGGGAGACACGATGGAGACACGATGGAGACACTGGACGCGCCCCAGGACGCGGGGCTTGAGTATTCGCTTAATTGTGTATGCCAGTAAACACGTCAAAATAACCCCTAAAAGGGACTGGAGCATTGAGTCTAAGAAACAAGGGGGGAAGCGGAATTGGCGCTCCAATGGGCTGAATTGGCCTTTCTTCTCAGGCCAATATCAATATCACGTACACCCAAGCAGTATTTACACCCAGGCAGTATTGACAGACTACATAACATAAGAAAACAAGGAGATAATCTAGCCTAAATAGGGTACTTCAACAGTAACAGTAACAGTAACAGAAACATCAAATATATCAAACCAACGCGTGCTACGAGTGGGTACAAGTCCGTGCTCTATACAAGCTAGTAAGGTATCGGGGACTATACGCGATCGACGCGCCCGTTTTTCTTCATTTCGGACGTTTCGAACATCTCCTTTCCTCCATTCTACCTTCCCTTGGTCTCTTGGATATCTGGCCTAGATATCTGGTCTGCGCATCTGGTCTGCATTCCAATTGCCTGGTATACTTGCCTGCATATCACGAGACTCCCCCGCAGAGCCACTTTCGGACCGCGCTGGTCCCAACCACTTCTCTCCTCACGACTCGCACCTCAAACCTCGAACCTCGAACCTAAGTCGAAACCTCTACGATGAAAACAACCGTGCAATATAGTCCTGTGAAGGACGGCCGGCGGATCTTAGGCGAGAAAGACTCCAACGCGTGTCTGCCCCCCGCGCCACAGGCCAAACAGTCATTCCCGGTCACAGGAACGCCCGTGAAACGAATGTCAACAATTCTCTCACCTAGGAAGCTCCTCCCATCTCCCATATTTGCAGGCCAAAAACGGACAAGAGACCAAGTGGACGAGGCAGAAGAGAACATCGGACACGTGCAGGCGCGGGAGTGCTCTCCGCTGCACGTCCAATCCGCCGCCCAGGAAGATATGCAAAGCCAGGTAAGCTCCATAACGCATATGCAAAGAAACCTCCGGAATGATCAGCCTCAAGCTAACCATATAACGCGCCGAAATAGCTGCAACAAACACCCGACGCGATGGACATCCCAACACCACAAAACTCCCAACCCGAACGTGAACAGACACACGGCCAAGTGGAAACAGACCATACACCTGCCATGCTTCACACCCCCGAGGAGGAAACGCGTAGCGTCCCCGAAGACCCATACGCGCGCAAAATGTTCATCCAACAAGTATGCAAAGCAAAACCACACACAAATACCCATGGACAGATCTAACAATGGCACATAGAAAGCGAGCATCCTCCGAACCAGACTACAAAGCGCAATGCGCAACGTGACAGACCACCAATTCGACCGGCGCGTCTCCGAGCTAGAAGCACATAGTCGGAAATGCCCACGCCTCTCTCTTTCCGTCCTTTCCACACCACCACTCTCGTCCCGCAAACACTTCACACCATCACAAATGAAGACGCCCAGAATTGGTTCTTCTGGGTTTAGCTCTACTCCTTCACATGATACGCCCGATCTCCCGGCTCGACCGTCACTTTTGTCTTCGAGCGTTCCCCAACACCGTGCAAAGCCTCAAGGCCAACATACTCCTCCTAATGCTCTGGGCTCGCCGATGCAGTTGAGTAGTCCTCCTGCTACGGTTATTCGTCGCGAGCGTGAGCGGGAGTCGAGTATGGGACCGAGGGCTGAGCTTGGGATTGAAGATACTATGACGCCGTCACAGCGGGGTGATGCGGTTGATGGGTTGCTCAAGCTTATGAGTACGACGGATAGGAATGAGAGCTCGGACTCGTGGACTGGATGATTGGATCATAGAGCATTGATATTCTCCAAGTCAATGCTCGCCCCAAAGAGCCGTTTTGAACGAACCGAGTTGGCATTGTACACCAATAGCCAAAATCATTTTGGAAGCAAGGTGGAATGACGATATACAGGTCCATGCAGCCAGTATATCAAGACTTGGCTGATATAACGCTGGGCCTTGATATGACAGCGGGTTATTCCATTTGGAACATGCAGTATTATTAGAATAATCGGTCTCTACGCTGCAATCAACGATACCTTATGCATATTTGAACAGTCTAGATTTCTATATGAGACATACCACGTTGTGTCTCAGCAAGGAATGTCGATGATCAGATCGGCAATATGATAAGATGAACGTGGTCATGCAAGATGATGGATGAGAAACACCGCTAAACATATCAATTGATGCCAAAAGTCATATCCAATATTAGACCCTAAGCTCTTAAAGAAATCCTCAACGGACCTTCTTAAGCTTATTCCGCTTCCGACCCAAAATATCCCGACCCTCTTCAATCTCACCAGCAGCCTCACGTTTAGCAGACCCAACCTCCTTAAGAACCCCAGTGCGAACAACCCGACTCTCAATATTGACACCCTCCTCCTCCCACTCGACCATCTGGCGCCCAACACGCGTCTCAATAGCAAGCACAAGCTCAACATCCCTCTGCCCAACAAGCGTAACCGCCTCACCACTCCGGCCCGCACGAGCCGTACGACCAACACGGTGAACGTAGTCATCCGGGTTGCGCGGCACATCGAAGTTAACAACCAGGCTTACAGAGGGGATATCGAGACCACGCGACGCAACGTCCGTGGCGACGAGGACGCGCGCAGCGGTAGCGCGGAACCGGCCTAGGTTCGATGTTCGCTCTGATTGCGGTAGAATGCTGTGCAGGGAGGTGACGCGGTGACCGAGGCGGCGGAGTGTGCGTTCTAGGACATCGCATGTGTTGGTGTGATTGCAGAAGACGATGACAGGTTTGGAGATGTTTTCTTCTGTGGAGAGGAGGACGTGGAGGAAGGCTTCACGGTGCGTCATGGGCACCTTGAGGTAGGATTGTTTGAGGGTTGGGGGGATTTTGCCTTGGTTTTCGGTTCCAATTTCGGTTGCGAAGATGGGCGGCTTGTCGCCTGCTGGAGGCATGTCCTTTAGTAGGCGCACTTCGGCGGTCATGGTTGCAGTGAAGAGTAGGGTTTGGCGCTCCGTTGTTGGGGGGAGTGCTGCTAGGCAGGTTTCTACGTCTGGGAGCTGGCTTCCTTTTCCACTGGCTAGGAGCCGGTCTGCTTCGTCTAGCACGACCATCTTCACGCGCCGGAGTCCGGCGATGGTGTCTTCGCCGGATGTCTTGATGTGATCTGCCAGTCGGCCGGGGGTGGAGATGACGACGTGCGGTCGGTTTGCGAGCGCGATGGCCTGCTGTCGCATATCTGTGCCTCCGGTGATGAGGATGGGCTTCATACTTTGCGGGGCGGATACAGCCTTGAATTGTTCAAAGATCTGGAGTGCAAGCTCACTAAACAGACCAATGTTAGCAACTGTATACATCTAGATCGTATATTTTCGGGATGGCGAAACATACCGAGTCGGAGTCAGCACCAAAGCGAAGATTCCAAACGGATTCTTTGCCCATTGCTGCATAATAGGAACCGCAAAAGCCATAGTCTTTCCGGAACCAGTTCGACTCCCACCAATGCAATCCCTCCCCTTCAGAATCTCAGGAATACAAGCCTTCTGAATAGCAGTCGGCCGCTTGATAGCCATATTTTTCAACGAGCTAACGAGCCATGGTGCCACATTCAAAGCGGCAAAAGTAGACACTTCACTCTCTCGACCGAGCGCAATCGCATCGGCAATAGTCACTGGTTCCTCCTCTTCGGGCTCAGCGTTTGGGTCGACCTCCCCCTTCTTCTTAATACGGGAGACGGCGGGGAGCGGCGCAGGTGCGACGTACGAGTCGTTCGAGGCGTTTGAGGACGTTGAGAGACGGCGACGCTTTGGGGCGCGGTCTTCGACATCGGATTGTCCCATATCGACGTTGTCGGATGCATATGAGTCCTCGGACTGAAGCTGTTCCTCGATCGGGGGCGCCATTTTTGTTTGCGACTCGTCGATCGAGGCAAAATAATTTTGTGGCAGAAAAGTTATCTCCAATAAGCGGTGGAGCGAACCTTTGGGAAGATCTGCCTACGTCACGTGCATATATAGACCTTGGTTATTTTGGACTTTATCCGAGTCAGAATTGATTAATTATTCTTTATTTTCAATCTACTTGAAAAATAACGGCGTTGGCTCGAAAAAGAAAGCTTCTGCCAAATTTCGACGCCCACAGAAGCATTCAGTCTATCCTGCTAGCTGTGCTTCTCCGACGCGAAACTCGAGAAGGAAGCTCGTACGCCTCTCCACGCTCCAGATCACTATCCTCAACAGCCGAGTCAGAAGAAGTCGAGTGGCGACTCCCCAAAACCCCGTCACCTCCATTCGAAGACCCATTAGCTCCACTAGCTACCGCCTCATCGGAATCATCTTCATGCCCATGAGTACCACCAACACTTTCCATAGTAAACGGACTAGCAGTGGGGCCATCCAGCGCAGCCAGCTCCTCACGAGTAAACCACTTAGGCAAAAGGAACGTGCGCACGGGGATGAGAAGCAGAATAATAACAGGGAAACCGATAGCAGCGATGGTCTGCGTAATAGCAAAAGTAGCACCGAAACCGACCAATTCAAGAAGGACAAAAGCCCAAATTGCAACACGGCGCTCAATCCGCTTGAGAGGTTCTGAAGCAGGCGTGAAGTTCTTGTCTTGGGCGAGGAAGATCAGTTTCTGTGTAATGCCGTTGCCCTGTAGAGCTTGAACACCCATGATGAAGAAAAGACCGGCCATGACGCCCTGCGGAATCAGGTGCAGGACAATGAGTAGTGGGCCGGTCATTGTGCCTAGGGTTAAAACACCCTGGGAGAAATTGCTGACTCGCTGCTCAACGACGTGGTCTGTTATCCGGATGGCTTTGCCTTTGTTTGTGTCGTCCTCGTCTGCGACTTGGCGGGTGACGCACAGAGCAGCTGTGTGGAAAGGTGCCTGCGGGATTAGACCGTTCGGGAAGGGGATTCCTAGGAGACCAGCTATGAATGTTGTGAGGCCGAGGAGCCAGAGGTCCCAGTGGAAGCCGGCTGGCTTTCTGAGGGGGAATTCGGTTCCCTGGGCAATGAGGGAGGAGACTGGGGGATCAGATCGGCTATTTAGATATGAGGATGGAGTGACAGTACATACCATTGTGATCGAAGTAGAAGAGAATAGTGAGAAGCAGTGCGAATGGGATAGCGAGGAAGATATCACCAACGTCGATATCCCAGAATCGCACCAGCCATGAACGATCCAGAGTGGGAAAGAAGGCCTTGCTGGTAGGAAGTGTAGCCACATCAACATCCCTCATATGGCCAATGTGAACGAAGCCAGTGAAGAAGATGATGGTAAGAGGTGTGCCATAGTCCTCAAGGAACTTCCGAATGAATCGTTTGAAGAGATTGCTGTTACCCAATTCTCCACAGATCCATCCACTCATCAGGACGAGTAGCGCGACCATGATGGCCAGGTATGCGGATGTTTCTCCCACGGAGCCCCATTGTCTGGTGAGTACTTGGATACCTTTCTGAAGATAGATGCAAGCAACATAAAATCCAAAGATGTCGCAGGAGAATCGGGTGACGTAGGTTAATGCGTTGCAGGAATTGGTGATAGCCAAAATCCAGTGCATAATCAACGACCAACTAGAGTCTATGTCAGTAAGACTTACGGCGAAGCTTGAGACATGCAGATCCAACTCACATGCCAATCCAACACATAAAAGCAAGATAAGGCGTTCCCCGAGGGGCCACGATATCGTAGACAGTATAGTTGAACACAGTGATAGGACCTAGGAATGTCAGCTTCAGCCAATAGTAACTACAATCAGGAAACCTCACCAGTAACACCAACAATAACTAACGGCTGCGCCGCAAAAAGAGAGAACACAATAGCCCCAAGGACAGACGCAAGTAGAACTTCATTTACCCCGTAACTCTGACTCGTCTTCTCAAACATATCCAAAGAGAAAGCCAAAGCAGGTAAGATACTACAAAAAGTATAAGCAACCAATTAATCCATAGTGTATTGAAAATAGCAGAGAAACCATACTTAGCAAAGTACATATAAACTGTCGCAGGAACGACGCGATAATCCCACGCATCAGTCCAATCACTCCAATAATACGGCGCTCTACGCTTAACATCATCCACCATCCCACGGAATAAATGAACATGCCACCATTTTGGCTTGGCCGAGTGAGCCGATGTTGCGGTCGATGTATGGCGCTGCGAGGCCTCTCGGACGGTGTTGTGCTGCTCCGCCGCCTGGGCGGGTTCACGCGTTGATGCATGGCTTGATCTTCCGGAACGCATTGAGCGCACAGATGATAGACGCTGCGACTGCAAGGAAGGTTTCCGCTGAGCGGACGCCGAAGTGTGCATGTTTGGCCCGGGCAGGGAGAAGTCTCCGTGCGAGGATTCTTGCATATGCAATGTTTTGATGGATTCTACGGGTTAGTGCAATGCGCGCGGCATTTGGGTATTCAGCATAGATGCAGAGAAAAACAAGAAGGCGAGGATTAGGGTGCAATCGAGGTGTAATAGATTTTGCGGGGAGAAAAAGACTTGGAGCTGATGAGGCCAAGACTAAAAGTGGGGCCTGAGGCAGGCCGTCTTATTGTTCTGTTTAAGCCTGTTTAAGCTGCTACTATATGACCATATATGCTACGGATAATGTAGTTATGTGAAGCAATACTTATTGTGAAATTAGAAGTAATAATCAACAGGGTAAGAAAAGCAGAATCTCGATTGCTGTTTTTTGAGCTCCTTATTAGCGAGGGAACGCGGGCATCTCAAACAAATCGTATTGGTGCGATTGCCTTTTTTTTTTGTAGGATTCCGTGAACGACAGCGACGCAAGTACATAAAGCATGGGAGTTGCTCACGCAGGGGGAGGAGGTGGGGGAGGCTGGTCGCTGGGAGGGGGAGGTGGCGGGGCGTCACCAGGAGGCGGCGGGGGTGGAGGGCTGCCAGCAGCTCCATAGTACATAGGAGCCATGCCAGGTGGAGGCGGGGGAGCGCCCATGCCAGGAGGAGCAGCACCGGGAGCTCCCATACCAGGAGGAGCAGCAGGATAACCACCGTATCCACCGTATCCATAGGCAGGCTGACCGCCAGGAGGAGCCGGCTGCTGCCAAGGATTGGCAGCGGCGGGGGCCGTACCAGGAGCAGCATATCCGCCCTGAGATGGGTAGCCGTAGTCGCGGTTCTGTGCAGCCCAAGGGGCAGGGCCACCCTGGCTGCGACCTCCATAGTCGTCGCGAGAGCCATAGTCGCCACGAGGTTGGTAGTCGTCGCGGGAACGGTTGTCGCGGCCTCTCTGCTGCCAGGGAGCCACATCGCTCTGGGGAGGAGGTCCACGCTGCTGCCAGGGCTTCGCATCGCGGTCGTCAGGGTAGCCGCCCTGTTCGGGGCCGGCTTCAATGCGACGGGGCTGGTACTCGCCACCTGCGCCACCAGACAGTTCGTTCATGAGTTGCTAGAGATAATGTTAGTACCAAGTGTGAGATAGCAGTCAGATATCAAAAAAGCTTACCTCCATCTCACGATCCACAGCATCGCCAGTACCGGTACGGGGAGCACTACGTCTGTCCGTACCAGCGCCGTTGCGCCAGTCACTGCCTCTCTGGCGGTCAGGACAATCACGAGCCATATGGCCTGCATTGCCACAAACACGACAAATGATGTTGGCAGTGAAGTTACGCTGCTCAGGGCAGTCATACTTGCGGTGTCCGATTTGACCACCTGTTGATAATGAAGTTAGTATCCATTGCGTAAAGGGATATTCAGACAGATCCAACTTACAGTTCTGGCAAGCCTGGTTCTCATCGTCACGGAGAGTACCGTTAAGGGCAGCGAGCTCACGGAGTTGGTTGCGCTTCAGTTCGTTCTGGCCTTCAGGGATGGAGGCAGCCTGGTAAAATCATCAGTATCAAGTTTGAATCATAGAATCAAGGAGACTCACCGTTTCAATGACATTGTGCACAAGCTTCTTAGCCTTGTTGACCTTTTCTTCGGTATCGGCCATAATCAGACAGTGCAGATCTTCTTCCTGGTTGCTACCGTGAGCGGCGTCAGATCGGCCCTTTCCTTCCTTGACGGAACCTTTGCCTCGAATGGCAATCTTGGCGCCGGATTCGGTTTCCATCTTCTTCAAGGTGTTTCCACGGGGTCCTATGAGTAAGCCAACTGTAAAAAAGTAGCAAAGAAAGCTGAGTGTTAGTTATCCGGTAATTTTTGAATGAATGTGCAGCATCAAGCACCAAGGTTTAGCAAGAAACGAGTTGAGGACATTCAAAGAGAGATGCCTTGTCAACTCGAGTCGAGCAGGGACTCATGACAGACACGATGGAAGGATGGTTAGGAGTTAGAGGGTTAGTTATCATACTGAAGTTAATCTCTGGATAGTCATTCACTGGGACGTAGACCTTCTCTTGGGTCTTGGTCGGGCGTCTGTAGTCAGAGGGCGGGTGGTAGTTAGGGATGGTCTTCATGGCCTTCTCGACCAGTTTGTGACGCTCATCCTCGAGCCGCTTGCGGTAGCGGTATTCACGAGTGTTTACACGCCTACCGAAGTTGTCGTACTGGGGAGGCGGCGAAGGAGATCTGCGATAGAGGTTAGAAAATGAAAGAATGCAGGAAGAAAGGACATACCTGTCACCATCAGCCGGGACCACATCGTTGATCCGGAGCTTCTGGCTGATCTCCTCAATACGAAGGTGGAGCGTGTAAGCTTCCAGCTGCTCGCTAGTGAAGTTTGCCATAATCATGGTGGGCAGGCCCATGAGGCCAGCAGCCTTGTTCTCTTGCTGATCACCCCAACGGTTGCGCTTCTTGCGTCTCTTGGAGCCATCGGCGGCCAGAGGAGGGTCCGCTATGGAAGAAAAATGTGAGTATATGTGGTTTTCGAGGTTGAAAATGAGGTATACATACCACGAACAGGGCTGCGACCGCGCTTCGGGCCATCAAACGAAGGGGTCGCAGTGCGCGAGTCCTCCTCTTCGTCATCAGCGCCCATACGCCGCTTCCCCAGCGGGATATTGTTGGAGCCAGTGATGCCTTGATTGCGCCAAGCCATGACTGTATTGGTAAGAGAATGTGAGATTAGTGATACGAAGATGGGATGCCAAAGGAGACTCTTCTTTTGCCTTGTAAAAGTGGCCCCCACGTGATGGCAGATATTTGGCGGTGTCTGATTCATTCCATGTTCACCGCCGAGTACTCCGTTCCCATACTGCTGCAAGATACCGCCTAGATCACTTTCTGCCCTCGACATTGAGCAGGTGCACAGGTCATAGAACAACTTTTAAGGCAAACAAATCCCTGTTTGGTGCAGATGCTCATGTTTTACCTCTTCAATCGAATACCTCGAAATTTTTGTTTTGAGTTATTGTTGAAAGTACACAAAAAAGCCCCGCAAGTAATCCATATTACAGCTTACATTTCCCTGCAGAATCATCCATGTCTGTAGTGTTGTTTTACTATCAAATTGCTACCTCGTATCACAAAATACATTGTCATCTTAGAACCTCGAGGAATAGAGTTGATTATTCAACAAGCTCCGGGATCTCGCGGGGGTCCGATGAGCTTATAAATCCGCGATGTGGGGAGCCCGTGAGCTGTACTTAAACCCCTCATGAGCTTCTTTTGATTGAACCCTCACCAATTTGAATCACATTGATCAGTCACTATGAGTCAACCAAACATTACCCTTTACACGGCCCAGACCCCCAATGGGATCAAGATCTCCATGGCACTGGAGGAGCTTGGGTATAGTAGCTTCATCTCAGCCTTGAAACTAGTACTGACTTGCCACAGTTTGCCATACAAGGTCGAGAAAATTGATATGTCCAAGAACACTCAAAAGGAAGAGTACGTAATAGTATCCAACAAATATTAACGGGCTCTTAACAATCGCACAGCTGGTTCCTCAAGATCAACCCCAACGGCCGCATCCCAGCCTTGACAGACACCTTCAGCGACGGCCAGCAGATTAATATTTTCGAGTCTGGCAGTATCCTACAATATCTGGCAGAACGATATGATCCAGACCACAAGATCTCCTACCCCAAGGGCTCACGCGAATACTACGAGGTGAACAACTGGCTGTTTTTCCAAAACGCAGGTCTGGGCCCAATGCAAGGCCAGGCCAACCACTTCTCACGATATGCCCCCGAGCACATTGAGTACGGTGTAAACCGATACGTCAATGAATCACGCCGGCTGTATGGTGTGCTGGATAAGCACCTTGCTCAGTCCAAGTCTGGGTACATTGTTGGTGATCACATCTCCATTGCTGATATCACACACTGGGGATGGGTGGCTGCTGCGGGATGGGCTGGTATTGATATTGAGGAGTTCCCGCATGTGAAAGCGTGGGAGGAGCGGATTGCGCAGCGACCGGGCATAGAGAAGGGTCGTCATGTTCCTTCCCCTCACAATATTAAGGATTTGATCAAGGATAAAGCTACCATGGACAAGCACGCTGCTGATACTAGGGCTTGGGTTCAGCAGGGAATGAAGGACGATGCTAAGAGCAAAGTCTAGAGTACTTTCACATTAGCATAATCAACTGAGGACATTGAAATATCTGAATCTACCCGGGTACGATCACTTTGGAAACATTGCAGCGAGAACGGGTTCGATTCCTAGAATCGCCCCGGTAGATCCCTGTGGGTACCTTCTATTTTTTTCCCTCTCTGCTCTTTTTTTTTACACAAACGCCAGGTATGAGCGAGGGTAGATCACAACGGGACAAATATATGATAATAAGAAAATAAAGAGCTCAATACCGAAAAGAGAGGGACAAATGAAGCGAGCACTCCATATGGATACAGGTAGTAGCACAGTAAGTATAGACCCCAAAAACCCCTTCAAACCGTGGTATAGCTGTGTGCAAGCGGTATACCTCTGTCAGGATTCATATCCAGACTCAACTGATCAGGATACCAAATGAAAAAGATAACCATAACAGCCGCCATGGGCACACTGTCAAAGATATAAAGCGTCCACTCATGAAGAAGAGGATACCCATCATTGCCCATGACATATTCAATGATACGAAAGACAGATCGAATCAAAACCAAAGCACTGACAGCATACAGCATATACAACGAACTTCGCCAAGGAACCCCAGGCTTGAGACACTCAGATGTAGGTGATCGACGAAGCCGTCTAGCAAAGACAATGGCCGTCACCCAGAAAAGAGAGAATGAGATCAATTGAATCGCCAAGCCGACAACCACAAGCACCTTGCCCCACTGGGGATATCCCAGTACAGACAACGGCGAGGAATTGCCTTGAACGACGAAGGATAGCACGTCTCCCCAGACGAATGTTTTAGTGAGACGAGATACGCGGATTACCGAAAGATGTTCGCCTTGGACTCGGCGGATGATACGACCAAGAGTCATGTAGATTGTTGCGGCGAAGAGGGTTGGTCCGAGGAGGATGAAGATGTTCGAGAGGATGTATGGTCCCATGGTCGTTGTATTGTTGTGTGCAATGCAACGGCCCATGTAGCCAATGATTTCGACTATGATATGAATTCGAATCAGTGACTGTTTCTTGTCGTATAGACAAAATGCAACAGGGAAGGAGGTCAGCTTACAGAGTCCTCCTAAGGTAAATGCTATACAAAACCATGACCGCGTTCTGAAAAGCTTCCATGTATGAATCCCCGTCAGGATCATGAATATAAGCATGAAAATGACCGCTGCGGGCATTGAGGGCACATAGTTCCAGAATTTATAGGAACGGGTCACGAGCTGGTTCATGTTGGAGAGTGTGTGTGCCAGTGAGGAAGAAGAAGAGAATTGTGAGTTGATATAATCCCTAAGAAAATACTTGATTCTTTTATAAAACATACATCCCTCCTTATCAAAAATAGAAGAACATTTTTTAGTCTTGAATGGATCGGAGTACAAATACGCGTATAGAGACGACCCATATCTAACTGACATTTGACCAATAATAAGGCTTCAAACAATGAGCTAGTACAAACTAGGAACAAGATCTAGTTCTATACGCGCATTACTAGGCTGAAGGAAAAATGTTAGAATCGAGGTTGTAAACCATATACTCTATATCCTATGATTTGGAAAACTCTGATAGGTCCCACCTCATACGAAGCTATCCTCGGCTTCAAACATCGGGGGTACCAGTGCCTTCGGAGGCCATCCAGCCTGACTATCAAACGTCTTGGTGAAAGAATATTTCCCCGATCCAATCCATTTGGCATCTTCTTTTTCTCCAGCCCCAGTCGGCAGGATAATTTTCGCTTTCGAGTTTGGTGGCACAAGCACCTCAAGGCAGAACTCGCCACCCTGACCAACCTCCCACCGACACTCCAACCGCCCGTAAGAAGTCTCATAAATAGCCTCTGCAGAAGTAACCGTACCGCCGGGCACGGGCTGAATGAGAATATGCCGCCAACCAGGCTCCAACGGACTAACACCGGCAACGGTCTTATGAAGCCAGTTGATGATCGAACCCAGAGCATAATGATTAAAGCTCGTCATTTCTCCAGGGTTGATCGATCCATCTGGAAGCATGCTATCCCAACGTTCCCAGATAGTCGTAGCTCCCATGGTAATTGGATACATCCACGAGGGACAGCTCTTCTCTTGAAGCATGCGGTATGCTAATTGAGGATATCCGGATTTGGTCAGTGCGTGTGTGATCAAAGGTGTCCCTGCGAACCCGGTTGATACTTGAAATTTCGACTTCCGAACTAACCGAGCTAGACGAGCTCCAGCGGCTGCTGCTTGCTCTGGATTATTAAGTAGGTCAAATATCAATGCTAGACTAAGAGCTGTTTGTGTGTCGCCGACTAACCAGCCCTCGGGAGTAACGTATTTTGTTTGGAAGCGTGATTTCAGGCTTTGATGTTCAGTTTCATAACGACTTGCGTTGGCTGCTTCGCCAATGATAAAACTTATCTCTGCTAATACCTTTGTGACATGCACAAGGTAGGCGTCAGCTACGAGTGTCCCATCTGTTCGCGCGTTGCCTGGTTGATCCGGTGGCGCGGTAGGATCTAGCCAATCTCCGAGCTGGAATAAAGTATCATCCCATAGACGGTCAGGTCCGCGCTGAACTCCTCGATCTAGCCAGCCGACCATGCTAGGATACTGCTTCCGAAGGATTTCAATGTCACCATAGTTCTGGTATAAGGTCCAAGGAAGTAGAACCGTCACGTCATCCCAAATTGCTTGAGGGAAACAAGGCCATGCCTCTTCGGGGATGACATTAGGAATGACGAATGGAGGAATTGCTTTCGGGTTTTGGAGTTGTTCAGCCGATAGATCCTTCAACCAATCGCCAAGCATGCCCGATGTGTTATACAGGAAGCTGGCGGAAGGGCCGAAAACTTGGATATCTCCAGTCCAACCTAGACGCTCGTCTCTTTGTGGGCAATCAGTGGGAATAGAGAGAAAGTTTCCGCGCATCGACCAAGTGGCATTTTGATGAAGCTTGTTGATCATAGGATGAGAGCAGTTGAACCAGCCAGTCCGAGCGAGATCCGTATGCATAACTTCAGCGATAGTGTTGTTCAGATTTGGATTCCATCCATCGACTTGGACAAAGCGGAATCCATGGAATGAGAAACGAGGGGCCCAGTCGATTTCATCGCCTGCTGAGATGATCTTGTCACTGCACTTGGCTACACGAAGAGGACGAGTTCCTAGCTCTCCATTCTCGAGGACTTCCGCATGAGTTAAGATGACACTTTCACCGCGGGCAACTGCAAGCTTTGGAATCCGGATACGTCCAACCAAGTTCTGCCCAAAGTCGACGATCGCCTTGCCAGATGGTGTTGTAATTATCCGAATTGGCTTGACAATCTCAGTGACTCTCACAGGAGGAGCATTCGGAGCCACGAGCTCGGCACTCGGGAAGTCCACCTCTCGAGTTGCCATCCAAGTCGCTTCCAATGCGAAGGAATGACTACTCCAGCCATCTTGCTCATCAAGTGCATTGTAAAACTCACCATCGTAGATCTCACTGCTGACAATTGCAGAGTTGTGACTCTTCCAAGTCGAGTCAGATGGGACGGTATATTGATCACCATCCTCTGACTTGATTTCCAACTGCGCAATCAGGGCCATTTCATCCCCATAGATGAAACGACGTCCACCATGGAAACCCAATCGAGTAGCATACCAACCTTCGGCAACCTCAACGGCAATGGTGTTTGGCTCATTCTCATGCAAAAGCGATGAAACATCGAGAACCTCGTAGTTGAGTCGATGATGATAGCTCGTCCAACCCGGGGCCATGCAGTGATCACCAACATGTACACCATTGATGTATGCCTGAAACACTCCCTGGCTGGTAATATAAAGACGGGCTTGCTGCACCTTTGCGAAAGGGAGAGTGAAGGTTTTTCGGAAGCGGATAGGTCGCAATGGACCTTCAGTCTGCTTTACGCTGCTGGTGATGGCGCGTGCATTCCAATCTTTCCGGTGGAGCAAGCCACATTCAACGGTACTCCAGTCTGACCACTCGGTGGGAGTAGAGTCCGGTCCACCATATGCACGAACCCGAGCGCGGGCGATGTCTCGAGACTTGAGTGGCTGGCTTGGCCAGGGTACAAGGACTGAGTTGGTGCTTTTGACATGATGTTTTTCTGGTGTTGAGGAGGAATGGTGTGAGAGTTCAATATCGTATGCTGTCTGTTCCCAGTTCTGGCATGTTTGTTCATTTGTTGTGAATCGCCACGAAAGGCGAGGCTGAGATTTTCCGATCCCGAAGCCGGTTGGATGTTGTTCAAATGATAACGATGTTATAGAGGGTTGTGACGACATTGTAAGAGTCTCGGTTTTGAAGTGTCGAAACGAGTTGATGGGTTGTGGTTGTGCACCAAGACGTACTACATAAGTCACAAATGAGGGGTGGACTGCTCGGGTTGAATACACCCGAAGTCAACCACTCCTCGTGATCTCAACTACTTCGAGCCAAGATATCTTGAGAAGTTTATAGTGTCCGAGGTTTAGCCGGAGGCATCCGGCTCAACTTCGGATAACCGCGTGTTCATCCCTCCCCACTCCCCGCCCATCCCTGCTCTGTCATTTCTCTCGAGCTTGTATAGTTGGATCGGCCATTAACACATGACGGACGCCATGCTTCCCCGCAGGTTGGAACAGCCGACAGACTCCTGCCGACAGGGCTGAAGGGCGGGTGAATCTTTAATAGGCCCTGATCTGTTCTGGTCTGCTCGCTCATTCTTCTCTTCATTCACCTCATAATCGAAGTCATGGGTTCTCACGCTGCGATGCCTGACATAGGCGCTATTTTAAGCCAGTTAACGTTAGAAGAGAAGGTTTCTCTTCTAGCTGGAAAGAATTTCTGGGAGACAGTGGACATTCCGGAGAAAGGCGTCCACTCAGTGAAGGTACAGTAACACAATCCTCACCCTCAAATATTGCACTGATTGATACCTTCCAGGTCTCCGATGGTCCCAATGGCGCCCGAGGTGCGACCTTCAAGAACGGCCCAACAGCCGCGTGTTTCCCAGCATCTTGTCTCTTGGCCGCAACATGGGACGTGGAAGCTGCTAGGAACATTGGAAATGCTCTCGCAGAAGAGGCGCAATCCAAGGGAGCTCGTGCACTGTGAGAATCCCGAATCGGAATCAAATAGCCCCATGCTAATGAACCGTCCAGCCTGGCTCCAACAGTCTGCCCCCATCGCCACCCGCTCGGTGGTCGCAATTTCGAGTCCTTTTCCGAGGACCCATTGCTTGCCGGTAAAATGGCCGCGCAGTATATCAGCGGCCTGCAAGAGAAGGGTGTTGCCGCGACGATCAAGCACTTTGCTGCGAACGAACAGGAAACCTGTCGTTTCACAGTCGATGCTCACATTTCCGAAAGAGCTCTTCGCGAAATCTATCTGAAGCCATTCGAGATTGCCATTAAAGAAGCCAATCCGATGGCAGTCATGACTTCGTACAACATTCTCAATGGTCACCATGCCGATTCAAGCGATTTCCTCCTCAAAGATGTTTTGCGCGGTCAATGGGGATGGAATGGCCTTGTTATGAGTGATTGGGGCGGTACGAACTCGACTGCCGAATCTATACAGGCTGGCCTTGACCTTGAAATGCCCGGCCCTACAAAGTGGCGAACGGCTGAGGCTGTTCTTGAGGGAATCAAGGCCGGTAGAGTCTCAGAGAAGACCATTAACGATCGTGCTCGTAACGTTTTAGAGTTTGTGGCTAAACTTCGCTGTTTCGAGGATCCGACCATCCTCGAAGAAAAGGCCATTAACAAGCCAGAACACCAGAGACTTATCCGCTCAGTCGGCGGTCAAGGTCTGGTTCTTCTCAAGAATGATAATGAGATCCTTCCTTTGAACAAGGAGCGTCTTGCCAACAAAAAGGTTGCTCTGTTGGGCTTCGCCAAAGACGGGTTGATTCACGGTGGTGGCAGTGCATCAGTGAATGCTCACTACCGGGTTACGCCCGAGGAGGGTCTCCGTGCTGCACTCGGTGACGCTGTTGAGTTCGAATATGCCCAGGGTGCCCACACATTCCGTCAATTGCCATTGATGGACAAGATGGTTGTAGACCGTGATGGTCATCCCGGATGGACCTTGGACTTTTTCCTGAGTGAGGAGCCTACAGGAGAGCCCTCTTCTTCGAAGCACTCTGATGTGCCAACATACATGCCAATCTTTGTCAAGGAGGCTTGGGGTAGTGCCAAAGCCACTGGCCGCTTCACCCCAAAGCAAAGCGGCCGCCACTACCTTGGCATGTCAGGATTAGGACGCTCCAAAATTGTCATCGATGGCAAGACAGTGTATGAGCAGAAAGAAAACTGCCCCGACTCAATGGCATTCCTGCTGGGAGGTGTCAAAGAGCCCGAGGTCCAGTGGGACTTTGAAGCTGGAAAGTCCTACACCATGGAGGTTATCACTCTGAAGCCTTCCAAGAGTGGCGGTATCGCCCTCCTGGATGGATATCTCGGTTTCCGATTTGGCTTTATGACGGAGGAAGAACACAACAGGGATCTCCTCTCCGAAGCCGTGGAAGTCGCGAAGCGCTCCGACCTTGCCATTGTCTTCACCGGCCACACGCCAGACTGGGAAACAGAAGGCCAAGACCAAATCAGCTTTAACCTCCCTAGTAACGGATCTCAGGACCGTCTCGTGACTTCCGTGAGTGCTGCAAACTCCAACACAATCGTGGTCAACTGCACCGGCGTGGCTGTTGGCATGCCCTGGCTTGAAAACGTCAAGGCTGTCGTGCAAGCCTGGTTCCCCGGCCAAGAAGCTGGCAACGCAATTGCAGACGTCCTCACCGGAGCAGTCAATCCTTCAGGTCGCCTACCTGTTTCTTTCCCTCGCAGGCTTGAAGATGCTCCTGCTCACGGAAACTTCCCCGGTGAATACATCGATGGACAGCTCCATGTCACATACGAAGAGGGTGTCTTCGTAGGCTACAGACACTACGACCGATCCGAGGAACACCGCTCCCAGGTTCTCTTCCCATTCGGCCATGGTCTCTCTTACACGACGTTCACTCATAGCAACCCGAGAGTAACGGCCTCTGACGATGCCGAGGAGTTCAAAATTACAATTGATGTAACCAACACTGGTTCGCGGGCCGGCGCCGACGTTGTTCAGGTCTACGCAGGAGCCAAGGTGGCATCCATTGAGGATCCGGTTAAAGAGCTGGTTGGGTTTGCTAAGGTTCACCTTGCTCCCCGGGGGAGCAAAACTGCTACGATCAGATTTAATGCCCGGCAGTTGGCTCATTTCAGTGAAAGTAGCAAAAGGTGGGAGTTGAAGCAGGGTGAGTACGAGATCACTATTGGACGGTCTGTGCAGGATGTTATTGCGAAAGTTACCGTGTCTGCTGCGGCCCGGTCTTATGAGCTGTGATTGTTTGGCATATAAAGAGAATGTTTGTCTTTGATTTTATGCAATATGATACAACTGAACAATGCGCTTCAAGTAAACGAAAGAAACGTAGCAACTGAAGCTTTGCATTATTTATAGAGTAGAACATACTTCGAATGGTTTTCTAGGGGTATTTCTTCGAGAGTCCAAACATAGACCGAGTCGATATCAAGAACTCAGACTTGACTGCGGCAATGAATGGCACCACACTCCTTTCCGAGAGATCCGCGTTTCAAGCCGTGCCCATCCATAACCACAGTGGTACACATTTCCCTCCCAGCGGCAAAACCTCGGGAGGCAAAAGGCAAAAATCAGCTGAATCCGGGGTATGTCTGGGGTTTCCCCACATCTTCACCTGCTTTCTTTTTGTCCCCTCTTCACGAGCATCCAAATTCAGATGGGTTAGCCGCGTGGCTGAAAACCTCCCTTCTTGCTTTTTCGGCTTCGTATACTCGCTTCTCGGGGTAATTATATCCTTACCAATGCAAAAAAAGAATAAATGCACTCCCATGGCCTTGCTTTTTGATCATCGGTGATCATACCGTCTCGACTCCCATTCTCTGGAGTTCATTCTCTATACACTGCACCCTCACCTATATCATTACCCATTACCCCTTGATTCCAGGCATACTACCAACAATGGAAAAGCCCAGCACCGACTTAGTCGAGCACGCCGACGACCAGCACCTCGGCCACCTAGCCAATCAAGAAGACCACGAGCTAGGGAAATGGCAAAGCCTGAAGAAATACCCATGGACCTTCGCATGGTGCGTCTACGCCGTATGGTGCATCCTCCTCGTCAGTTTCGAGAACCAAGCATCAGGAAATGTAACCGGTATCCCTGAGTTCCGTAAAGACTTCGGGCATTTCTATGACGGCGCCTGGGTTCTCGAGGCGAAGTGGCAGTCTGCATTCAGTGGTGGGCCAGTGGCGTCGGCGGTTGTTGGGGCGCTGTGCTCTGGTCAGATTGCGGATGCTATTGGGCGCAAACTGACGATTGGAGTGTCGCTTTTGATTACTGTTGCTGCTGTTACATTGGAGTTTGTTGCGACTACCAATGAGATGTTCTTTGGGGGGAAGTTTCTTAATGGGTTTGCTTTGGGGGCTTTGGCTTCTGTTCCTATTACTTATGTGGGAGAGGTATGTTCCTTCCAAGATTCTTTCATTTCCTATGACATGTCTTTTGTTGTTATACTAACCATTTCTATAGATCTCCCCCCTCGCCCTCCGCGGCACCCTCACCTGCCTCACAGCTCTGGCATATTGTATTGGCCCTTTCGTCGTCGCCCTGATAACAAACACAACTGGAACTTATACAAACCGCTGGGCTTACCGTGCCGTGTTTGTAGCTCAGTACGGCTACGCCGCACTAGCACTCGCCTTCATAGCATTCATGCCCGAGTCACCTTGGTGGCTGGTGTCCAAGAACCGCGACGACAAAGCCCTCAATAGTCTCCGCAAGCTGGGCTACAGCGAAGAAGAGCGCGCCAAAAAAATCGCCAATATCAGGGTGACTCTTGAAGATATCAAGCGCGAGACTGAGGGCGTTACGTATCTGGAATGTTTCCGTCGCTCCAATCTGCGGCGTACGATCATCTCCATCGTCCCGTTAAGTATCCAGGCTTTGTCTGGTGTTGTCTTTGCGGCTGGTTACTCGACATACTATATTCAGCTGGCTGGATATAGCACAGAGATGAGTTTCAGACTTCAGATTGCGCAGCAGGTGTGCTCACTTGTTGGCAATGTCATGTCTTATTTCCTGATTGACAGGGTTGGCCGTCGCAATGTGATGCTTTACGGCTTGGGCATATTAACCGTCATCCTGATGTTGACCGGTGGACTGGCGGTAGTTGGAGCCGATACCTCAAACCCCAACTCCGGGGGCGGGATCAAGGGTACCGTAGCGTTGATCCTAATCTACTGTTGGTGGTACAATATGACCATTGGATCAGCGGGATATACCATCCTGGCTGAAGTGTCGACGTCCAGACTGCGGATTAAGACTATTGCTATTGGGCTGGCATTGCAGAATGTGCTTTATACCATGTGGTCGTTTGTTTTGCCCTATCTTTTCAATCCTGATCAGGCGAACCTTGGTGCGAAAGTCACTTTTATCTTTGGTGGTCTATCGGTGATTTGTCTGGTTTATTTGTGGTTATATCAGCCTGAGACTGGGGGCAGAACTTATGCTGAGCTTGATGAAATGTTTGTTAAGGAGGTTCCTGCGAGGAAGTTTAAGGTCTATCAGACTGATGCTGAGGCTATGGGTGTTGCTGTTAAAGAGGGCGATGTCAGTGTGTAGGGGCATGGATTCTACCGCATTTTGGATGAGACTTGTGATGTCTTTATGAGTTGGTTGAGTTTATCTTAGCATATTCTATAATTTACCTGGATGGTTGTTCTGCTGGGACATGAATTAATATAAAGGTACTCTACCAGACTATTACTATAGACAGAAACAGAAACAGAAACAGAACAGAAACTTTTGAACCAACATTCATAATATCTTATATTTAGCAGGAAGATATGTACAGCCCCCTATGTGCGACCAAGGCACTGCCCGAAAAGCAGTATAGGTCGCTGCCAAAAGAGAAGAGAAACCCCAAAAGTATACAGTGAAAGCCGGCTGCAAAGCAGGAACAAAAGAAACAGAGTAGAAATACTCGAGCAAAAACCCCAGTATACAGACCAAACGGATGCAACCCGTTAAAAAGCACAAAACAAAAAAAGCGACATCTCAGAACACGCTCATACACACACGCAATAAAAAAGAACGAGACATGGGGTCTCACGTGTATCTACCAAGAGAAACTCTCTTCCACATAATCAAGATTGGAATGAGCCTGCCTCCTCCGACAAACCTTGCGAACATCATCACTCAACCCACCATTACCGCAAACAAGCACACCCATAGCGCCAATCTGATTCTCGACCTCCATCCCAATCAAAGTATCGATATTAGGACGGCCAGGGAACATCTGCACAGTAGCAGAAGGGCTCTGGATCTCCTTCGTATTCCGGGGTCTGGTAACAAACAGCATAATACGCAGGACTTCACGGCGGCGATCCATAGCCAGGATCTTGGTCATCCAGGGCCGAATCCACTCCAGGTGCTCAGGCGACTGGATGATCCAGACGAGAGTGACGCGGCGTGCGGCGACAGTTCCATCTGCGAAACCAGCTACGAGGTGGCGGACGAAGGGAACATGGTGGGTTATGCCGACGCCGCCGGCGAAGAGCATGACTGTGCCGTAGGAGTCCATTGTGTGGATGTTACCGTATGGGCCTTCGGCGAAGGCGCGGACGGTCAGCGGTGTGCCCATAGAGTTTGCGGCGCGCTGGAAGAGCTTGTCGGTCATTCCTGTGCGGCGGCGGACGAGCAGGGAGATTGTTTCTTTTTGGGGCGCGCTGAGGAGGTCTGATTTGGTCAGGGGGAGGGACTTCTCGTCCGACATGTTGTCTTCTGTGTCACTCCAGCCGACGGAGAAGGGGTGCGAGGTCCACCATCCCACCGATGGGATGTAGAGGTAGATGTGCTGGCCGGGACGGAAGCTCCAGGGGCGGGCTACGCGCAGGGTGATGCGCATTGCATCGCCGGGCATGGCTTCAATGGTTGCGGTTGTTGATTTGCGACCGCAGTTGCGGTAGAGGATGACCAGGAGGCGGGTGGTACGCTCCAGGGCCCAGAGGATGATGGCTGCGAGCAGGTAGGTTTGCGCCGCTAGACCGTTCAGGTGGACCCAGAGGAAGCCCATGGAGACGGCTGCAATGGCGAAGTGGAGGTGCAGGAATGTCTCGTAGAAAGCATGGCGGATGGGCGAGGGCGAGTGCACCAAGAGCGCGGCGAAGGCTGCGGCAGCCACCAGGCCAGTGAACAGGAAGCTGCTTCCTCCCAAGGCCATGGCGACGACCTTCCAGCCCTTCTCCTGGCCCTTGGGGATTGCCCAGGCAAATACGTGAGCGAGAGCCTCCAAGACTACAATGCGGCCGAGCCATCTGTGGAGCAAGTTCCATGTGTCAAAGGGCACGTGGAGCATGGCAATCAGGGGGTTGTTACGGCCTGCCATAATAATCAAAGGGATCAAGTTGACAGTTGCCATAGTACCGGTACGATTACGCACGACACCGGCAAGGGTTTTTTCCGTGGAGCCATAGGGGGTGGTAACGCAGCAAAGTGCGACGTTCATGGCGACGATACCGGTGACAAGGAATGCATGGAAACGACTGGGCAAGGTCCCCATGTTGATAGCTGAGGAAAGCTGCATTTCCTGGTTATGACGAGTGCGGAACAGTGCTGCATAGATGATGTGCTCCTTAACCCAGGAGAACGTATCATGAGCAGACACAAAATACCGTTGTCTATCATCGCTGAAGCTGGACAGACGGCGCAGATGGGCCGAGAAGCGGAAAGAAAGATGCCAGATATAGTATGCGGCAGCGGCACAGCCGAGCGCGAGGACTGTATAGCGGGCCAAGTCATCATTGACGGCTTCATAGTACATTTCCGAAGAGCTCTTGCTGTAACGCTTTTCGATGTCCATTGCGCTGGTCAGTCCAGCCAGGGATATGGCGAGAAGAATGAGCTGCATGATGCCCCACTAAGATGCTGCAGGTCCAGAAGTCAGGGGTGGCCTGAGTGGTTGTTCAGCGAGACCAGCTCGCTATAAAAGTGGAAAGAAAAGGGGTTGTTATATCGGGACCAAAGCCAACGTAGGCTTTGCTCGGTAGATGTTGTCGAGAAGTAACACAGCAGTCGGAACAATCCGAAACAATCCCAGTTGTTTGGCAATGTAAATAAGAATGGCAAGGGTGAAGAATCCTGGTCTCGATATGCGTTTGGTGGCTTGGTGTCGAGTGCAGGGCCTGCCTATATCTAACGTATAGAAATCAGAGAAAACAGCATAGAAATGGCGATTGTCGATAGTTTCTCAATCCAATTGTGCTCAGAGGATATTGGACGAAATGACTGAGCAGGGAAGATG